ATCAAATCAAATCAAATCAAATCAAATCAAATCAAATCAAATCAAATCAAATCAAATCAAATCAAATCAAGGGTAAATATGAAAGGGACCCAGTGCCGTTAACAGAGGGCTATGGAAGATGATTAGGGGGGGGGGAATGTTGTATTCACCTCCTCCTCTGATGAGGACTCCTCGGAGCTGGAACTCTCGGAGTCGGACTGGCCGCCGAAAAACTTGGACATTTTCCCACTTCGTGCTTCTGAAATACAACCGTTTATTCCCGTGGAGGGTTTGAGCACAAGGACAGGGATAAATATAGAAATATAAAAATTCAAAAATCAAAATTTTGTCAGAATCACAGAAAACATAGAGACAGATGGTGAGGAAAATAAAATGCAGTGAATATCACAAGTTTTAAAAGTATCACGTGGTTCAGGCAGTTTTGTGATTTCAAGGTTTAAAGATCTCCGTGATTCTTGAAATATTTCATCTTCTCTTTGGGATCTGGGATGATCGTATCCGCGCCTGGTTTCCATCCAGCAGGACAAACCTAGAAATTGATAATACATAAATTCCACGATAAAATCGAATATACTCCGTTAAAAAAATCTCCAGCGTCTATTTGCAAGTAACACTTTATTCTTTTTATAGTTTGAGTTATAGTAATCAAAATGTACCTTTCATACAAAATCAAAATCATAAACTCTTTTCAAATAAAAAGAATCCAGAAAAACGCTTTCGAAGATTTAAAATTCATAGACATTGTAAATTTAAGTTTAAATGTGTAGCTATATGCCAATAAACCTACCTCTCCGTGTTTATCCGTGTACTGGAAAATAAACCTACCTCTCCGTGTTTATCCGTGTACTGGAAAATAAACCTACCTCTCCGTGTTTATCCGTGTACTGGAAAATAAACCTACCTCTCCGTGTTTATCCGTGTACTGGAAAATAAACCTACCTCTCCGTGTTTATCCGTGTACTGGAAAATAAACCTACCTCTCCGTGTTTATCCGTGTACTGAAAGGCTTGAACTAATCTCAAAGTTTCGTCAACACTCCGACCAACTGGAAGATCGTTCATCGTAATCTACAACAGTTTATTATTCAACATTCATAAAAAATAATGATTCTTTCTTCAGTTTTTCAATCAAAATGTTATTACTCAGACTAAAAAGAGAGACAAACCAATTGTCACAATGTGCCAACTGCATCTATGAATGTAAAGTAATAATGTCTCAATCTCGATTTAAAAACTCCGTAGAAATCCACGTTATGCTAAAAGATTTAAACTTATTTTGTTGAATTAGTTAAGTTATCAATGAAAAGATGGATTTCAAAGGTAAAAAAAGTTTTATTTACCTGTCTAAGTGTACCCTTGTCATCTATGATGAATAGTCCCCTAAGAGTGTGACCATTATCCTCAAGATAAACTCCATAATCCTTAAAATTTAAAATAAAAAATGGATAATTCGAGACGACAAATTTGTAAACAGACATCTGGTCTTGAGATTTGATTACAGAGATGTATATAGGTAGATAGTTACAGGTCTAGGAGAGATAGATAAACTCAGGTTTATATAGAGATATATAGATAGATAGTTACAGGTCTAGGAGAGAAAGATAAACTCGGGTTTATATAGAGATGTATTTAGGTAGATAGTTACAGGTCTAGGAGAGATAGATAAACTCAGGTTTATATAGAGATATAGGTGTATAGAGGTGTATAGAGATATATAGAGATATATAGATCTAGGAGAGATAGATAAACTCAGATATATAGAGATATATAGATAGTTACAGATCTAGGAGAGATAGATAAACTCGGGTTTATATAGAGATATATATAGGTAGTTAGAGAAATAGAATAGATAGATAAACACGGGCATTTAGATATAAATATATAGTTAGATTTTTAGGAGAAATAGATAAACTCAAGTATTTAGATATGCATAGATAGTTATAGATCTATGAGAAATAGATAAACTCAGGTATTTAGATATATATATATATATATATCCCCCCCCAATCTACAAAATTTTAACTTGTCTTATTTTTATGTGATTTTGAACATTCTTATTTACATTTATCCTTTAAAATCCCTAAAAATAATGAATTTGTCAACCTTAGAGATAGTTTGCTTGAGATCTGATAGAAGAGGTATATCTAGTCTACCCAATCCTCCCTCAGTTCTAGGTGTATTCATCCAGGCTAGATGGGTGAAATGGGAATCCACACTACACGCCACAACCTGGATACAAAATCAATTCTATCTCAAGTCAGAACTTTTGTGCTGTGAATCTAGGGATTAAGTATTGATCTCAATCTTATGGAGAGCTGCGGATTTTACATCCTCTTTGAAATCAAATGATATGCTTTGCATAACTTAGATTGAATTGATCCTCAAATTTTAAAATGACCACATTGGATATCGAGAACAAATATTTAAGTAAACAATTAGATCTCTGCAAATGAAAAATTGAAGATTATTTGTTAATATCCCAGTCAATAAAAAGAACCTATAAAGGGAAAATCAACAACTAATGCTTTTTCATATTTGATTTATTTTAAAAATCTGCTTAAACTGAACACTAAGAAACGTAACTTGTTTTAAAAATAAAATACATTTTTAAAAATGATTCATCAATAGAATATGCCATCTTAGTCCATTAAATCTGTCTCATTATGACAATATTCAATATTATAAAGAAACTGAATTGGACAGAATTTTAACTTTAATTTAAAAATCAAGAAACTTTACCTCAGTATTAATTGCCTTGAACTCCTTAATCCTGTCGTTGAATGCCAGGATCTCCGTGGGACAGACGAAGGTGAAGTCCAGAGGATAGAAGAAGAAAACAAGATATTTCCCGAGATAATCACTCAACTTCAACTCCTTAAACTCTCCGTTGAGAACAGCTGTTCCTTCCCAAGCAGGAGCAGGACGGGATATCATTGCCTTAAAACGAAACATGTTAATGGGATTCTTCACAAAAATAACTGATTTAACATTCAAAACTCAGGAGGGGAGGGATGAGGATTTTAACGGTTCAGTTCTAGTATAAAATTTAAGGACCTTCCCGCCCCAACAATTTTGTACGTGATCAAGATTTCAACTAAATTAAACATTCTTTTTTTAATTCACAGTTCGCTTAGGACAATTTTTGGGCCGAGCGCTATAGCTAGACAGGCTTGGAAGCCGGGCTAGGATAGTCAAGGGGGCCGAGCGGCGCGGCTAGAATAAGCTTAGGGACTGGGCGCTGCAGCAGCCCACTGGCTCCAAATATTTCTTCAAATGCTGTGTACAAAAATTGATATGAGAGGGGGGGATGGGGGGGGGGGTGTTAATGAAAATCAAAACATATTCCCTGATTCAAAGATTTAACTACCTTGGTCCATTGCAGGTTATGTCCTGAAGCTCTGTCTCCGGTTCCCAGGTTTCCTCCTACTCCGTCGTAACAAGTTTCTCCTGACATTACTCCAGGTAGAACCATACACAGGCACCCTAACAGGATTAGGCCATGCATATTCAGTGCTTGCATGAAACCCTGAAAATGTGCAAACTTTACAAATAACTCAATTTACGATTAGAAATTAAGTAATTTCTTGGAGAACGATTTTTGGACCCCCACCATAATTTTTAGACATGGATACCATTGATCATGTAACCGCAGCGCCCGGCCCCCTGCCTATCATAGCCGCAGCGCTCGGTCCCCTGGCATGTCCTATCCACAGCGCTCGGCCCCCTAGCCTGTCCTGTCCGCAGCGCTCGGCCCAGAAATTGTCTTAACCTATCCTGACCCGAACATATGTGGTCATGAACAAAATTGATAGGAGGGAAGAGGGTTCAAAAATCGCATACTAAGACAAACCCCGAGCGGTCATACACGAAATTGATAGGATGGGGGGGGGCGGGGGGTCCAAAAATCGTTCTCTATGACAGACCCTAAACTTATAAATAAACTTTCAAATAACACAAGCTAAAGAGGGGATGGGAGCTATTATATAATAAACAGAGCTTTTAACAATATTGACTGTAATTGATAAACCCACAGAGCAAATTGACAGTTTAACGTTTTTTCTGAAAGTGCTAGTCACGCATAATATTATGGATGTGCACAAAACATAACAAATAATTTGTGTCAGCTCCACAGCGAGAAAAGCGGTGATAAAAGAAAAAGTTTATGTTCCCTGCCACACGGCATGACACTAAACTAGAAATATGGCGCGGCATTTTCTAAAAGTGACATGGCCTTCGATTAAAGAGGATCTTTTAGCACAGCTTGCAAACAGATTAACATCTTCAACACCACAGTGTTTTTTTCCTACTCATTTTAGGCCTGTATTCTGGTTTAAAGTGTAGAAAACTATTTTTAATTTTTTAAACTGGCCAATAAGGAGACGTTGGGCTTAAACTCCTGTGTACAAGAATATGAGCCAAGTCGCTGTTAATCGAACAAACGCCCCCTGCAATATGTTTTAAATGGGATAAATGTATGTCGAATCACTTAAAGTGAATTTGTAATTGTTTTCTTCCAATCAAATGACTCATCCTGTAAATGAACCAAGCTGTCTACTCCAAGCAAGCTGTTATCTTCGGTTGAATTATTATCCAGCTGTTCTCCAGTAGAGCGGCTAACCACGGATCCGTCCTTAAACTGAAAATAGTGCGGGGCCGGGGGATTTTCTTTCAGTTTCCAGTTTCTACAGAAAAGCTCGGGCGGGACGGATATGGCGAAGACAATGAAATATATTTTAACAATTTGTAAAAATTTCTTAGGAATTATTATATTTTTAATGTCTTTAAGTCTCGTTAAATGAGAACGTGTTTAATTTTATTTTCAAATCCGGTTTGATTAATGTTATAGATCAATTTCACCATATAAGGTTTCTATAAATACTGTTTATTCTTAGAATATAAAAATGCAGGCCTTCTTAAAAGGGGGGTCATCAGGTATCAAAGAGAATGCAGGGTTTAGCAGTAAACAGGTAAATAGGAATCATTATTTTTCTCTATAAGGTTCGACTAGTTATAGCTATAAATTCTCTCACTTTGTACTTATTGACTATCACGGCTTACGCTACAGTTAAGCAATCATTAAATCATGCATGAGTCGATCTCACCAATGGTTGCCCTAAATTTTTGAAACAGAATTAATAATTTATGTAAATATGTAAAACTCTGTCTGTTTCTGATAATGTCGGTGAATGTTATTATAGCTTATTATTTTATAAATCAATATTTGGTTCTAATGAGATGCTACAATAAGATGGGATAAACTTGAACAGAAGGTTACGCATATGATAAAATTATTTAGATTATTATAACAGATCCACTTTTTCTTAAACCATTCTAAAACTCGCCAAAAAGTCGTGGAACAGACTTAGTCTTCCTTTATTCATCCTTTGATAGGTTTTGATGTTGATCTGCTGGATATTTTCAGTTATTGACCTTTCTTAAAATAACTGCGGTCAAAACTTTTGTTTTGTTAATCCTTTGATTTTAGTACTTTCCACCAAAGGATTAAATTAATTCTCTAAGGTCGAAACCCAGCATGGATAACTATAAATTTTGGGATGCTGGGGTGGGAATTAATGTGACCCCTTCCCCCTCTAAATCCCATTACACTACATATCTAACTATCTCGGCATTGATACATTTTCCGTTCATTGTGAGCTGACATTTTTCCTGATAATATGGTTGCTTTAGGTTGGAGGGAAAAGAAGGAAAGGACCGATCCCTTGGGTTGAGAAATATCGACCTCGGACTGTAGAGGACGTTGCATACCAAGACGAGGTCGTTGCTGTCCTCAAGAAGAGTTTAGAGGGCGCAGATCTACCCAACCTTTTGTTCTACGGACCTCCGGGTACTGGTAAAACCAGCACTATTCTAGCCGCAGCGAGGGACCTGTTCGGGGATATATACAGGGATAGGATATTGGAGCTCAATGCCTCGGACGAAAGAGGAATCCAGGTTGTCCGGGAGAAAGTAAAGAACTTTGCTCAGCTCACTGCTTCAGGTTGGTTAAATATTTTAAAATACATGGTCCTTCTTCTCTAACTTTTAACTCTAGATTTTTGTTCGGTGTTTCTCATTTAAAATGAAATGAGTCATTATTTTGTATGGATTGGAATTTTCCTCTAGTTGTTCATCCTTGTCATATTCTTGGAAAGAGTCTACTTTGAAAATATAATAAGTAAAATGTATTGTACGTGAACTTAGGAAGACATCCCAATTCCTTATAGCTAATTGTTTTCTATCTAACTTGTGTTATGTGTTCTAAGACTATTCCGAATGATAAGCCTTTAAAATGGTATTCAGTGGTATTATCAGGGGGAATGATTTTCGTAGATATATCGGGGGGATAAAATATAAAAAATTGGACATGAGAAGGTAAGTTTTTTCTTTCATACTGTTTCATACTTTTCACCCAAACTTTTTTATTATCCCTTAAAAAACTTATTATCCCCGATTCTTCTATTAAACCCTTAAATAACAACACAAAATTTCTGGGGGAGAAATGCTAGGTTTAAGAAACATGTCCACTGTCCAGTTAGTCTTTATTTAATATGTATGCGTTGGGGAGAACCCGTCATGATAGTAAACCGTAAATATTCTTGTATTAAGGAACACGTCCTGATGGTAAACCTTTAATATCCTTGTATTAAGGAACGCGTCCCGATGGTAAACATTAAATGTCCTTGTATTAAGGAACACATCCTGAGGAAACCGTAAATATTCTTGTACTATTAAAGAACACGTCCTGATGGTAAACCTTAAATATCCTCGTATTAAGGAACACGTCCTGATTGTAAACCTTATATATTCGTGTATTAAGGAACACGTCCTGATTGTAAACCTTATATATTCTTGTAATAAAGAACACGTCCTTATTGTAAACCTTATATATCCTTGTATTAAGGAACACGTCCTGATGGTAAACCATAAATATCCTTGTATTAAGGAACACGTCCTGATGGTAAACCATGTCCTCCTTTCAAGATTATAATCCTGGATGAAGCGGACAGCATGACTAAGGACGCTCAAAGTGCACTCAGGTATTATTGTCCTGTATCCGAAATCTCCGTTTACCAGAAGTCCTGAATTCTTAAACCATAATCCTGTAGACAGTGCCCAATAAATTCTAAATCGTTAGAAAATATTTTTTCCTGTCTTAGACGAACCATGGAGAAGGAAGGACGGAGCACAAAGTTCTGTTTGATCTGTAACTACGTGAGCAGAATAATCGAACCACTCACTTCTCGTTGTGCAAAGTTCAGGTTTAAACCTCTTGCAACAGAGATCCTTCTCACCAGGCTCAGGATGATCGTCGAGGCGGAGAAGGTGAATATCAGCCAGGACGGGTTGGATGCGATCATCCTCACAAGTGAAGGAGATCTGAGGAAAGCCATAACAACCCTTCAATCCTGCTCCAGGTTGGGTTATACATATATCATCATATACAGAGTTATATTTTAGAACAAACAATTTGATTGAAAAATTGATTTCAGGGTTTTATTATACAAAAATTATGACGTTGTGGCCCAACCTTGGCAATTTTTCTGATCTTTGATCGTTTAGATGTTTTTGTTTTGTTTTTCGTGTTGTAAAATTACATATTTATGTTTCCTAACACGGAAAAACTAGTTAGTTGAACAATCCGGTTTTTTGTAAAGCATTCAGAACGTTTAAACTTTATTACAATCAATTGTTTTTAATCTTGCTTTTCGTAGATTTTTTAAGAATAGAAAACAGATGTACGGACGGTTAAATTTTTAAATCTTGTTAAAGGTTGAAGGGAGAAAAAGAAATCTGTCAAGAGGATGTTTATGAGATATCTGGAGTTATCCCCGAGTCAGTGATAGAAGGACTTCTAGACGTGTGCCAACTCAACTCCTATGAAAGACTCCAGGCTCATATTGATGATTTCATGTGTGAAGGTACAGATTTTTTAAATAGACAAATTCGGGGTGAAATCTTTCCAGGGCTGTAACCGTTAAAGTCGTAGTATCGTTTAAAGGGTTTTATCATTCATGTGGTGAAATGATTCAATGGGCCGAAAAGATTCTAGGGGTGGTAAAATTGCAGGCGCAGGACTGTTCAATGTTCATGCAATGGGCGAAACCTTTCACGGATTTGAGCTGCTCAAGTGAGGCGGAATTGTTTAAGGAATAGATTAGTCAACAACAATCCTTATTTAGCAAATCATAATTTGCTTGATAATATAGTTGATAGAAAACATTTATAAGTCGTTTTAATTCTTCAAAGTTTCACGAGTCATTCAACTTAACTAACTGAAATATTTTGTTCTAGGGTTTTCTGCAACCCAGCTGATAAACCAGCTCCATGATAAACTAATCTCGAACCCTGCTCTAACCGACAACCAGAAATCCGAGATAGGAGAGAAACTGTCTGTTTCCGAACACTGTCTATTGGAAGGAGCAGATGAATATCTTCAGATCATGGCAGTCTCAACATCTATCATGAAAACATTGGCGTCAACGGCATAAATATCTAGCACAGATCCAATCCTTCTTCAGTAGGTGGTCGACTCCTACTCCTATAGGTGGTCCAATCATACTGCAGTAGGTGGTACAATCATACTACAGTAGATGGTTCAATCCTACTACTGTAGATGGTCCAATCCTACTACAGTAGGTGGTCCAATCATACTATAATAGGTGGTACAATCATACTACAGTAGATGGCCCAATCCTACTCTAATAGGTGGTCCAATCATACTATAATAGGTGGTTCAATCTTACTACAGTAGTTGGTCCAATACTACTTCAATTAGTGGTTTAATCCTACTCTAGTAGATGGTTCGATCCTTCTCCATTAGATAGTCCATTCATACTAAAGTAGGTGGTCCAATCCTACTCCAGTAGTTGGTTCAATCCTACTCCAGTAGTTGGTTCAATCCTACCCCAGATGTTGGTTTAATCCTACTCCAGTAGTTGGTTCAGTCCTACTCCAGTAGTTGGTTCAATCCTACTCCAGTAGTTGGTTAAATCCTTCTCAAGTAGATGATTCAATCCTACTCCAGTAAATGGTTTAATCCTACTCTAGTAGATGATCCAATCATACTTAGGTATATGGTCTAATCCTACTACAGTAGGTGGTCCAATCCGACTCCCGTAGGTGATCCAATCCTACTCCAATAGGTGGTTCAATGATGTTAAAGTAGGTGGTCCAACCCTACTAAATTTAATGGTCCAATCCTACTCAAGTAAATGGTCCGATCTTTCTCTAAAAGATGGTTAAATTCTACTTCATTAAGTATTTCTATCTTTGTCTTCAGTTTATGTAAACCCAATACAAGAACTGAATCTGTTAAATCTATGTTCACTAAACCCTGTGTTAAACCGGAAACGATACGCTTAATATTCCTCGCAACATTAAACCAATTGATAGACGAGGAATTCTTTCATCCATATACTTATATATCCAATCAAGCTTTTATATATGTAAGTACAAAGTAAATTCTTAACTTGAAATACTGTTTCAGAATACTGGAATGTAGTTGAAATGTCTAATTCGCTTCCATTAGAGCAGTTAGAGCAGCAGCTAGAGAGAGCAATAGAAAACGTTCGACAGGTTGGTTTTCAGGGTCATAAGGAATTTTGAATGAAACTTTTGAGATTAGAGATTTTTGCATGTTTGGAATTTTTGATTAAGTAATATCACCACATATTTGTTGTGAAACGGGAGAAGGGGGGGTGAGGTCTTAGTTTCACGAGAACATGTATTTCAGGTTCGGATTGTTGTTAGTGACTTTCAGCCTCAAGGTCAACCAGGACTTAATCAGAAACTTCAACAGATAGTTAGAGATCTAGGAGAGATAGATAAACTCAGGTATAAAGAGATATATGTAGATAGATAGTTACAGGTCTAGGAGAGATAGATAAACTCAGGTATATAGAGATATATATATATAGATAGATAGTTACAGGTCTAGGAGAGAAAGATAAACTCGGGTTTATATAGAGATGTATATAGGTAGATAGTTACAGGTCTAGGAGAGATAGATAAACTCAGGTTTATATAGAGATATATAGATAGATAGTTACAGGTCTAGGAGAGAAAGATAAACTCGGGTTTATATAGAGATGTATTTAGGTAGATAGTTACAGGTCTAGGAGAGATAGATAAACTCGGGTTTATATAGAGATATATATAGGTAGTTAGAGAAATAGAATAGATAGATAAACACGGGCATTTAGATATAAATATATAGTTAGATTTTTAGGAGAAATAGATAAACTCAAGTATTTAGATATGCATAGATAGTTATAGATCTATGAGAAATAGATAAACTCAGGTATTTAGATATATATATATATATATATATATAGATGAGTTAGATAATAGATATATATTAAGATGGTTTGAGATCTAGGAGAGATAGATAAACTCAGGTTTTGAGATATAGAGATTTAGGAGAGATACATAAACTCAGGTATTTAGAGATATAGAATATAGATATTGATAGAGAAAATATAGATATTGATAATTAAGATATCAAGTGTACATCATGAATCTTATTTTAAACGTAATTTTGTAAGATCTAGTTCCAAAGAATTTATCGTTAATTCGTCCATGGATACTCACTTCCGTTCTATATATCCAATCTATATTTAAGACCCAGTGTAGCGGATATCCAGGTACCCCTGGACGTATTCGATTATATTGACTCAGGACGGAACCCTCAGCTCTATACTAAGGATTGTATGGAGAAGGCGCATTCTAAGAACGGAGAAGTGAAAGGAAAAATTGACGCATATCGGTACGATTTTTTAATCATAGGGGTTAAATTTTGCTTATTAGATTTTGTGGCTGGAATAGGGTTGATAATTTGTTTTATTTAACGCGTTTAAAATATCTTAATTCAGTTTGAAAATTATATTTTTTGAGACTTGATTACGGATGAAACTTTTAAATCTAAATTTGACGAATTTTTTTTCTTCAATGTTTTTACAAAATTTGTTGACAATAATCTCAGCGTGAAATTTTAATTTATATTTTCTCATAAAGGAAACGCTGTGGGGGTGGGGGGGGGGGAATTCAATTTTTAAAAGTGTATTTTTATCCTATTTTTTTCAGAATGTTCAAGGCCCGTCTGTTGGTTGAACTGAGTGCTGTTTTCCCGAACGAGATGAAGTTCTATCGCGCCAATAGAGTTGATGAACGAGGAAACCAGTGAGCTATGATTAGTGATACTTATCTATCATGGACATTCATGTCTATCTCAGGATCCAGGAATCTGTCAAGCAAAATATTTCAGATTTTGACATTGCGCTAGAAACAGCCATCTCATCATTTCCTCAAGGCAAACAGCGTTAAACTAAGAAAATTATAAAAAATGTAAATTATTTAAATGATGTTTTTTAAAAAATGAACTATCCATTATGTATTTTTTCTGTATTTTATTTTACGACTGTTAAGAACGTGCTGAAACTGTTCGAAGTATCGTTACCCAAGAATACCAGAAGTTTATAAAATTTAATTATAAATCATCACATTCATGGGAGAATCGGAAAAAACTTTTCCAGAACTTTGTCTCGTCAATACAGGACGGAGCTAAACCAGGGATTATTATAAACCTTGCACAACAAAACAAAACGTCGCCAGCCCTCGCCGCTAAAATCATTCTAGAAGAATATTTAAAGGTAAAGATTTCTTTTATAAAAAAACTAGATTGGGAACCCAGCGCTTCCAAGGTTAATGAAAGTTACTCCCGCCGTTTACCCGCACTCGAACAATTTTACCGGGAAACTAAATTTTCGCTATTAAAGTCGACCTACTCAACTTAGAATCTCAAAACCAAACTAAGAACATTCCCGTGGTTCTCCCAAGTTCCTCAATCAAAATTTGAGGCAAATTAGTCCAGGGGTTCCTGAGTTATGATCGGACAAAAACAAACAGACATACAAGCAAAGATTACAACTTTATTTATATAGATACTCCGCACGGGAGGGGTTTCTGTGGATTATTTTACACATAATTGAGGAAGATTCAAAATAATACAAAATTGGTCGAGTTTATTATCTTTATTCAAGTATAATATAAATTTCACACACAAAATACAGATAAACTAGCTTGGGAACCCAGCGGTGCCTAGGGTACTTAAAGTTAATCCCGCCGTTAATCCAGCTTTATATATATAGAATTATAGGTGTTGTATATGGTGGATTTAAATTTTTTATATTATCCTTAATTCAAATTTCAACTTTTTTAAGTTTTCATAGTTTTAGTTTTTAGTTTATCAAAAGTCTCCTTATTTCTGAATGGTTCATAAAGTTTTGGGACAAAATTAAGCGAAAAACGGAAGAAATGTAATTTTAGTTTTTTTTTCAACACATCAGTAAATCTGGATTTGAATCCGGATCCATTTATTTTTAGTGCAAATCTAGGATCCGGATCCGCAACAAAATTAAAAGGATCCCAAAAACTGGTTCATGTGAAAACCAAGATCTATATAATTGATTTTTATATTCAGAAAGAATCAATAGAGGAAACTGAACCTGGAGATAAAAGGGTTGAGACTGCTTTTCGGTAACTAAGATTTAAATAATAAAAACAAAACATAAAAATAAATGAAATTAGATAGTAAAAGAAATGAATATTTTTATAAAAGTGTGAATACAATTTAGATTTGTTGATGATCTTGCTTTTCCGTTTAATCTGTTAACGACTGTTTTTTTAATAGAATAATGAGAGGTTTTGTTACCAGTTAACTCTTAACCAACATTTAACCGTTTCTTACGTCATTATTCCCCTGGGCTTGTTAGAGGTTGCCATAAAATCATTCAATTCTCTCCCTCCAGTTTTTATCCGAACCGAGCTAATCTAGTTATTTGTCTCCAAGAGAATGTTATAAGTAAATATTCTATCGCACAAATTCCATGATTACCCTATGTACTTTCACACCCAGGCCTTACTTGGGGAAAAATAGTTAAGACATAGTTTGTGTTTTTTTTATTGTATACCTTAAGACTCGGACTTAAAAGACACTAATTAGTGGATTTCTATGCTACAAAACGAACAGTAAAAATAACCTAAATATGTTTACTTCACTCATTTATAATGGGTAATGAAAAACACACGTTCAGCAAATGTATTAACGTTATTTTGTGTAAAAGATATTGTTAAAATTCACCAATGTAACAAATAAGTGACAAGTTTGATTCCATAAGTTACCCTAAAAACTTCATTATATCATCAAAAATGTTTGAGATTCCCATGTTTTTAACTAGGAACATAGATTATTTTCAGCAGCCGTTTCTCTATTTAAGTGAATTGCGGACTTGTCCTGCAGAAACAACACAGTAAATTGTGAGAAAAAACAAGCTAGAAAATGATGATTAGATCAGATTTCAAAGATTTAAGGGTACCGTTGACAATCAGACAAGCCTCTCATTTAACGGAGGGTCACTTGAAATTAATACGACAGTCCGACTAATAAGTAAGAACCCCCACGGGTAAAAATGAAAGTAATAACCCCAAAACCTTGAGTACTGATGAGTACATCGTAGAAACGTCAAAATACATTTATTGAAAAGTGGTCTCCTATCGTTTATTTCAAGTCTGGTTTGGTTCAACCTTCCACCAACTATTATAAATCCCAAATGCCATTTAAGGCTGCGTGTAAACCAGTTACTGAAGAACCACGCTCTAGTTCCTGATCGGGATCTTTCCTACGAGATCTTTCTCGCTAAACTCAAGGATCACAGCTACGGTCCTCTGGCAGAAGCAATTAAACACAGTATAGGTTAGCAATTAAGAAAAAAAAAATTTTACGATTTTCTAAATTCTGGACAAAACTTGAATTAATCCACGGGTGGGCCTATACTTACGGAAATTATTCACTAGAATGCATATGCGCTAAACTCTGTATTACACAATGAACTCGGTTTTGGTGGGTAAAAACTGTGTTACATTCAAGTTAAATAGACAATTTAATTATGTCGAAACAATAATTTAAAGTTTCTACACGATAGTTCTTTATATTTTAATATAATTATTTTAGTTTGCTCTCCATTTTTTAGACTTGCAACCATGTTGTAACTAGAACTTTGGACTGCGACTAAGACTTTAATACTAACCTCAATTTCATGTTTCGGTTCAAGTACATTGGTCCAGCCCCCGAAACTGAGTTCATAGTGTATTACAGATTTACAATTTTCCTATTGGCCTTACCTGACCTTATATTAATCTAATCAACTGTCTAGGAGAAGAACATGAACAAAAGTTGAAGGACTGTTTGAACGCCTTGAATATCCCGTTCAGGTTCTAATCTAAATCTTATCTCACTAATAGGCTTTGTTATTTTATTTTATTGGTCCTGGTACAGGGGCGTACTGAGGGGGTGGGGGCGAGAACCACGGGCTCCTCTAGGGCCCCCTGACCTTAAGTCTATTAATTTATTAAACTTCCATATATATTCGCTTCTTAACCATTGAAACTTTGTTTATTTAAAGTTATTAGTCTTTAGTAATCAATTTTAAACTCTATTTTTTTTTCTTAAAATCGGTTTTAGGGGGTTGAAATACGACCTCTATTGGGGGGGGGGTGTGGACTAAAAAAAGTTCACCCCCCTAGTCTAAAACTCCAATACTGCTAAGTATATTTAGTCGTATTTGTCGGTGATATAAAAGTGGCACTTTGAATTTTTTTCTTCGTATGGTTTAAAGGGACTGTAGTGACCATACAAGTAAAGATGGCAATGCTCAATTTTAGACGATATCCTTGACACCTTTATCTGATCAATAATGTGGAAGATAATTTAGTTTTTTAGGTTTTAAAGTATTGAACTGATAATTCCTCGATCTTTTCCTGCAGTGGAAATGCGTAAATCATGTTTTCTTGAGAAATCACGATTGAAAATATTCTGGTTTTAACCTTATAAACATAATTATCTAATTCATAATTCATCAGAGCTGAGAACTTTAGAATGTTGGATATTTGGATTCATGCTTAATCCTCTTTTTCTTGCTAATCTCGAGATTATGTTTGTCTCGAGATTAAATATTTCTAGGCACACCCGATTTGTTCGTTTTCTTGATTGGAAGGGCTTTCATTTAATTTTTCGCCCATTTATTTCTTAATACATTAGTTAAATTGGCTAAAAAAAAGAATCTTAAACGTACGTAAATATTTTTCTTCACTGATTAATGTACAAAATGGCCGACAATAAATTCTTAATTTGTTAGCAATTGCGGATTTCTCTCATGGAATAGAATTTATTTTCAAGGCTGTCATTTGTCAATACAAGTTACGAACTATATTTCTCTTTGGAGAAAACAATGTACGGATATCCAAAGAGAGAGAAAAAGAGTGGATTACGGACTATAATTAAAAGTTTCCACAGTGGATATTCGGATTAAGTAGTTTTGATTAAAGGTTATCCATTCTAAAGTTCCCAGAGCTGAAAACTTTAGAATGGTGGATATCGGGATTAATGCTTGATCCTCTCTTTTTGATAATCTCAAGATTAACATAATCTTGTAAGATTATCTTAAAAGTGTATGAAAAACGATAAAATTCAAATTAATATTTAATCATCTGAGAAACTGTAGCAGCCAATCAGAGAAAGCGGGAAACCAATGAGAGAACAGAAATAATCTCATTGGAGAAAACAATTAACAATTAATCCAAGGAGAGAGAAAAAGAGTGGATTAAGGACTAAAATGAAAAGTTTCCACAGTGGATATTCGGATCAAGAAGTCAGGATTAAAGTTTATCCATTCTAAAGTTCCCAGCTCAGCTCAGTTAAAGCTTTTAGGGGTACCGTTGTGAATCGGGCAGTGCTATCTTTGTATGAAGAGTCACATGAAATGACACTTACAGTCCATTAAACTCTCATATCATCTTTATCTCTTTAATGGTTAAAAATCCTCTGCTGAACACATAAAAAACCCGCGATATTTGCATTGTTTTTTTTTAGTGACGAGCACGTGTTGAGAGGCCATGGTTATGATAAAACCCCGGATGTAAAACTAGAAGTTCCGATCGCTGTCAACGGAAAGATTATTAACTGGATAGAGTCTAAGGTTAGGAATGCCTTTAAATAGAAATTTAATAGAAATTCAAAAGTGTAATAAGAGGGATACTGATTTTAATGCCAGTTTCCATCTTAATAAATTTTTAATCCCACTTTTGAATCTCTACTTTGTCAACAACACCGTCGAAATGAAATCTTTTCCCTTAAAAATTACATTTCTCTGGAATCATTTTTAAAACCTGATCTTTGAATTCTTGGTATAAAGTAAGTAAGATGCGAATGTATTAAATCAAAAGAAGTTGTTAAACCACGTCTATGCGGTTCAACTACTTCATATATTATATCTGTTCCCGGTCAATATTATTTCCTATAGGCTCTGTTTGGAGACCGAGAGAGCCACGAGGGATATCTCCGAGATCAGTTTTGGTCCTACTGGAACCGGTTTGGATCCGGTCTGGTTATCTACTGGTTCGGATACATCAAACAACTAGGCAATCTATTATAAACATTTTGTACTTATTCTAGTTGGAACTTTATGAATACGGTTTGATTTGATCCCGGCTTAAAGGGAATTGCGATACTTTCAAGAGACCTTCCATTTAAAGAAGTCTACAATTGAAAGTAATCAATTTTAGAAGATAAAATTATGGATATAACGTGCATTCTTGAATAGTCAAAGATATTAAGGGTACCGTTGTGAATCAGGCATGCCACTGAAACAAATTAGATTGATGAATTACTTTTTTTTGACTAGTTATGCCGAGCTTTACCGTTATTTTCCATTTTTTACATAGACTGTTGTGTAATTTTGCACCAATGTAATTTTTATTCAGCGTCTCGGTTCTATAAATAAATCTGAAAATGTAATAAAGCGATGTATTAATGGATTGTGTGTGCAGACAGTAATTCTGAAGCTGGAATAGTGCTAACAGATCGCTTTCCAGACGTATCAGGGAACAAAATGATGAAAACCCTCTTTTTTTCTGCCTTTTTTCAGAAAAGTTAGATTATTGAATTATTGTGATGAAAAATGAATATTCGGATCTTAAACCAATTGATTTAAATTTACAGTGAGTAAATCCCCTTTCTTTGAATATAAGCGAAACTGTTCGTGTTTGCCTCCCTGAGTGCTAGAACCCCTGGGCACCGTCTGAATCCTACTAATATTACAAAGTTACTTAAAAATCATTTGAAATCCTCCTGTTTATTATATTATTTTGACCTTTTTAATTCGGTACCAGTGAAACAAAAAACAAAGTACGTACATAGAAAATTGATTCCTAAAACTTGATGTTTCATGTTTCTTAACCCTATCTCTGCTGGGGTACTTAGTTGACCCCCCCCCCCTCTAAATCCCATGTTTGATGTCCAAATATGACAAATGATACATCATTGGAAAGCTCTTGTACTCTACTTTTAGAATCTGCAAAAAAATTGTTTTTTATTGCAAAATCCAGTTATATAGTAAAAATGTTTGCAAAAAAAAATTGTCCAAAAATATGCAAAAATGTTTGCAAAATTTTTAATAACCTGATTTTTAATCAAGAAAAACTAAAAATGTGCAAATTTCCTTTGGGGGTTCCATGCCGGGTTCCTTTTCAGATCTTATAATTATTTCTTATTTCTTGCAAAAAATTTGCATTTTTTTGCAAAACTTGTGCAATTCGTTTCCTTATGTCAAAGGCTTTCCAAAAAGCTAAATTTTATCAAAATCTGACAAGTGGAAGTGGGTCAAAACAAAGATTTAGTTTGTTACGGGAAAAAACAGTCATTCAGGCAGTGTGCCTGAGGACTCAGGCAGTTAGTATTATAGCCCGGTTTTAGGCCTAAAGGGAGGGCTTTGGGTATGTAGGAAAAGTCAGAAAATTTCAATAGCCTCAGACCAATACTTTTTGAGTTATGTAAAAAAAAACTACAGGGGGGGGGTCAAATTGACCCCCCCCCCCAGCAGGAGTAGGGTTAATATTTTCTTTTGATTAATTTCCCGTGATGTTATTATTTCCCCTAGAGAGGAGAGATGGATTACAATATTTAAAAATGAAAAATATTACGTTCAAGGAATTGTTAGATTTAAAAATTTACGTCATTTGTTCAATTAAAATCTTGCATTTTGTGTAATTTGATTAAAAACAAATTTCAGAAAATTTCTATTCATACAGCCTCCATAGTCCACAATCCTCTCTGATCTGATTAAAAAGTTAAAAACATTTTTAAGAGTAGTTTTTATTTGTTTTGTATCCAGAGATAACAAGATACGATCCGAAGCTGATCTCCCAGAGAACAGATAAACTTGTATTCCTGGGCAAGGCTGAGAAAGGACGGAGAAGTGTAAGTGATATCCTTCCCTCCAGAGCAACAGATTCCTTCTCCACTTCATTCGGAGAACTTTCAATTAAAGAAAGTCAATAAAAAGTGCCAAGGAGTGAGTGGAAAAGTGATCTTGAGTCAAAAAAGTGCCAAGGAGTGAGTGAAAAAGTGATCTTGTTGACAATAAGTTGGTTTAAAAAACAATTTTCTCGATAGAAGAAACATTTAAAAAACTGAAAACCCTTTATGTTATTAAGTGATAAAGCATTAAATTAAGATGGAACCTTCCTTAAGGTTTGCCGTAGTATGTTCCTCGAATATGAACAGGTAAGGGATACTGGAACGTTAAATGTTTCAAGAAAATTCACAACATTTTACTAAATATCATGTTCAGGCAACTGGATAATCTCGCTATGGTAAAAAAAGCCATTAGCAATTCCCATAATTCTATTGCTGATCTTCCTGCTGTGTGAAAGTTTGCTTACAAAGTGAAATTAAATAATAATAAACTGCTTTTGGGGATATCTATAAGGACCGTTGCGTGCCGATAAAGGTTTCAAGGGTACCGTTGTGAATCGGGCATCGGGAATTGCAGTATGGGTTGCCCCCTATCCAATAAGTTGTTGATTTTATTTCTTATGTATATATGTCAATATGATTACGTTTTTTATTCCAGTTGTGATAACTTAATAATCAAGTGCAGATCCCGATCCATTGGATTCGCAAGATGTTGTTTTCCTTGATCCAGATCCGCAAAAATAAGACGAGCCCCGGATCCAAGAATAAAATATCAACCAAAAACTGCAAAAAAAAATTTTTTTACTCTCGAAACCCAAATGTGAACTGTTGAAAAAAGAGAGATTATAATTTCTGAATGGTTCATTAAGTAAGCTTTAAAAAAAAGCGAAAAAAAGAAAAAAAATTGTTTGATAATTCTGCTTCGTAAAAAAAATCAGTAAATCTTAAAGAAATGGTCATTTGGATCCGGATCAATTTTTTCTTGTGCGGATCCGTATCAAAATTAAATTGATCCTTAGCATTGCTTTAATCAAATGTTATACTTAAGGTCCATGGAAGCGCATGCGCGTTTGAAGAAGAAGGGATTTAACGTGCGCAGTTTCGGAACCGGAGACAAGATAAAACTACCTGGTCCGTCTCTAAACCAACCTAATGTTTACGAGTTCGGAACCTCGTATGAAGAGATACATTCAGATCTTGCAAGGTTAGGTCCAAAATTATATTCACTTGTTTCAACTTTTATTTTATTTTTTTTTTATTATTACAAAAACTGATTTATCGTGATAGGTTTTAAGACAGAGATTCAATTTTCGGAATCCTTTTTTAAATTGAAAGGAAATTTTAATCAGAAATTGATAAACTTCTCTATTCAAAACGTTCATAAAGAATTTTAAAGGACTAAAATTCTGAAGAAAATATAAACGTGTTCGTCCAAGAAATATTCAATACAACCCCCCAGACCCACAATTTTAGTCTTAATTTCCTTACTTGTATCCTGATAGAGATGTTTAAGTTCATTATATAAATGACTGGTGAAGTACCAAGCGCTGCCAATGGTATTTCTAAAAATCGTTTAATGCGCACAGCTGAAACAACCTTATGTTTACCAACAATTTATCTAAGGGATAAGCCACCTAAACTTTAGTTGAGTTTCATCCGTATGAACTTGGCCTGCTTACCAGGCCTTACCTAAAAATGACCTTGCATCATTTAGCTAGGAAGGTGCTGATTGGTGGTTTTAAGGTTGCCATAATAAATAAATAAATATCTAACACATGCACATACACATACCTATAATACCTGCTTTTATATATAAGACTAGCTGAAGTGCCCATCGTTGTTCGAGGAATTTTTTAACCTTCAAAAAGGTGCCATGGAAACGCCTCAACACGGAAACCTCTCAACGCGGAAATGCCTCAAAAACCGGTTTTGAGGAATTTTCGTTTTATTTTGGGAAATCCCTCAAAACTGGAAAAAGTTGAAGGATTTCCGAATATTTTTGAGGCGTTTCCTAATATTTAAAGTTTCCTCTTTTTTTTGAGGCGTTTCCGTTTTTTAAAAAAGTTTTTAAACTTTATTTAGTTGAGGCGTTTTATCTTTTTTTGAGGCGTTTCCGTTTTTTGAAAAAACTTTTCAAACTTTATTTTGTCGAGACGTTTCCTCTTTATTTTGAGGCGTTTCCGTTTTTTTTGGGGCGTTTCCGTTTTTTTGGGGCGTTTCCGTTTTTTGAAAAAAACTTTTAAAACTTTATTTTGTTGAGGCGTTTTCTTTTTTTGAGGCGTTTTCTTTTTTTAAGGCTTTTCCGTTTTTTGAACAAACTTTTAAAACTTCATTTTGTTGATAGGTTTCCTCTTTTTTTTTTGAAGCGTTTCCGTTTTTTTGAGGCATTTCCGTTTTTGAAAAAAGTTTTTAAACTTTATTTGTAGGTCGGACATGGTCATCAAATGATATATGGCAGTGCTCGGCCCAGAAATTGTCTTAACCTACCTAACCCCACATATCGTCTATTTCTTAATATTTGATATTTGGCTGCAGCGCTTGGCCCCCTAGCCTGTCCTAGTTGCAGCGCTTTACCTAACCTAACCCCACATTTCTTTCTACCAAATCCAACAGATCAGCTATCATCTTTGTCAGTTTGATAACTGTGGCCGCAGCGCTCTACCACCTAGCCTGTCATAGCCGCAGCACTCGGCCCAGAAATTGTCCTAACCTAACCTCACATCGGCTATTCCTTTGTCAATTTGATACTGTGGCTGCAGCGCTCGGCCCCCTTGCCTGTCCTAGCGCTCGGCCCAGAATTTACCCTAACATCCAACTTATTAAAAGTGTGCATCTGACCTACAGAAGTTGTGCATACGACCTACAAAAAGTGCACATCCAACCTACCATTGATGGTACCATCTGACCTACAAAAAGTGTACATATGACCTACAAAAAGTGTATATCCGACCTATACAAAAAGTGTACATTCAACCTAAAAAAAGTATACATCCGACCTACAAAAAGTGTACATCCGACCTAGGAAAATTGTAAATCCGACCTACAAAAAGCAGTACATCCGACCTAAAACAATTTTAGTGTACATCTGACTTGCAAAAAGAGGGTATATCGCTGCCTTCTAAATCAACTCGCTCCATGCAGCACATGCTAGAACTCTATCACGCCTGTATATGGTCGGATTAAAGAAAAAAATGTGCAACCGACCAACAGCTGTTGTAGACGTTATTACCAATCAGACAGACATTTTTAAATAACTTTGTTAGAAATCAAAACTTAAATAGAAACGCCGTCTTATTGCATTGAATAAAATTAGTGATAATCAAAAAAGAAAAGATGGGTCCGTCCTAGTTTATGATTTTTGGACCCCTCCTATCAATTTTGAACATGATCATTTTTATTTTTTAGAAAATCGTTTTCTAGGAAATTAACCAAAAGATAAATTGGATGCATTAACAGGCAAATTTTCATCATTTTCAATTATTTTTAGTTTTTACCCAAAAATTCAGCAATTAAAACTCTTAAAATCCTAAAAAATGTTTTTCTAATTTTTTCTAATCCCTATTTCTTTGAAACCTCATGGTGTTTAGTTTCTGGGAGGAGATTAATTATTTTGGAATGGGGGGAAAGATTTTTTAAGAAAGGAACCAAGTTTTTTTTTAAAACGAAAAAAGAGGAAATGCCCCAACTAAATAAAGTTTTAAAAGTTTTTTAAAAAACGGAAAAGCCTCAAAAAAAAGAGGAAACAACTAAATAAAGTTTAAAAACTTTTTTTTCATAAACAGAAATGCCTCAAAAAAAACGGAAACGCCTAAAAAAAAAAGAAACTCCACTAAAAAAAGAGGTAACGCCTCAACAAAACAATTGTCAGGTGAAAAGCGGAAACCCCTCAAAAATTCTAGGAAACGCCTCAAAATAAAGAGGAAACCCCTCAAAAACTGGGTTTTGAGGGATTTCCGTTATTCTTACAGAAATTACGGAAACGCCTCAAAAAACCGGTTTTTGAGGGGTCTCCGCTTTTTTTTGAGGCATTTCCGTGTTTAGGTGTTTCCATAGCACCTTAAAAAACCTGGGATTCCTCGGGAAGTTAAAGGGAGGTGGGAAGTTATTGTGAAAGGAAGGGGGGGGAGTGACAAGAGAGGGGGAAGTAATGGGATGTGGGAGGGAGGGAGTAAGTGGAGAAGTGGTTCCTCGTAATGTCACCCAATTTGGTTTAGCTATTTCTAACACATATATGAGCGAAGAGTTTTAATATATAGATTGATATTCTCTAGGAAGGATAAGACGATGTATAAGCAGAATGGGATCCTACATATGCTGGACAGGAACAGGATGATAAAGGTTAGAAAGCTTACTTTTAATGAAGATGACTAATATTTTTATTAGTTTAATTCTATTCAGCAGTGGGGTGCTCCTATTTTGTGTTCAATAAAAAATATAATAAATTATTTGACATTAAGAAAATACAAAATAACTTCCAAGGTATATAAATCAATTTGAGTCATATTAAAAACAAAACTACTTGTAATTATGGTAGTAAATCTATAAATCTATAAACTCACTTATGTTTGTTATAATAACTGCTGAATTATGTAGGAGAGACCTGAGAGGTTACAGGACTGCAAGGAAAAGTTTGATGTGATAATAACTGCAGAGGAGAGGGTCTACGATCAGGTATAGACAAAAGGAATAACCAGTTTAAACCGGAATGAAAGTTTAAACCAGTGTTTAGGATCCATATCATTTTGATTCGGATCCGAGGTAACTTTTGATTCTGTGAATCGGATTTTCCCTATTAAATGTTATGCAAGGTTATAATTTATAAACTATAGTAATCCTAAAGTTAAAAATGTCGTCATTACTATTATATAAATGTAAACATTAAATTATTAAAGATAATTTTGAAAAATTTTCGTCATGTAAATAATACATTTACGAACCATTTTGATTTATTTATTCCATGGTTTTGGTTAATTTTTGGCGCTACCCGGATCCATATCAACGTTTCCTGATACGGATCCGGATCCGACCAAATGATACGGATCCGACCGGATCCGAAACACTGGTTTAAACTATCAATTAGAAATTTATATATTATTATTATTAATATTATTATATATCTCTGAAGATATGTTCACGGCACATTTGCTGTAACAATTACATATCACAAAATCCAAAATCCAAAATTCTTTGTGACTCTGCACCTTGTTTCGAATTACAACGGTAGTTTTAACCAAAATAATTAGAAAATGATAATCTTATGAGTAAAAAATGAAATAATATAATAATGCATCAAGATTATATCATCGAGTTTAAGAATTCCATAATTACATTTTTATCCTTAAAGATTATTATTATATCATATTTGTGAGGTTCCATACCCAAGAAATTATATTAAAAAATAATTCTGGTGAAAAACGACTATTTCAAGTTGGAACCGTTGAAATTATGAAAGGTTGCAAATAAGTTTTATGCTCTTGTTCTGACTAACACTGTTCTTTATTTTTCTAATGTTAAAATGTTAAAATGTTAAAAACCATTGTATAAGTAAACATTGGTTCTTAATTTGAAAGAAATGCATGTGGTGTGATTGTTTCCTTAGTTTAGTTTGTTTGTTTACCAATTTCTAATGAATTTGCTTGTTTTTCAAGTTGATACTACATTTAGATACAGCATGTTGAATGTGCTTTTTTTTCAGATGAGGAGAAGGTATAGTAGTGGGTTGTCTTAATCTACTGAACAAAATCGTGAAATCATTTACATTTGTAATATTTGGACAAAATATACAGAATTAAGAGATAATGGGGGTCTATTTGCCCACCACCCTACAGCTAAAACTGGTGTTAAAGTACCTCAGCAGTCACCATATCTCGCATAGCTCGAGCTGAAGTGGTATCACATTGACTATTAGCTTATGAAAACAAGTCATTGAAGTATAAGTGTCACAAACTTTATGTGGGTTCTTAGCTCTCCATAGCAATGAAAAAAACACAATAAATTTTGATTCATGGATAATAGACAAAGATCTTCATCATATCATTTCTTGAACTAGTTCTTGCTAGATAACCTGCTTAATTCTCTCCTCTTTTGGAAGATTTATGATCATATATCCAGCAAATGATTTCTTCTTTTAATTATTTCACGCTTTGTTCAGTAGATTGAGACAACCCACCACTATTCTCTACCTTCTCTCCATCTAAAAAACTCTGGGCACATTCAATATGCTAAATCTGAATATAGCATCAACTTTTAAAAAAAACTAGCAAATGCAAATAACTTAACAAACAACAAACAAACTAACTAAAGAAACAATCACACCACATGCATTATTTACAAATAAAGAACCAATTTTTACTTTTAAAGGGTTTTTAATATTTTACTGTTGTTACATTAGAAAAATAAAAAATGTAATAGTCAGGATTGACAAGAGCATAAGTGAAATATAAAAACTTTTTTGCAACCCTTCATGATGTCAATTGTTCCAACTTGATAAAGTCGTACCAATGGAATATTTTCTTGTTAATGTATAATTTGTTTTAAAGACTGTATTATGAGATCTACATTGTAAACCTCAATCCTGCAAATTGAATATCCCATGCCACTTTAATATGTTAACATGTTATTTTGCAATAAATATTACTTACTCTAAGTTGTATTTCACACGAATTTTTAAAAATACAATTTCTTGGGTATTTGCTCATGGAACCTCAAAAATATAATATACAGCCTTCGTTAAAGAATACATCAGGATTATTTCATCTTGTATAAGAATTTTCATTATTACATTTTTTCTCATAAGATGATTATACTCTTTTACTGTGTAATAATTTCAAATCTTACATGGTCTGAGCGTTACAGAATGAAAACTCTATGCTTACAGCTGCAGTTTAAAAATAACCATTCTGAAACGCTAGGAAGCTAAGAATACCGAAATTGTTCCTCCTGAACCGTGTTATAATGGTAATTCTTACACGATAGGTTTACTACTCTTCCTTATTTGCTTTATAGGAAAATTTATCAAAACTTCTTCCATCGTTTCTAAGAATTAATCTGACCACATTTAAAAAAACTTGAAAATTCTGAGCTCAAATAATGACTTACCTGTTTTTAATACATAGTAAGTTTTGGAATTATCCTTAACATGTTGCAGGTTATCGATCACTTCTCCAACAATGGGAACAAGGAGGATGTAATGGTTCATGTTATCAATATAGATATACAGGATAACCAGGAGGAGGCTACAATAGGTAACTTTAATACAGGATAACCAGGAGGAGGCTACAATAGGTAACTTTAATACAAGATATCCAGGAGGAGGCTACAATAGGTAACTTTAATACAGGATAACCAGGAGGAGGCTACAATTGGTAACTTTAATACAAGATATCCAGGAGGAGGCTACAATAGGTAACTTTAATACAGGATAACCAGGAGGAGGCTACAATAGGTAACTTTAATACAGGATAACCAGGAGGAGGTTACAATTGGTAACTTTAATACAAGATATCCAGGAGTAGGCTACAATAGGTAACTTTAGCAAGATAACCAGGAGGAGGCTTCAATAGGTAACTTTAATACAAGATATCCAGGCTAAAATAAGTAATTTCAATTAAACCTTAAAAAACAGGATTGAAAAATTATCTTTTAAAGAAATCTTAAATTCAACCTTTAGGCAGTCAATAAAGCCTTTATTTTGTTGTAGCTCTGCAATTAACATCATCAATAATAGTATTTGTCAACCATGGCTCCAGATCAACATTAAAAAAAAATTAATTTTATTGTTTTCAGGTGCATTCCTGTTTCACGAATTGGCCCAGCAGATTGTGCTGAGCAACGACCTAGACAACGAGATGGACGAACTCTTGCAAGACATTGAGATCAAGTGCAACAGATCCATCCTTCATAGTGTACTTTTCTACTAGAATACAGTGTACTCTTCTACTAGTATACAGTGTACTCTTCTACTAGAATACAGTGTACTCTTCTACTAGGATACAGTGTACTCTTCTACTAGAATACAGTGTACTCTTCTACTAGTATACAGTGCACTCTTCTACTAGTATACAGTGCACTCTTCTGCTAGTATGCTGTGTACTACTCTTCTTCTTGTATAAATTTACTCTTCTACTAATATACTTCTTAAATTTTAGTATACTCTTATTCTAGTATACTATACTCTTCTTCTAGTATACTATTATACTCTGGTCAAATTGACCCCTAACCATCCCCAACCCCCCCTCCCTGCTGAGGATGGGTATAGAGCATGGAAAATTCTTCAGGACAATGCAACCTTAACCTGGCCCCCCCTCCCCTGCTCCAGCTGCCGTATCTAGTGTTGCCCCCTACAGGGGTTGACCAGCAAGCTGGCCCCAGGATTAAGAATTGGCGGGATCTGGGTTCAGAACACAGAGAGGGAAAGANTGGCGCATAACTCCTATACTTAGGGTGAGTATGTCTATAGAAATCAGTGGTTCAGCCTTTGTCTTCTTGAGCTACATTGTATGGGGAGGGCTGGTCGTGTGTGTGAAAATAGGAATGTTTCCTTACACCATTGCGACAAACGGCGCTATGCATCGCTGATTATGGCCCTTGAGTCAAACAACTTGCTATATGTTTTGTCCTATGGCCTTGTGATAGGGTATGAATACAATGGTGAAGTGATGGAGGGAGCCACTGCGGGGAGAAACAGAATATTGTTTGCAGATGAACCGAAATTCTCAATAACACCGATGAAAGCGGACCCCATCTTCCACAACCCAATATACACACACAAGAAGAAAATGGGATCCGCTTTCATCAGTGTTATTGAGAATTTCGGTTCATCTGCAATCAATATGCTGTTTCTCCCCGAAGTGGCTCCCTCCATCACTTCACTGTTGTATTCATACCCTATCACAAGGCCATAGGACAAAATGCATAGCCAGTCGTTTGATGCAAGGGCCATAATCAGCGATGGTTTAGCCCCGTGTGTCATAATGGTGTAATGTAACATTCCTATTTTCACACACTCGACCAGCCCTCCCCATACAATGTAGCTCAAGAAGACAAAGGCTGAACAACTGAGTTCTATAGACATGCCCACCAGAGATAGGAAGGCTTGAACAAAACCTAATGAGATCCACAATGATTGGATCCAGCCTGTTCTATCCTTATAATCTATATGCTTTGACATGTCAGACAATCCCTCCTTCGCACAATGTGTGGCTTTAATAAAATGGGCTATTGGGAGAATACTGGATACATCTGAAAAGACATAGATCTTTACGAACCATCAAAAATCATCACAAACTTTAGGGACATTGATTTTTGCTCACATAGACCAATTGAAGTTAAATTCGAAATCAGAGAAAGAAATGAGGATGGCACTTTAAAATCTAGCAAACAAGTAAGCATATGGTGTGCAGTAAGACCACAGTCTGAAATCTTTGCCAAAGCTGTCTACAGCATTGGACAGTTTTTAGATTTAGAAGCGGAAGACGGACACGCCCTACAAATCAGGAATTACTTGATTCAATACAGCTTCCTGAGAGATGTAAGGAGAACTATTCAAGCTATAAGTGCTGGGGTATCGAACAACATAGTACCTATGGGTAAAGTAATGAAGCCAAGGTATCTAGTCTCCGAGTGTTGATGGAAAAGGATCTAGACATGAGTGCTTGTAAGATCTTTTCCTTGAGCAGTGCCTACCCAGTTCCTGGGATCACTGGATTATGCAATGTATGCAATGTGTGCAGAAGTCACACAGGCAGAAGACATATATTGGGGAAGTACCATACATCACTCAGCGAGAAAAAATCAGTGGCTAAATTAGCTTAGTACCATTACGGGGTTATTAAGAAAGCTATGAGGTCAAATCCTCTATTGAGATTCCGAGAACAGACATCTGAGTTGGACGCGTGTTTTCAAGTTAATAGGATACAGCCGGACAATGTAGTTCTTATAACCAACCGAACCATGGAAGGGTTCAAGACATGCCCTCCTGGATCTTTTGAAGATATAGACTGGGCACCTGTAAATTTTGAAGCAGCCCACGAAAGCAAATATCTCACCGTTAGCAAGAGCAGCATTGGATGGTTTGGAGGTTGGGTTTTAGCCTGACACTTTAAGTGATCAGGCAGCAACGAGGAGGGCCTAACCTCGTTAAAAGATCGGGGCAATATCCCTAGCAAATTTGCTAGGAATAGTTTGAGGAGGGCCCAACCTCATTAAAAGATCAGGGCAATGTGGAGAAATCAAACTCCCCAGTAACTAATAAAATTGGCGCAGGAGGCTCTTCAAGAAGAGAATGAAGGGCTCTTGATCCATCGGCTAGTAGACCTTGGAGATTGTTCCAGGGGAATGGAGGAGGACCCAACCTCACAACAGAACTGGGTGATGAGGAGATCCACGATTCCTCAGCAAAAAACAAAAATCGGGGCAGGCGGCTGGGGAGAGAGAATTCCAGCGTCTGTATCATCCAAAGGCTCATGCAGCTAGGAGCATGAGAAAAGTATAATATCAGTTCCCTCCCTAGGGGGAAACAAGTGGGGGGCCAAAAATCCAACAATTGTGTTGCCTACATAGGTTACTATAGTTCCACTCAGTCTTCCTTTCTTCTCTCTAATCACACTCAGTTCTACCTGAGCACCTCTAGGTCTCTTCAACAATGTGATATGGTCTGCATAGCAGCAATAAAGTTCTGTTACAAGTGATGCATGATCTATCCCAGTTGAGAACTGGTTAAAAGACCAATGTTCCATCTCAAGGTCCCTTCTGCCTATCCGTGTGTCCCATCCTGCTATGTCATCAGCTACCACGTTTACAGAGTCATGGGGAGCTCTGCCGGCTTCAAGCTTGTCTTCGAACATAAGCTGGAAATAGTCTATGGGATTCATATGTCCAACAGCCATAGGATTGCAAGATCTTAGGGAAATGGCATCAAGAATGTTCCCCATTATCATCTGCTCGCAGATGCCGAAAACAATAGGATAGTATAAAATCAGGCAAGATCCCATATTTTTTCCTATCCTACATTTCTTCTTTTCACATTTTCCCATCGTGAGGACCATAGCTAAATTCAGTTTCCCTGCCCTTATTCCATTGAGCTCTTTCATAACTTGTTCCTTTATAGTTGGATCTGTTGCCCAGTCACAATCCTCCGACAATCTCATTCCAACTGAAGATATCTGAGCTCTGTTTGGCCAGATGTTCACCTTTAGAGATTATTCAAAGGTTGCAAACCAACAGAATGTGAATAGGGTGGACAACCTTATGGCAGCAGCCCCTATGGGGATTTATGGACTGCTGATGGCAGCAGTGGGGCTATCCCCGTATCTCCAGATCATATCTAGAAGCCAGTGGGGAGCATTTTTCTATACTACTATGTTCTATGTTGCCACAGCAGCCACAGGCATACTTTTGGGAAATTTCTGAACAAGCATTAAAGCTGCACATTGTGCAAAGGAGGGGTTGTCTGACATGTCAAAGCATATTGCTAGATTTTAACGTGCTGTCCTCATTCCTTTCTCCGATTTTGAATTTAACTTCAATTGGTCTATGTTAGCAAAAATCAATGTCCTTAAAGTTTGTGATGGTTGGTGAAGATCTATGTCTTTTCTGACGTATCCAGTATTCTCCAAATAGCCAATTTCATTAGCTACTGATGTGATGTCTTGTGATGTTCCTAGAACGACTTTATGTTCTTCTGATATGTAGCAATTGAGGTTCTTGTCTTCGATCCTTTGCCATATTTCCTCCACCGCTTCATCAAGATTCCCTGCCCTAATAAGGCTTGGTTATAGAGCTAAGGCCAAGTGTGGACCATTTTTCTATACAACTATGTTCTATGTTGCCGCTGCAGCCACAGGCATACTTCTGGGAAAAGGATTGCTGAACAATTGGAGCATTAAAGCCACACATTGTGCGAAGGAGGGATTGTCTGACATGTCAAAGCATATAGATTATAAGGATAGAACAGGCCGGATCCAATCATTGTGGATCCATTAGGTTTTGTTCAAGCCTTCCTATCTCCGGTGGGCATGTCTATAGAACTCAGTGGTTCAGTCTTTGTCTTTGAGCTACATTGTATGGGAAGGGCTGGTCGTGAGTGTGAAAATAGGAATGTTTCCTTACACCATTGCGACGTACGGTGCTATGCCATCTCTGATTATGGCCCTTGCGTCAGACGATTGGCTATTGCATATTGTTTGCAGATGAACTGAAATTCTCAATAGCACCGATGAAAGCGGATCCCATTTTCTGCAACACAATGTAAACACACAAGAGGAAGATGGGTAAACTTACAAAATATTCCTTTACTGATTACCAAGACCAGCACAGAGTGAAATATGTGTTGGAACCCGGTGTTGCTAGTAAGGGGTTTTACAAGAAAGACTGGCTTATGCAGTACGGACTGAAAGTAAAGGGGAATGTGCTTGAACTCGGTGGAGGTACCGGAGGAATAACACAACGCTTGTTGAAGGAAAAGACTGTAGATCATATCACGACCTTGGTGTTGGGCACTTACGAATAAGGAGAAGCTACTAGGCACAACAGATTTAAGGTGTTTGAGCACCCATTGATGAAAAACTACGCAGGCAAACATAGGTTGGTAGTTGGAGATGTCCACTCCCCTGTTGTAGATGCAAAAGATGGAACTCAAGTGAAGTTTGACAGAAAGTTGTACTCAAGTACCGGGGGAGTTGGCTGCTTAATAAGAGACATTGGTGAATCTAAATCTAACCCCACTGATCAGATGGAATATTCCAGGAAAAAGGGGGATAGTAAGCATCTACCATGATGTTGGCAAACCACCAACCTTTGTATACATGGGACCCTTATTTTGTTAACATGTGTGACAACCTCGGCCTAGGAGTGGTTAGATTTCCTGGAGCCAGCATGGCTAGCTCTGAAGTATAAGCCAAGCGGGACGATAATGGACTTGTAGGAAAACCTATAAGAGTAGCGATCCCAGAGATTGGTGATAGACTGCTACCATACATGGAGAACACTAATCAACAAACGATACAGACCATTAAGCCCAGGAGGAACATGATTCCGGATCATGAATACTAATACATGGAACCAGACGATAAAAGGAAATACAAACTCCAGGATATAGATCAGGAGAATGTGCTGAGGAACGCTGAGGAAACTGAGAAACCTCTACAGATCTGTCAAAGAACTTCATGTAATAAACAATGTTGGAGATTCTGCATCAGGACAACATTTCAATTCAATACTCAGGAGAATACTTTATCCAGTGCACTGTATCACAGGCTTCATGACCAATTGAGGATTGACCAACACATCGGCTTCCGGGACCTTTGGAGTGTACAATGAAAAAGTGGACACATGCCCTGTGGAGAACCACAACTATAGAGAACTTGAGGAGAAAATCTTCAAGAAGATGGTTGAGGGGATGATGAGCAGACTGGGCATCAACAATAGATTCACTATGCTGTCTTATGAAGAAGCCGTGAGAAAGGCTACGAGCGAAAGCAGTAGTTGGAATGAGATTGTCCGAGGATTGTGACTGGGTGACAGATCCAGCTATAAAGGAACAAGTTATGAAAGAGCTCGATGGAATAAGGGCATGGAAACTGAATTTAGCTATCGTCCTATAGCTACAGGAAAACGTGCCTGATTTCGTACTATCCTATTGTTTTCTGCATCTGCGGGCAGATGATAATGGGGAACATTCTTGATGCCATTTCCCTAAGATCTTGCAATCCTATGGCTGTTGGACATATGAATCCCGTAGACTATTTCCAGCTTATGTTCGAAGACAAGCTTGAAGCCGGCAGAGCTCCCCATGACTCTGTAAACGCGGTAGCTGATGACATAGCAGGATGGGACACACGGATAGGCAGAAGGGACCTTGAGATGGAACATTGGTCTTTTAACCAGTTCTCAACTGGGATAGATCATGCATCACTTGTAACATGACTTTATCGCTGCTATTCAGACCACATCACATTGTTGAAGAGACCTAGAGGTGCTCAGGTAGAACTGAGTGTGATTAGAGAGAAGAAAGGGAGACTTAGTGGAACTATAGTAACCTATGTAGGCAACACAATTACCAACACAAACAAGACCCTCACACACTTTTCCATGCTCTATACCCATCCTCAGCAGGGAGGGGGGGTTGGGGATGAATACAATACTGTGTGCTCTTCTACTACTATACTGTGTACTCTTCTACTAGTATACTGTGTACTCTTCTACTAGTATACTGTGTACTCTTCTACTAGTATACTGTGTACTCTTCTACTGGTATACTGTACTCTTCTACTAGTATACTGTACTCTTCTACTATACTGTACTCTTCTACTACTATACAGTGTACTTTTCTACTAGTATACAGTGTACTCTTATACTAGCATATGGTGTACTCTTTTACTAGCATATGGTGTACTTTTCTACTAGTATACTATGTACTCTATTACTAGTACATGGTGTACTTTTCTACTAGTATACAGTGTACTTTTTTACTAGTATACAGTGTATTCTTCTACTAATATACTGTACTCCTCTACTAGTATACTATAGTACTCTTCTACTAGTATACTGTACTCCTCTACAAGTATACTGTACTCTTCTACTAGTATACAGTGTACTCTTCTACTAGTATACAGTGTACTCTTCTACTTGTATAGTGTACTCTTCTACTAGTATACTGTACTCTTCTACTTGTATACTGTACTCTTCTACTAGTATACTGTGTACTATTTCAATAGTACGTGTGTACTCTTCTAGTATAGTGTATTTGCTAATAGTATACTGTACTCTCTACTAATATACTGTACTCTGCTACTAGTATACAGTGTACTCTTCTACTATTATACTGCACTCTTCTACTAGTATACTGTGTACTATTTCATTAGTACATGTAACTCTTCTGTTACTATACTATTCTCGTATACTATCTAATATCCCATTAGTACATTGTACTCTAATACTAGTAAACTGTACTGTTTAAGTAGTATACAGTAAACTCTCCTTGAGTATGTAAGGGTGTTCATAAAATAGACACTGAACTTTTTTGAATAATGTACAATGTACATTAAACGTTCCGTAGTTGTATACAGTGTACACCTTAACAATTAATATTTTGATACTTAATTTTCATGATTCATTTCTCATCTGGATTAAAATAAGTCAGTTCTGTAAACATAATTCCAATAAAAAATGTCTTAGTGATAAGCAAGTGTAATTGGTTTTTTTTTATTAAGTATTTGTTCAGTCATAATCATATGAATAATTATTTTTAATTTTTTTATTTTTGAACTAAACTAACATTTGATTCTGTAATCGTTAAATTCCGTCTGATTTTATTGTAAATAATTTAAAACCTAAATGGAAGTGAATGGCATGATTGTTTTTATGAATTCTTTTTTTGGAATTTTTCCATTTTCTTTTAAGATAAACGTTTTCTTCGCCTTAGTATCGACATTCTTTGTCAAAATGTGACATTCATGGAAATTTTTTGTGTAAGTGAAGTTTTGAATTATGTTTTGTAATTGGTAATTATTTATAAGGAATGTTTTAAATTTTGATACAAAATACTTAACTTTTGAACAATTAGTTTAAAATTGATTCAGATATGATTTCAGATTTAGATTTGTTGTCAGGTTTAGATTTGATTTAAATTCAGACTTGATTTTAAAAGATTTGATTTTAGATTTAGATTTCTTGTCAAGTGTAGATTTGATTTTAAATTTAGATTTGATTTCATATTTAGATTTGATTTTGATTTTGTTTCAGATCTTGTATGATATAAGATGTCGAAGACAACGATAAGAAAAGGGAAACAAGATGATAAGTTCTCTCTAGCAATGAGGTATGCACATTGCACATTTCTAATTGAAAATACAACAAAAATTATTTTTTGTCAATTTTAATATTATTTAATTTGGAAATTTGCGTTTTCAAAATTTTGCCAGCTTTTATTCTTGTAATATTTACTTTTCTTTTCTCTATATAATTGTTAGAACTGTTGAAATGTTGCTTTTCTCATATTTGTTCGTAAAATCAAAACTACAGGATCTACAAGGTCACAAAATCGTACCAGCAATGTCACGCAAATTTGAATTTCTCCTTCTGTCGAGTTCACAGTGGTATAAAGATAGTTTTGAGAAAATTCAGTTATACACTTTTTAATTTCTAGATTATCATATTATTATCCTTTGTATTTATTTCTAGATTATCATATTATTATCCTTTGTATTTATTTCTAGATTATCATATTATTATCCTTTGTATTTATTTCTAGATTATCATATTATTATCCTTTGTATTTATTTTTGTAGGGAGGTTCAGAGTTCTGTTCCTGAAAATAAGAAATGTTTTGATTGTGAGCAGAGAGGACCAACCTACGTCAATACTACGGTTGGAAGCTTTGTCTGCACTAAATGCTCCGGAATGCTGTAAGTCTTGAATGCAAATATATCATTAGAAAAAAAACCTTTTTCAGAATAAAAAATTGCTAAGATAAATTATCAATTAGGGACGAGTTGATTTTAATGGGTTTAAAGGACTGTAAGCGTAATTTTAAGTATCATTTAGAAATCAATGTTTATAATTGTTAAAACTGGTTATTTTTATTTGGGGTTTCTCTATAAAAGTGACTTGCGCATTTCTACTTCTAGAAACTTTTAAGAAATTACTAGAAGTAAATACTTTTTTTGAAAAAAAAACTACAATCTCTTTTACCTGAAACCGTTTGTCATCTTTGCATGATGGGTTCGCTTGAGATTTGACTTACAGTTCCTTGAAGTTCACGTTATTCAGTTATTTTTTTAATTTACCTACATGATTGTACAATGTACATCTACATATTTCTTCAGCTAAAAACTGCAAACGTGTCGTACATGCAAATTTCCAATCTAATTTCTTAATGGAAATAATGTAACCATCGCTTTCAGTGGTGTATATTTTCTCGAAATTNTAGGAAATAAAGTTTATTCACTGAATTTTTGGCTAAATAGTATTAAAAATAATGAAAAGGTTGGCTTCTGATATCCAATTTTTTCCCAAAATCATTTTTGGTGGAGGTAATTATGAAAAATATTCACCCCTGAACTCTTCAACTTTAACAAATAATAATCCCTTGAATAAAATCAGGCGTGGTATCAACCCTCCTCATCGGATAAAATCTATCTCTATGTCCACCTTCACCCCGGAGGAGGTTGAGTTGATGAGGACGAGAGGGAACCTCTGGTGCTCCAGGGTCTGGTTGGGCAACTACGAGGCTTCAACCAACCCTGTAGATTACAAGGACGATGAGAAAATTAAAGAATTTATGATAACAAAGGTAAGTTTTTTAAGTTATTCCACACATAATTTTTAATGCGAGTTTAGTGGTTTTTAAATAAATTGGTTATTATTTTCATTTCAAAATTAATTTTTCACTTTTATTTATCCATATACAGGCCCAAATTATTTTCGTCTAATATTGAGATCAGTTATTTTTGTATTGTTTTTCCCAAACGTATATCTTCGAAGAAATGGTTCACTTTGTTTGTTAGTGATATGTACCTTATTATTTGACCTGTTATAGTATGAGAGGAAACGGTACTATGTAGAAGCTAATCAGAGGCTGGCACAGACCTCACCATCTGTATCCAGTCTTAGCTCGTCTTCCTCGCAGGACTCTAAACCTATTTCTGGTCTTATAGGTCTGCCATTTTATTTAACAAGTGACCCACCATTTATATAAAAATAAGTATATCCGTTTCACAACAGTTCCCTGTAAAAGTATATCCTATTCACAACGGTTCCCTGTAAAAGTATATCAGATTCACAACGGTTCCCTGTAAAAGTATATCCTGTTCACAACGGTTCCCTGTAAAAGTATATCCGATTCACAACGGTTCCCTGTAAAAGTATATCCGATTCACAACGGTTCCCTGAGCAAAAATTATGGTGTTTTTTCATCTGAAAATAGATTATTTATGTTTGGGGTTCCTGTTAAAAGTGAATTTAAAAGTGCAGAGGAATATCGGGAAAAAATGATAATAACCGAAAAATATTGAAATATGGAGAATAAAACCACTATAAATTTCTTATTGTTATATTAACACAGGGCTGTAGGTTACCGGTGTAAGTCGAACATTTAACGCGTTGAATTAAGGGTCACTTGAAATTAAGTCGACAGTCCCTTTAAGCTATTAAAGGGATCTGTGTATCATCGTTGGGTGCATTGCGTTATATGAAGATAGGGAATAACTATCGGAAATAATTGGAAAGAATTTTTACTTGAAGAAAATACTTGGAAATAAAAACTCTTGTAATTTTAATTGTAATACAGTAAAGTTTTAATTCTGATCCTTGTTTAGGGACAACATTAAAGGCATATATTGCCCAGGGACAATCTAGCATATCAGTATCCCGCCCTGCAGCCACCGCATCCTTCCCACGCCCACAGGAGGTCAAAATTCCCGCCCAACCGATTCAGAAAACTTCCGTTCCCGCCCAACCGACCCAGAAACCTCCCGTTTCCGCCCAACCGACCATCCAGTCCCAAGAAGATAGTTTTGCAAATTTTGCTAATTTTGACTCGGTAGCGTTTGACAGTTTACCAGCAGGTACCAGTAATTATGTTTTTATACAAGGTTATCCACAAAGGATGAGACTGCAAAGACGACCTAAAACTCAATAAATATGATAATTACAAGGATAAATTAAGTCTTATGCCTTGAATGTTAAGTAGTCCAACAAGTTCACTATTGCAGAGAATAAGGAAACAGGAAGTATAAGTTCTGTAAGTCGTCTCTGAATTCTCATCCTTTCTGGGCAACCCTGTACTAGCCTTGCCTAGACTTTCTCTATAGAAGTAAACTCATTAAATTTAGCATTATTAAACCTTTCTATGAACATTCTCGAGATTTTACCGAATTTACCACGCAAAATTTAAGGCAAATTGGTCAATTGGTTCATGAGTAATTAACAGAGATTACTTCTTTCTATATTTATATTTCATACATGCATTAATAATATCAATATATTGTCATCGCTATCAATAACTGCGCTCTTCATTCATTTAAAAAAAAATCAATATCCCTTCGTGAACATCGTACCTTACTTCGAACCCGAATAATTAATTTACCGATGCAGATTGATAAAAAAGAAAAATCTCATAAAATAGGGCGTAAAGTACAAAATTCAATTTGTTAAAAAAAAATATAAAGCTCGTGATATTTGTGATCAAATCATCTGTTTACTGTGTAGTGTACAAATTTTGAGGTATTCTGCTACTAGATACTGGAGACTGGCAGGTTTCCTTCAGTAATATTGACTCAAAGGTTTCACCTGTGCACCCTAATCCGTCTCATCCACCCGTCAGACCTTTATCATTGCCACCAACTAAATGCCGGAGTATGAATGATATCCTAAGTTTAAGTGAACGGGGAGGAGCCGGAACTTTACCTCGTAAACTAGCTCCGCCTCCGTGTACGCCCCGAACAGGGCGGAGATATGGTTTGCCGGATATTGACCCAAAAGCAACAAGACCTACTCCCCCCAGTAAGCTATCCCTAGCACACTCAAACCTGTTCTCTGGTAAACTAAACTTGAAGTCCTCTCCATCCAACCCTCTCCTCCCCCGTACCAATCCCTACTACTCTAAAACCCCGGAGCAGAGTTCCATGTCTCCTGATTCTCCAAATGTTCCGCTGAAACATAACTCCGAATGGAGAAAGAGCTACGTCAACATTGCAGTTTATAATAATTCTTCTGATTTTGTTTGTTTGCCTACTAGTAGTTTTGTTGACAAATCTAATACTAATTCCAAGTCTAACCCTCTAGCTAATCAACTCAATACTCAAGATAAACCTTGTAATTCACAATTTTCTTCTAATTACCAAACCTCGTGTGTTAACCAACCTAACTGTGTTATGATTACTACAACTCCAGAAAGATCGGAGCCAAACACGTTTTTATTCACTACCTTGATAAATCCCCCAACAACAACCCAGACCAGGGTTCAATCCTCTTCAGCGCTAAAATCAGACTGGAGCATGTTAGTAGAAACTAAACCTAGTTTTCCCTCTTCTCCTGATAAGATTGAGGTCCCTTCTTCTGATAAATACGACTTAGTAGATTTTTCTGATATATTTTTGTTCAAGGATGATATTCCTAGCTCATCATTAGCATCAAACCTTTCTGATTCAGAGTTTTCAGAATATCAATCCGGGAGCATTAAACCTACGTTTGATACTAATCCTAATCATTTTTCTATTCCCACTCGAACCTTGAATCATGGAACCCTATCTACGGTTCAAGGTTCATCCTCTAACAAACTCTTAGAGAAGAACCCGTTCAAGGTTCCGCTTTGTCAGATTCCGGCTCCTGATCCTCTAGACAGGAGTAGAGAGATCGGAGAGGAGTTCTTCTCTAGCCTAGTTAGATCCCGTGTGATTTGTACTAACATTTCAGATCCTCTTGCAGCCCCTGTAGTTCTCCCAACCCCTTCAATTCTTCAGTCCGGGAAACCATCCCAGGTAAAGAGTTATATAACGTCATATTTTACAGTTTTTCCTCTGTTTCGTAAACACTTGTGAATATTGTATTACAAGGCTTGCAGGGTGCGAAACTTAAATTACAACTTTTAATTGTTGCTCTATCTTCGGCATTTTTCAACCTTAATTATTGAAACAATAATAAAAAAAGGTTCCACAAAGGTCCCGCAACGCTGAGTTTATAAATAGATTAAATAAAATCTTCAATCTGTATTCGGAGGTTTCAATATATAACTCAAATTTTCTTTTTTAATGTCAGGTAATTAATAAAACCTCCGACTTCTCAACTCCTCCGAATAACCCCAGTAGTTGCCAGCAGGATAGATATTCTGCCCTAAAGGAGCTGGACGATCTATTCAAGACGACAGCTATTCAAAGTAAGATTTTTCAATATTGAACTTAAAGTGGCTGAAAGAGTAATTTCACGTAACCCTCCATGTAAAGATGTCAATGCTCGATTCACAACGATTGAAAACTTCATCTGATCAATATTGTGGAAGATATTGTCGAATATTTGCGTTTTTACATATTTAGTAAGCTGTTCCTCTTTATTTGTTAGTATAAGTAACTATGAGTTAATTAGGATTTAATTTCTCCAGGTCCAGGACCAACTGAATCCAGTTCCCAACCTCAATTCTTCTCCGGAGCATCTGCTATACCTCCGACTGCTCTCCCCAAATCTAATGGAATTTTCTCCGACGTGAACGGACGAAACAGTCCGTCTTTTCCTAACTCCAGTCCAGCTAACTGGTCTAACAGTGCTCCGGTCTGGACTCCGTCCTGGAACCAGGGCGGAGGAGGGGGAGGTTGGCCGGCAACGGCGGAACCTGCCTGGGGTACTTCTGGGAATCATACAACCAACCCTTTTGGTTCTTCACCTTCTGGTGCAATAAACCTTGGTATGCCAGGTACAGTAACCTTATGTATACATCTGCTTTCCTTAATATATCTTGATACTAACCGCTGTACAGGACTTGGATAATGATATGCTTTCTGTGTACCCTTTTTACCCTGCTCTGTTTCTTACTTCAAGACGAATTTTGAAACCAGTTCTAGATTTCCTGATGTTTAATTCATTCATATTTCCTTGTTGTTTAATTATACATTTATATTTACTTGTTTTACTTCGTTGGGGTTTCATAGTTATTTTTAACTTTTATATATATATATATTCTATACTAACCGTATATATATATATATATATATATATATATATATATCCGATCTTTAAATTTGTAAATTAATTGAGTTTTTACCCCTTAATCAAATTTTTTAAAACCTTATACCTTTGCAACCTGATGTTGTAAATCTTTGATATTTTAAACTTTTTATTTTAACAGAGTTCATAGTTTGGAATATCTAAAGTCTATAAAATTCGGTTGCGAACTTATATATGATTATAAATCAGATAAGACGACTTAAAACCCACTATATCTGCTCATTTTTGATTAGGGTTTCTTTTTTGTTTTATTTTGTTACGAAACTGTACATAAATATATTTTCTAATCTTTTGTCCTACGTGTGCAGCTTTCCCCAGTACATTCAACAAATTTTAAAGGGTAAGGTTCCGATAGACTGCAGAAGCAATGGAAGTTATTCTCAATAATATTAAAACACAAGAACATTAGATTTAGTTATTTCATTTGTACTGTTAGATCTGATAGTTGCTTTTTAAAATTAATTTGATTGATCAATAACTCTCATTAGATGAGCAGTGGTGTTGTACAGTGTAACGTGAGTTATGAGTAAATACATTAAAGGGAGCTTACTTGATTATGTTCCAATTGATATAGAATATTGATCTTTCTTTTATTCCTGAACCCTAAAGAAATTAAGCTCTCTTTAATTAACATTTATTAAGAAAAGGTTAAATATTTGTTGTTCTTGTTATTAAATGCATGCACGCTATATATTTAGCCTAGGGGTATATATTTTCCTAATAAATCATCTCCTTAAAACGTACTTTTTTGAATATATTTTATAGAATGGTTTTTATCATCGAATTTCATTTCATGGGGAACACCAATGTTCATTTTGAAGGGAGTATTTGAATTAAGTATCAACGAAGGCAAAAAAATAATTTTATGTAGAAATCCCGTATTTTTGTTTTTGCTAAATGATAATATATGATATATACCCCTGTGCAGGGGCGGATACAGGGGGGGGCAGGACCTTTGCATCCCCTCCCTGAGATTTCAGAAAAGAACTTAAGTAAAGAAATCCTAGTGCAAAACAAAAATATCTATCTTTAAAAAATTTCGCATGCAACGCGTATTTTGGTTCCTAAATCTGGATTTTTTTGTTCCCAAATAAATCTTAACACCTCCCTTACTTGAATCCTGTATCCGCCCCTGCCCCTGTGAGGTCCTTCCCAATCATCTTTGTGCTTATTAGGTTTAGTTTGATTTTTTTAAATAACCATTTTAAATAAGTTTTTTTTGTTATTCTTAGAACTGATTATCTTTAAAAAATTAATTAAAATCATTCATTGTATTAGAATCAGTATCCCTTTTTTTAATATATTTAGATGTTGTATGTTGTATCTTAAATTAATTAGCGCTGTTTTCAGCAGCTTTAAACAAAATTCATCATATTTATACAATAATATCAAAATCGTCTGAATTGTAACGTTATATCTGTTAAACGCAGTACGCACACAGATTTTAAAAGTTTAATTTCATTGCCCTGGTGTTACCAACTCAATTGTGCAACATAGTTGATTTTTGATAACCAATGGGAACTCTTCTTTATCTTTCAAATAATGCTTTTTATTATGATAAAAAAGCAAATAAAGAATGAAAGAATTTATTTTTAAGCCAATAAGATTTCTTTTAAAATTAAATTGAGAAACTCATTGCTAGTTTAGCTATTGGCTATCGACCAGATAGTCAAGTTAGTTGAGAATTGAAAATAATGTAAAGTTTTTGTCCAGAAAACAACAACGACCTGTTTGCTGGATCTTCAAAACAATTTTTTACAGAAAAACCAGGTTAGTCCGTTAGCTGCGCAGTCATTTCAGTTTCCTCTTAAAATTTTCTCTTTTCTTCGGGGGGGGGGGGGATGAAAATATCCTATCTCTGTGTTCCATGTCTTGATATTAATAACTACTTGTGATTTCAACATGATTTCGGATCCTTCATAGCTCTGAATTTCAGATATTTGGAAAATAAGAAACAATTAAAATGGATTGAAAAAAAAATAAAAATTTTAACTTAAATTTAAAATTTACATTTTGCATGCGTAAAATGTATTCTGTGCCTAATTTGGGCGTTAAAGTTTGGAGGTTATCCATATGATATGGGACGCTCTGTGGTTGAAAGGTTTGAAAATTACAGCATATTTTTTAAAAATTTTAACATTTTCAGTATGACATAAATTATTGTTCTTGGAGTTTTTGCTAGAATAGGACGTCAACAACACTATATTTGAAAATTAAACAATTACTTGTCTAATGTTGCAAATCTGAAATTTTGATTTTCATCTTATGTAAACCAATGTATTTGTTAAGGTTTTGAAGGTAGTGGAGCTGCTGGTAACCCCTGGTCTAGTGTTCCTGTCTTTACTCCGAATATGACTCCGGCTCCGAATCCTCACAATCCCTTCCTATAACCAAAAAGAACCAGATAGCTGGAAACAGTTTTTATAATCTGGTTTCTTCTTTTTTCCGATCTTGTTTTGTTGGAAGTTTCACCTTTAAGCTGCTTCTCCGCCCCTCCTCAGAACCTTGACAGTTCTCTTGTCTATAATTCTTCCAAGTTAGGTGCTCTCTCTCTCTCTTCTTCACATCGGAATCCGATCTAGTTCTAAAATATTAAATACTCCTCTGTACTATTCGTTTTGACAATACTCGTAACATATTTTAAACCTTCCTCTTTTACAACCTTAAACGGGATTTTATCCATCTACTTACAGTGAGTCAATGATATTTATTTAATAAAACAAATATAAGCGGCATTTGCCCAAATGACTTTTAAAATGTTCTTTTTAAAGTGTCCCATGTGAAGCTGGGTCAAGAGTATCATATTCTCGTAAACAATTATTTTAAAAGATCTGGGTAAATAGAATTAGAAATGATTGTTAGAATCTGTTTGAAATATAGTTATTTAAAAACCATCATTGCACTTCAGCGTACATATGCACTACAGAATACTCGGTTATTGTTTTTAAGAGTAACCATTAAAATTCTGCAAAATCTGAAGTGGGAAAATGAAAAATATTTTTGATTAAAATCAGAATGAAAACCGTTAATTTGTTTTATATAATTTCTTCTACTTTCATTGAAATTCACAACTGTACAGTGTACAGTATACATATTTGGGCTTTTCGTTTTTCTAATCCACTAGATTTTTAGTGTTTATAAAAAAGTGAAAATTAAAAATATTAGTTATAAATTTTATACTATCAGTTAAATTTTCTTCGTGTGCATTTTTTAGTGTTTAAAATTTTTTGCTTGCTCCAATTTTATATTTAAAGATAAACAAAATTTATTTGCGTCTTCTTTTGGTATGTTGTAATTCTTTGTAATTTTACACTGTACAGATTTGTAGCATGTTTAGTATTACAAAGTATATTACAACTGTACACATGTATATTACATCATGTTTTTGTCTACTATAGAGCTGGTTTAAGAATTTTTAACAAATTTATTAAAGATTTAACTTAGACATTTTACGCCTGAGTGTTGTTGAGGCCGAAGTCAGCTCCTTGATGTGATAAATATATTTGATTTAAATATTTTTGCATAATAAGTTCTAATCCTAATTCAAGACTTCCTCATAGAATATTTTTTGTATGATGAAATGTAATCAAGTTTATAAGTGCTATTTAAAACTAAATTTTAGAATTTATTTAATCTGATATAATTAATTATTTTCCACTTCTTTTCATATTTAGATCCTCGGATCAAAATATACCCAGCTTATTCATTGTGATTTTATTTTGTCGAAAACTATAAATCAAGTAACTCCGTATTTTAGTATTTTATCCAATATTTAGAATAGAATTATTTAATATTTTCATTTAATGAGTGTTATTGAAGGCAGTTTATAATAATAATACAAAAGTCCGAACAACAATTATGACATCTGCCCGAATCTAATGTAATTAGGGCAAATGTACGAAATGTACCTTCGGCATTTTGTCGATTGATTGTTTGTAATTTTGTCCTTGTATCCACGCCCCCCCCCCCTGCCTAACGTATAAGAAACATCTGTATTAAAACTGATATTTCTGAGTTGTGTTTATCTTTATAACTCGACAATCTGATGGGAATATATTCCTCATTCTCCTGCAGGGTTGTATCTATCTATCTATTCAATATTCATGCTTAAACTTAATCTTTTCAGATAAATTCATAAATATGCAGGATCTGACATTTATAATGCATTGAGGTGAGCTGAGTATGATAAAGAAATGGTATTTGGTTTTGCTCAAGATCATGGATCAAGGACAAGAGAGAATATGTCATTGTACTAGTTCACGATATTTAATTTCAATGATTTCATAGTACATGAGTTGAGTTGAGTTGAGTTGAGTTGAGTTGAGTTGAGTTGAGTTGAGGTCTGTGTAAGCAACCTGCCTTTTGCACATTCAAAAAGAGGAAAAGAGGAAGTTATGTAAAGATGAAAATTAACATTAACTTTATTTTTTTAACTTGATCTGAATTTTTTAAATTACTTAACTGAGCCCTTAGATCAAACAATGCGGTCAGTAACTCTGTTACGTAAGTAGTGTAAAAATTAAACGGGAAAGGGAGTGGGTCGTAATATTGTATTTTAGGAGACGGGACTGGTTTTAAAGCCTTGACCATGAAGCTTTTAAGTTTTAAGGACAAAACTGGTAATAGTAATGATTCTTTAGACTATTGTTGGACGTGGGGGCTGGGTGGAAAGCCATTTTTAGATTATTTTTATTTTGACACATTTGACGTATTTGATTTAGGTAAACTGTGATCAATATTTTGCTTCTGGTTCTGGTTCCTAGTTCAATATGTCTCAACCTTTACTTACCGAGGTTCCTAGCAGTCTCAAGCAGCTTTCCAGGTCATATTTGATATACAGGGTGTTTCTGAAAAAGAGTGTGTTTAAGCTTTTTATTCAACTAAAAATTGTGTTATGTGCTTCTAGTAGGAGGTGGTATCAATCCCATAAATTTGGGAGGGTCGTTGATGAAATTTTTCTCTAAAATGTCGTTTTAACCTTCATAATTATTCAGTGTACATTCATTCAGCTTTCAAAGAAAAGCTACAACAAGGTCATGAGAGGTGCTTCTTAAAGTATTCAGAGGTACAGGGTGAGAGAGAGAAAAGGGCAAACTAGAGAAACTTTATCCAGGGGTTTATATGTACTCTACTAGACTGTAAAAATACTGATATTCTTATGTACTGTATATACCTACAGTACACACCTTCGGTTCGGTATTACTTACACACACATGACGTTTCCGCTCCCTGGGTTTCTCTCTCTCTTTCTCTCTACCCCCTCTCTCTTGCCAGAAACAAGGAAAATGGAAACATTAAAAGTAGAACCCTTGTGCACCATGAACTGTGATAGTGGTTTATACTTTGCAGGGTGCGAGGAAAAGATAGCTGTACGTGAGGCTGTGTTCTGAAGCACTGTCCAAGATGAACTTAAAAAAATGATTTTTCCCTTGTCTACAAGAGATTAGAATGTGTAGGCCTATAAGAGAAGAACAGAAAACAAATGTATGATCAGATAAAAAGAAGCAACAATAGTTGGAGAAAAAATTCACTACTCTTTTCAAATTATTTATTCAAAAATAGATTCATGATATTATGATAGGTATAATATTTGAAAATGTAAAGGTTTAAACTGCATTTTAGAGAATAGAATGGGATTTGTACCTACTAGGACTCCTCCAAATTTGGCCGGTCTCAAAATTTAATGCTTATTTTACATAATTTAATAATATTATGATCGGTACCTTCTTCATTAATAAATTATTTAATCAATCTCTTTAATAGGTATAATATATTAAAATAAATTGTAATATATTATTTGAATTCTAGATTGGTTGTGCGCGGGTTCTATGAGATGGAGTTCTGTTTAATCATAGGAAACCAATTCTATCCAATATATTAATACGCTTTAAAGGGAATGTTGACTGGATTTTAAATTAGTGTATTAAAAGATATATCTTCATAACAACGATAAAATGATCGAGATATCATTGTTCTCCTTTCTAAAAATTGCTAATTTTCAATAGTGATGAAAGTGATTTGCTAAATTGTGCAGCACAGATTCGAAAGAAATTTGACTTGTTCGAAATAAAAAAACGACGATATCTTTCTCATTGACACTCAGGTAACGGAAGTTCTGAATCACCAATACAAAGTTTAAGATTCACGCGGATTTTAATCGGTGATTCAGGATTTGAACCGGTCGTACATAGTTCACCAACCTCTTCAATTCTAGTTGAATATTTTGATAGAACTGGTTAACTCTAGATATGTTGGTTCGGTATCCTTGTCTCCGGGAGGATGATTTATGTGATCTGCTCAAGTTTGATAAGAAGGTTCTCAGAGCTAAACTACAAACTCTTAAAACAGATAGATTTGTTCAAGTCAAGTTAAAAATCGAAACAGGTTAGCTATTGTCCAAATTAATCCCCTGGAAAAAAAAATATTTTTTTACCGGTAAATTAAACATTTTTTATTCAAAATTGAACTAAATATTCCCGACAAATTAATCATACTCGTTCCTGCCAAATTGAATTGAATGTAACCTCAATACAATATAATGTAGGGGAAGACGGGAAGGCCGTAAAAGTAAACTGCTACTTCATCAACTATAAGATATTCGTCAACATCGTAAAATACAAGCTGGACATGATGAGGAAAAAGATGGAGGTAGAGGAGAGGGATGCAACAAGCAGGTATAAGAAATTAAGTGTCTAGGATCAATTTCATTTTCATACAGATCCTGAGAAAAAATTATCTAGGTCATGAAAATGTTTTCAAGATATGATGATTGTAAAAAATCTAATTTTCAATACTTTTTTCACTTAACCCTATTCCTGCTGGGGGGGGGGGGCAATTTGACCCCCCCCCCCTGTAGTTTTTTTACATAACTCAAAAAGTATTGGTCTGAGGCTGTTGAAATTTTCTGACTTTTCCTACATACCCAAAGCCCTTCCTTTAGGCCTAAAACCGGGCTTTAATACTAACTGCCTGAGTCCTCAGGCACACTGCCTGAATGACTGTTTTTTCCTGTTACAAACTAAATCTTTGTTTTGACCCACTTTCACTTGTCAGATTTTGATAAAATTTAGCTTTTTGGAAAGCCTATGACATAAGGAAACAGATTGCTCAAGTTTTGCGAAAAAATTGCAAATTTTTTGCAAACAACCTGTCAAAGGAAATTTGCACATTTTTAGTTTTTCTTGATTAAAAATCAGGTTATTTAAAATTTTGCAAAAATTTTTGCATATTTGAAATGGCATGGTCAAAGGCTTTTCAAAAATGTATAATTTTTCATTTTTTGGACAAATTTTTTTTTGCAAACATTTTTACTATATAAATGGATTTTGCGATAAAAAATTCAATTTTTGCAAATTTGCAAATTTGCAAATTTTTTGGCAGATTCTAAAAGTAGAGCACAAGAGCTTTCCAACGATGTAAGATTTGTCATATTTGGACATCAAACATGGGATTTAGAGGGGGGGGGGGCAAATTGACCCCCCCCCCCCCAGCATATCCTGGTTTTCAAGTACCCCAGCAGGGATAGGGTTAATCTTATGCTGAACTCAATGAACCATCAGAGGTTATAAAATCGTTCCTTATTCAACAGTTGAGATTTGTGGTTTGAGAGCAGAAGTTAATTTTTATTAGGTTTTGGTTGTTATTTTCCCGTTGGATCGGGATCTGTTTATCCGCATATTTATCCGGATCCAAAGCACTGATCAGAAAAGCTGAACTATGCATAAAGATATTAATTCAATTTGTGTTCCAGGTCGAGTTTTAAATGTGGGAATTGTGATAAACAGTTTACTGATCTCGAGGTAAAATTTTATTAATTATAAGTTTAAGGTCATCTTAACAGTTAAATATTAGTGGTAAACCTCTGATCCTTGCATCTAGGTTTATCAGCTGTTAAACATCAGCCTTGTTTCTATGCTGATTTGCTGATAAGCTGTTAAACCTCTAATCCTTGTGTCTTGGCTGACCAGTTGTTTATCATCTAATCCTTGTGTCTAGGCTGATCAGCTGTTAAACCTCTAATCCTTGTTACTGGTATCTAGGCTGATCAGCTGTTAAACCTCTCATCCTTGTTACTTGTATCTAGGCTGATCAGATGTTAAACCTCCAATCCTTGTATCTAGGCTGATCAGTTGTTAAACCTCTAATCCTTGTATCTAGGCTGATTAGCTGTTAAACCTCTAATCCTTGTATCTAGGCTGATCAGTTGTTAAACCTCAAATCCTTTTATCTAGGCTGATCAGCTGTTAAACCTCTAATCCTTGTCACTTGTATCTAGGCTGATCAGTTGTTAAACCTCTAATACTTGTATCTAGGCTGATCAGTTGTTAAACCTCTAATCCTTGTATCTAGGCTGATTAGCTGTTAAACCTCTAATCCTTGTTACTTGTATCTAGGCTGATCAGCTGTTAAACCTCAAATCCTTTTATCTAGGCTGATCAGCTGTTAAACCTTTAATCTTTATATCTAGGCTGATCAGTTGTTTATCCTCCAATCCTTGTATCTATGCTGATCAGCTTTTTATCCTCTAATCCTTGTATCTAGGCTGATTAGCTATTAAACCAAAGTTAATCCTTGTATCTATCTGTTAAACCTCTTATCCTTGTATCTAGGCTGATCAGCTGTTTATCCTCTAATCCTTGTATCTAGGCTGATCAGCTGTTTGACCCTATGAGTGGTGAGTTTAAGTGCACCTTCTGCAGTTGTACTGTGGATGAGGATGAGACTGCTATGCCTAAGAAGGAAAGCAGGAAGCTTCTCGCCACCTTTAATGAGCAGATGGAGAAACTGTTTGATCTCCTTCGCGTTGTTGAAGATATAAAACTATCTCCTGAGGTGTTGGAACCTGATCCTGTTGACATTGCAGGTATTTTTCATTCATGTCTGTGTCCACCAAATTGATATTAAATCCTGGATTTTTACTATATTTTTCTATAGTTGAAGAGACAGATTTAATAATTGCTATACTTTATACATTAGTAGTGAACATTTTCTAGGGATTCAAAATATAGAGGCGCAATGTACATTAATTTTGACAACTTGAAGGTGTCCCAGTCTAGTCCCCCTTCACCCCCCCCCCTCGACCACTTTCCTTTGAAACCTGTGATTGTATAAAAACTAAAATCCATACTTATGTTCAATGTTCATAAGCCAGCTCATAAGAACAAAAAGTATGGTGAAAAATGTTAAAGCATTTTTTTTGACAAATAAAATATTTTACATTTGCTGAATTGAACTTAACATTTTTCCTGCACTACCCAACGGCATTCCGACAAACTATGTTTAGGATCAGCTAGCCTTCAGCGACGAACTGCTGCTGGTCCAGCTAGTGGAGATATGAACGATGGTAAATGGTCTGGAGAATCCTCAAGGAAAGGAGGGTTTAGGATGGATGACCAACAGGTGAGAAACAGTATTAAAGGGACTGTTAAAGTAATATCAACTACCCCAAAATTTAAATCTAAAGGTACCGTTGTGAGTTGGGCATACCCCTCTTTAAATAGAGGGGAGGGTCACTTGTAATTACGGCAACAGTTCCTTTAAGCATACTTCAATTCATGTGATTTCATTTAAATGGTTAATTTCAAGTTTCCATGTAATCGTGATTTAGGTTGATTTTGATTAAGATAATTTGCTATGGTAAATCCCGTAAAAATTTTAAAATTGCTTTTAAGGACAAATATAATGTTAAGGTACCTTCTATAACGGGGGAAAATGATACTTATCTTTAGACGGAAAATAATGGAGATTTGAAAATTCAAAATATCCCCCCATAACAAATTGGGAGTGCAGCTAGAGTGAAAAAGGGACAGCTTCTGGATCCTTAAGTTCAATTTTGAAAAATGGATTTCTAAACCTCTCATTACTTTCTATAATTCTTTCCTTTTCTTTTTTCAAACAAAAATTATTGTATATTCATAAAAAAAATCAGTCCTCTGGCAGATGTCCTCTTGTCGAGAACTATTTGCTTTATTTCCCAAGATTGTTATGAATCTGTGCTTAGGTTAACATCACATTTGGAGAAGAGAACACGAAACAGGATAAAAGGAAGGAGGTTCCTCTTTGGATATCAGAGAGCACTGTCGAAACAAAGTAATTATTGATTTTTGTTTTTATTGTTTGTTAATTGTTAGTTCTTAAACGAATAGAATAGAATGGATTGGATGGGATGGGATGGGATGGGATGGGATGAAGTAATTGGATTTGACATGATGGGGTTGGTTTAATTGTGGATGTTGATTGTTAATGCTCATGCTCATGCTTGTGATCGTGCTAATGATGATGCTAATGATCATTCTAATGCTGGTGCTGATTTAATATTGATTTAGAGAGGAAGAGCCCGTTGCTATGGGTCCTAGTATGGGAATGGTGGTTGAGGAGGAGAGTATGGAGACTAATGAACTAGATGACGAGATAAATAATCTTCTTCTTAAGCACGAGAGAAGCAATAAACAGCAGACTGCTCTTATACCAGGACAGGAGGACAGTGATAGTGATAACAGGTAGAAAGGGGCGTACTTCTTTTAACCAGGTGTCAATATAATCTCTGATCCTAATGGGATCAGGCTTGTAAGTTCATTTTGGCCGGAACACTTTGTATGTCAGTGTTTTCGCAAGGTTTTTGTGTATGTGTACTAACTACACTTCAGAAAAGTTTACTGCACTTTGGTGTTAGACCATGTAAATATTAGTAATCAATAGATCAATTATGGTGTTTAGAGAAAAATAAACTCTGCCCGCATATCAATCAATCAACATTTGGGATCGCATTAGATGTGATTTTATGGACCCCTGCTCACATCAAGTTGGATTTGTTACATGCTGTGCCATAAAAATAAGTAATTATATTGACAACGTAGTTTTAGGTGATCTTTGTCGTTTCAGAATAATTTTTAAAATACCCTTACACTCTTTGTGGGAAAGAATTTAACGAATTGCATAGGTCGCTAAACTGCATACCACCGGTTCAATTCCTGAATCACCGATTACAATAACCTCATAAATCCTTAACTTTGCATCGGTGATTCAAGATTTGAACCGACGTCAGGTAGTTCAGCGACCCGCCTTAATTAATTAAAGATACTAATGCAGATCATTAAATTTATGGTGTAGAAAAGGATATATTTTTTTAGACTTAAAGGTCATTTTTTACGTTTCAAGTCATGCTTTCCTATTTTAAATTCTGGTCCAATTGGAGTCCTCTGGAACGTTGAAAGATTTATTTTACCGTATTTGGATGAGATAAGCTTAAAGGTGAATCTGATTAAGGAGTGATGAAAGTGAACCTGAGGATCAAGATACTGTTGAGAGGGAGGCCATTCTTTTAGCACAAACCTTTGCTAATCAGGAGAACAAGGTTCATACATTTCTTAATTATATATTTTAATTTGCTAATCAGGAGAACAAGGTTCATACATTTCTTAATTATATATTTTACTTTGCTAATCAGGAGAACAAGGTTCATACATTTCATAATTATATATTTTACTTTGCTAATCAGGAGAACATGGTTCATACATTTCATAATTATATATTTTACTTTGCTTGTCTGGTTTCTTGTTGATTGTCTGTATCCAATAAACATCAAAACTGCCATTATTTTTGTGGGACCTGGCATGACCCCAGTGATGGTTTATGGTTAGTCAAAATTGAAAAAAATTGTATGGTTTAAATTCCACCAAAAAGTTTATGCTATGAGGAGAAAATGTCGCAGATAGAGCAACAATTAGAAATTAAAATCGAATATGAGAAGCATAGTTTTGTAAAAAATAATTTACCTAAAAGGAATTAAGTCTTTGCAACAAACTCTGATTTTCTAATCCTGATATCTTTGGATTCCATTGTCGTAGACCTTTAATATTTCAATCTTTGACTTCTGTTAGATCAAATAACATAAGTTTGGAATATCAAAGGTTTACGACATTGGGTTACAAAGATATAGGGATTAGAAGATCAGAGTTTGTGACAAACAATCAACTCCTTTGAAATTGATTTTTTGTTTTTATTAACAGAATCCTGTCTTAAAGCATTATTCATTTTAGGACGACATTGTTGACGTTATGGACAGTGATGATGATGATGATGATATGCCGACTGTATTGGTGGGAGGAGAGGAGATTGTCATCACTGATATTACACCGGATATTATCGCCAAGATGACGACGGAGGAGATGGAACGGTACAATCAGGTGTACCAGGAGTTCTACAAGGATATGTACGACTAGTCCATCACATCCTGTACACCGCTGTACCGTTGTACCATTGTACCTGGCCATCTTATATTCACACTGAAGAAATATCGTACTTTTTTGTTAATTAATTTCAATAATAATGAATTCAAACTTTTGTCTTTATGTTTAATGTTAATTGTGTTTTTGTATTCTTATCGCTTATACACATTATACATCATGGTGGAAGGGGCTGAGCTGCCATCACTAAAGCCCCCTCCCACCCCCCACCCCTTAACCCGAAATTCTTTTAAACACAAGTAAATACTTAAAGCATGTTTTGTTTAAATCAAACAATCAAACCTCTTGACATTTTATACAAAAAGGAATGTTCTCGAATATTGGAAGAAAAAATATCTAAATTAATACTATATATGGATTTCTCTGCTAAAATTTGTCAGAATAATGACCAAAACTGGAATTGTTAAATCACGGGAGGCTGTCTTTATTCATAAGGAGTGGGTGGGGTACTATTGGAGAGGACGTATCCAGCGTATTAAAATATTGAAGGTATAGGTAACTGGTAGAGGACTGCAAATTTCGGGGTTTTAGGGTTTATCGGTAGTCCTTAAACTCTTTTTAAAACTAAATATGTTGAAGGTTAATGAAACCTACGTGAAATCTGCATTTGCAAAGGAGCTGAATAAACGTCGTCTACTGTGAATCTGTGATTAGGGATGGATTAATTTCATGGAAACGGATCTGAGTTAATTATCTATGCAGTTTTCCTGAAAATAGTATCTCTTTTCACACACCGCAAATTTAAGGTCCAATGTTTCCAACATACCTATTACCTTCATTTAATTTCAGGGGACATTAGTTCCAAAACTAACACTTGGCCCATTTCTAACACTGAGAATTTAATGCTATTTTCTTAAATCAAAATTATAAAAGAAGTTTTTTATATTAAAACCCTTGAACGTTTTCAAGACAATGTCAGGTTTTCCATTTTCGAATATATCATGAATTTGCATCAGAGTCGCGTTTTCGAGACAAGCCCAATGGTTTTTCGATTTTGAGTATAATCCACTTTTCGAATATATTATGAATTTGCGTCAGAGTCGCGTTTTCGAGACAAGCCCAATGGTTTTTCGATTTTGAGTATAATCCTCAATTCAGAACAAAAGTCACTTTCATACCTTACAAAATAAATCACTAAAAGTAAAAATTATCTTATGAAGACTAAATTAACTGCTAAATTAAGTGCTAAATTAAGTGCTAAATTATCTTAGTTTTCCCATTTTATTTATTAAATAAGAGAATAAAGTTGATTTAATTTCCCGCATTTTAAATAAACAATTTCTCGTATTACTAGTTAAATTTATATTGTAAGAACAAAACGATATTGATAATTTTATTCCTCACTTTAAAATTTAAATTATAGAAGAACAGTTTTTATTTTCTATTCGTTTATATTTTGGCAAAAAATCTTGCTTTGTTACTCAAGAGCGTAAATGCTTGAAAATTGACATTGAAATTAATTCGAGTAATTGTCCCAAAACTAGGATATGTGCCAAAACTAGGATATGTGCCAAAACGGGACATGAGCTGAAATCCGGTAAATGTTTCAAAATAGGAATATGTTCGATAATGAAATCAAGTATCATCATAAACTAATTGTCACACCTTATTATTGGCTTAACATTGACATTTATTGTTTCAATAAATAGTTTTAGCCATTTTTAATAATGTAAGGTGTAGTTTTGTTCTACTTGACTTGTTATAAAAAATATATACGCTTGGAAAAAATAACTTTGCAGACTTGGCCAAGTGTTAGTTTTGGAACTAATTTCCCCTGAACTATAAATTTCTAAAGCTAACGCATCCTTGAAGTAAAGTCAAGTTCTAGTTGATTCATGGTTACCCATAAAAGAATGAGACTTCAATGACGACCAAAAGATTAACTAAAGGTTGAATTTGGACGTATGTCAAAGTTTTTAAAGATATATTAAATTCAAAATATATTTGATGTTGTGAATTTTGTAAAGACGTCGTATATATCAATACAACCAACGAAGACTACTTTCAATTTTAATTTTGATTTCTACGAAGCTTTCAAACAACGTGGATACACTTAAACATTGGAACAGCGAAAAGTTGTTAATTTTACACCGTCGTTTACTTTTATTTGAAAAAAGCTTTCTAGGAATCCAAACTAAAATTGAAAAATCGTCTTCATTGTATTGATATGAATGCTGATCACTGTATTGGTTGGGTGGTAAGCTTAGAGAAGAAAGGATATTATCAAGAAGGCTGGGTGGTATGTTTATAGAAGGAAGGAAGATTATCTAGAAGGTTGGGTGGTATGTATTGTATAGAGAAGGAAGGATATTATCTAGAAGGTTGGGTGGTATGTATAGAGAATGAAGGATATTATCTAGAAGGTTGGGTGGTATGTATAGAGAAGGAAGGATATTATCTAGAAGGTTGGGGGGTGTGTATAGAGAAGGAAGGATATTATCGAGAAGGTTGGGTGGTGTGTATAGAGAAGGAATGAGATTATCAAGAAGGTTAGGTGGTATGTATAGAGAAGGAAGGAGATCATCTAGAAGGTCGGTTGGTATGTATAGAGAAGGAAGAAGATTATCTAGAAGGTTGGGTGGTATGTATAGAGAAGGAAGGAGATTATCTAGAAGGTTGGGTGGTATGTTTAGAGAAGGAAGTATATTATCTAGAAGGTTGAGTGGTATGTATACAGAAGGAAGGATATTATCTAGAAGGTTAGGTGGTGTTTATAGAGAAGGAAGGATATTATCTAGAAGGTTGGGTGGTATCATACAGAAGGAAGGATATTATCTAGAAGGTTGGGTGATGTGTTTAGAGAAGGAAGGATATTATCTAGAAGGTTGGGTGGTGTGTATAGAGAAGGAAGGATATTATCTAGAAGGTTGGTTGGTATGTATAGAGAAGGAAGGAGATCATCGAGAAGGTTGGGTGGTATGTATAGAGAAGGAAGGATATTATGTAGATTGTTGGGTGGTATGTATAGAGAAGGAAGGATATTATCTAGAAGGTTGGGTGGTATGTATAGAGAAGAAAGGATATAACCTAAAAGGTTGGTTGATATGTACAGAGAAGGAAGGATATTATCTAGGAGGTTGGGTGGTATGTATAGAGAAGGAAGGAGATTACCTAGAAGGTTGGGTGCTAAGTTTAAAGAAGGAATGATATAATCTAGAAGGTTGGGTGGTATGTATAGAGAAGGAAGGAGATTATCAAGAAGGTTGGGTGGTATGTATAGAGAAGGAAGGATATTACCTAGAAGGTTGGTTGGTATGTACAGAGAAGGAAGGATATTATCTAGAAGGTTGGGTGGTATGTATAGAGAAGGAAGGAGATTACCTAGAAGGTTGGATGCTAAGTTTAGAGAAGGAAGTCGATTATCAGAAAGTTGGGAGGTATGTATAGAGAAGGAAGGATATTATCTAGAAAGTTGGGTGGTAAGCTTGGAGAAGGAAGGATATTATCTAGAAGGTTGGGTGGTATATGTATAGAGAAGGAAGGAAGATTATCTGGAAGGTTGGGTGTGAAAATATTTTATGATTTTCCCCCTTAAAACAAAATACGTGTGTATAAATAGTTTTGCTTGTTTACAATTAAATTATTTCAATTGTTTTGCTTCAAATATGAAATTGCTTTCTTGGAACTTTATAGTTCTAGGAACAGAATCTTGTTGTAATGTAATATTTCCTATTATAAATATAACCGGAGAAGGTACTTAAACCAGATTAGGGTTATTACGTGAGGAGGGGTTTAATTTCTCCTTTGATCAGTTTATACATGAAACCCATTCTTATTCGGTTTAGTTTAAAGAAGTAATTGGCAAAATTCTAGGGTTTTTGTGAGAGCTTGCAACAACTTTGGATCACTGTGAATGAAGTTCGTTCAATAATTATTTAGACATCCTGTAGAATAGTCTGTGACGTAGGTAGAAACAAGACATTCACATTTATTCTCTTTATATATTGGCTTAGGTTCATCACTTAGGTACGGACACTTTAACCCCCTTTACCACAGGAGGATAAACTATATTCCGAGCATAAATCTTCCTTCGGTGGATAGTGGTCTAGTGGTCGCCCAGTGGACGTACAGGACTGCCGCTCATTTATTGCTCACGGACAACCCACGTCAGAAACACTTCTGGGTCCGTGTTTTGGAAACGTGAAATATTTTAGAGTCAGCCCTATTTTTGTAGAGAATTCAGGCTCTCTTTCTATAATATACTATAGTGGAGAGTTGATGGAAAACTAGAAGGGAGCTAATGGAAAACTAGTAATTAGCTGATAGAAAACTAGTGGGGAGCTGATAGAACACTAGTGGGGAGCTGATGAAAAACTAGTGGTGAGCTGATAGAAAACTATTGGTGAGCTAACAGAAAACTAGTGGTTAGCTGATAGAACACTAGTGGTTAGCTGATAGAAAACTATTGGTGATTAAGTTGACTGAAAATGAATGAATGAGGAGTGGATTACAGGAAAAAATAGAAAGCTAGGATATGATGTTGTTACAGGTTTACATATTAGTGATAACATAATTAGAGTTGGGCGTTTATCCATTAGCTCTAAACAAACATAGAAGCTCGGCTGGTTAGAATATAGAGTACATACAGGAGGAAGGTTTGCGCGCGTAAATAGTAGCATGATGCAATACCTACACTAGATTTAGTGTCACGCGGAGCCCGTCAAATTATTTTTCTCCGTTCGTCCCGTTCCCTGTTCAGTTCAGTTCCCGATCTTACTCCATGGAGCCATATACTGTATATAGTCACACCCGGAGTAGGACCGGTGTAGTCTAGTGTCAGTGATACTATCGAGGGTCAAACTCAACAAGCGGAGTAGAATTAGTAGATAATTTTCTCCGTCTTAACTTGTATACTATACATACTCACATACGTAATTTGTTTTGGTAGACATCAGTTCAAGTAACCTCTTATTTCAAGAGTTTCAACTTCAAGTACAATTCACAACGAAACCCTGTAAACATTTATCCACAACGAGGAAGACAGCGATTTTCTTCTAACTTAGAAATCTGCTGAATTTTGTCAATTTCCTTTTTTCTCTGCTGCATAAATCCGCAAGTCACGTCTATAAGAGAACCCGCAATTTAAAGTTATCAATTTTCAGATTAAAAAGGTACCTTCAACATTTTTTCGAAGATTATGGTTAAATAGGTACCATTGTAAATCGGACATATGCCCCGCTTAAAGGAGTCAATTACGTTGACAGCCCCTTAAAGGAGTCAATTACGTTGACAGCCCCTTAAAGGAGTCAATTACGTTGACAGCCCCTTAAAGGAGTCAATTACGTTGACAGCCCCTTAAAGGAGTCAATTACGTTGATAGCCCCTTAAAAATGCAGGAAGTGTAAATTTACTGGGTTTGTCCTAGAGAAGGATTTTTGGATTCACTCACTTACGGGGTTGAAATTGCTCTCATGCAAAGCAAAATTTCTTCTTAAATACTAAGGCTGGAGACAACTGTTTTATAGCTCTTAAATTTAAATGTCTATGGCTACAAAAAAGTACAGGGGAGTTAGTGAGGTGAAATGTAAGGCCAAGGAGTTGCGACACTTTAAAGTCGACCAAGTCTTTAAATTTAATACAACTATTCATAGGTCTGGAGCTAAACTTCTTTTTTTGTATCAACTGCAGTCAACACACTGTTTTATTTTTGATTTACCAAAAAAATAATAGCTTCTCCGTCCTGACTATACCCAGGGCATAATCTAAACCTGTCCTGTTCTTGATATTTAGAAGTTAGATTCGTTCTTGATCTTTTCTCACTAGAGTGAAAATCTATGTTTATGTTTATTTTTATCAATATTGATTAAGCGAATAGTTTTATTATGTTCATTAAGGAGATTAAGATTGCATTTATTTGTTGCAAAACCAGTCTTAGGAATAGGAGGGGGGGGGGGGGGTATAATTGACAGGGGTATTATAAACAATTTACAACATCTTATCCTACATATCCTTGAATTTTCATTTTTCTTTTGTTCCGCTCCTGATATTTGAACCTTGATATTTAATACTGTTAAGTATCTTTCTGTGTTCCGAGTTTGATATTTGATATATTGATGATGTAGTTCTCAGTATCAGCCTCTTTTATCCTGACAATTATCATGTATTCAAAAATCAACATGTTTTGTAAACTCGTATTCCAGGACACCAAAATTACCAAGTTTTGTTGGACATCTATTGTTTTCATTCTGACTTGATTTATTCTTCATAATTAACATTTTAAAGAATGAAAATATATCAATAAATAATATCACAAAGTTTAGAAACTATCTTAGTCAGAATTTGACTGAACTGTGTTCAGAGTTGTTAATCCCATCATCATACACTAACCTGTATCTTTTTTGGTCTTGCGGATTAAGTTGATTCCTTTTGAATGGATCATGATGTCAACCAATAAGAGCTTGACTGCTCTAAAATCAGATTCAGAATACAAATGAATCTTGGCTGATTAGAGGTTGTGATTGTGAAACACGAGTACGGTTTAATCACTTAATATTTTATATTAGAGCTGTCTCACAAACAGAAAGTTTCGACCTTGGATTTTTCAAAACTGTATTTTATTTTATTACAAGGTATTTCCGAAAAATATCATTGTTTATTAACCAAATATTAAAAATTGTAAAATTTCGCCAACGTGAAAGTTTCCTTCCCTGGCCGTACCTGCTTCTTTTCCAATTTGCATCAGATTTATATAGTTCCTCACCAATATTAGTAGTTCTTTAATTCCTCGCCAATTTTCAGAAGATTTATATAATTCCTCACCAATATTAGTAGTTTTTTAATTCTCACCAATTTGCATCAGATTTGTATAGTTTCCTCACCAATATTAGTAGTTCTTTAATTCTCACCAATTTGCATCAGATTTATATAGTTCCTCACCAATATTAGTAGTTCTTTAATTCCTCACCAATTTTCAGCAGATTGTATAGTTCCTCACCAATATTAGTAGTTCTTTAATACTCACCAATTTTTAGCAGATTTATACACCAATATTAGTAGTTCTTTAATTCTCACCAATTTTCAGCAGATTTATAGCTCCTCGCCAATATTAGTAGTTCTTTAATTCTCACCAATTTGGATCAGATTTATAGAGTTCCTCACCAATATTAGTAGTTCTTTAATTCTCACCAATTTTCAGCAGATTTATATAGTTCCTCACCAATTTAAGTTGTTCTTAAATTCTTCACCAATTTGCATCAGATTTGTATAGTTTCCTCACCAATTTAAGTAGTTTTTTCATACTCACCAATTTTCAGCAGATTTATATAGTTCCTCACCAATTTAAGTAGTTCTTAAATTCCTCACCAATTTGCATCAGATTTGTATAGTTCCTCAACAATTTAAGTAGTTTTTAAATTTCTCACCAATTTTCATCAGATTTGAGTTCCTCACAATTTTAAGCAGTTTTTTTGTTCTTCCCCAAGTTTTGATGTATACTCTTGAATCTATAGATCTTAAAACTAATATAGGGAGGTTTTTCTTGTGATGGGGGGTACCACTAGTATGGTAGCTAACTAAAGAGCTAGCCAACTAGGGAGTTTACAAACTGGCCCACTAGTTTGGAAGCTAACTAAAGAGCTAGCGAACTAGAGGGTTTACAAGCTGGTCCACTAGTATGGAAACTAACTAAAGAGCTAGCGAACTAGGGTGTTTACAAGCTGGCCCACTAGTATGGAAACTAACTGAAGAGCTAGCGAACTAGGGTGTTTACAAGCTGGCCCACTAGTATGGAAACTAACTAAAGAGCTAGTGAACTAGGGTGTTTACAAGCTGGCCCACTAGTATGGAAACTAACTAAAGAGCTAGCGAACTAGGGAGTTTACAAGCTGGTTCACTAGTATGGAAACTAACTAAAGAGCTAGCGAACTAGGGTGTTTACAAGCTGGTCCACTAGTATGGAAACTAACTGAAGAGCTAGCGAACTAGGGAGTTTAAAAGGTGGTCCACTAGTATGGAAACTAACTAAAGAGCTAGTGAACAAGGGAGTTTACAAGGTGGTCCAATGGTATGGAGACTAACTAAAGAGCTAGCGAACTAGTGATAAAAGATAGTTTGATAGCTAGATAGTTAGATAGCTAGATAGCTAGATAGTTTGCAAACTTGATAAACTTGTCGATAATCTAACCTAGAAGATATCATATATTTAATCTTTGCAGAAACCTCAAGTTTTAAGGATTTTTAGACTTTGCAAAATTGTACCTTTTTCGGATAAGTTTCATATAATTCTCCTGATTACTGTCGTTTAAATTTGAAAAGCCTACAGTTATACATTGCATACATATAATTTAAAGGCAAATTTTATTATATATATTATATACAGTTATACATTGCATACATATACTATATATATATTAAACATTTTCTTTTTTCCCAAAACAAAATGTTTAATGGGTTTTTAATTGGAATTAAACTTTATACAAATCAATAATATTATTAAACTCAGATTGTTTCAGATTGAAAAGGGTTAAGTCTTTCATCGAAGAATTTTTTAAATGTGAGACTCAAGTAATTTAATGGAGAAGTGGATTTTTTTCAGTAAGTATTATTATATAATTATAATTATTTAATTATTATAGTTGCATATATATTTCTTGATAAACCTCATTTTTCCTTTATTATATCTGAGGTCCGTTTTATTTTTTCCTTTAATTTCTAAAAAAGCTGAAAAACAGATGTTTTACATCGTATTTGCTTTCTCCATGACGTATTTTAAAGATCATCAGGTTTTCATAATATATATATTCTCACCAATATTTCTAAGCTTTTTTTCAAATCAGAAGAAATATCTAATTCATGCTTAATTGTAGTGTAACTAACATTGAAGTTTACAATTAGGTCAGGTAACCGCCCTCTCCTCCTCCTAAATAGTCTTTTTATCCTCCGTTCTGCTTGAACTGCATGAAAGCACGTGCTGCCTGATGGTGAAACATGCTTGACCTCAAGTGACATTATTATGCAATAGCAAACGTTTTTACCTCTGAGGCTGGGGAGAGGGGGGGGGTGGTCAAGTGACATTATTATGCAATAGATATAAAGATTATGAAGTTTTCATCATTTTACTAGTTCGGGGGCAAATAATTATAAAAACGCTTTAGTCTTTTTTGAAATTATTAATTCAAAATTCAAATAATACATTATAATTCGAATATTTTTACGATTTACATCATGTACATTTGAAACATTGAAACAATTTTATATAATAATATAAAAAAGTATGTTAATACATTTGCAAAAAAAGATTTTTTAGTTAGACCGGGGTTATGTAAACATTTACAATACTAAAAAGTCATGTTTTAGGTTGAAAATTACAAAATAATGTGTATACATGTGAATACATACACCTTTTTACACACAAGAAAATCTGTAAAAAATATATTTTTTAAATATTACTTTCTTCAGAAATCTATGGAGAAATATCCATTTAATTTTAGAATCGGCGAAAATTCTATAAATCTTACAAAGTTGACTAAATAGTATCTACTTTCTGTTAAACAATTTTATAATCAATATTTTTATATAACAATTTTTTTATAATAAATAATATCATCTACCTATATCCTATCTATGAGTAAGCTGGGAATCCAGAGTGTTGTGAACCTAAACCTAAATATCATCCTTACCATTACAATTGTAGGGTATAGAACCTAATCACGGGGTCTAGGACACTATAAACATTCTAGAAACAACGCTTTAGATTCTACAGATGACGCTTTAATGTCAATCTTGGTTTAATCCGAACTTATAAAAAAATCTTATCAACTTCTAAAATTGCTAAAATGTATCCAATTTCACATCTGCGGAAACTCTCTTTTTAGTGTTTTATATTTTAGCAACTTGACAGCGGTATGAAATAGTCTTTATAGGTCCTAAACCAGTGCGAAAATTCATCCAATAATGAGTCATGCAGCAGGTTGCCATGACATCCTGATTTATTAATTATTTTCAGGTTTGATGTTACAACTAAGCCAGGCCGAGGTTCATGAATGTGAGCCTGGACGAATGGAGCAGATCTTGAACCGAGGAGAAGGAGAGGAAGGATGTAAACCTAGACTTACAGTTATTCGTCTTCCTGATCCTAAAGATCAGTTCTCTCATGTTACTCCCAGTCATATTGAGGTAAATACAGGGGATACAGGGGATACAGGGGTTACAGGGGATACAGGGGATACAGGGGATACAGGGGATACAGGGGATACAAGGGATACAGGGGATACAGGGGATATAGTGGTTACAGGGGATACAGAGGATAAAAGGGGATACAGGGGATACATGGGATACAGGGCATACAGTGGCATAAATATTTTTATTCTACGTTTTATTTTTAACCTTCATTATAAAGAACCTTTTTATGCAATTACGGAAACAAAAAAAAATCGATTGACATTGCAAGGGAATTAAGCCTTCTAATCCCTATGTCTTCACAACCTAATCATAAATATCTTTAATGTCATATTTCAAACTTTAGATTCTGAAAGATAAATTTTTCTAAGTTTGCACCATAAGGTTGCAAAGACATAGGGATTAGAGCTTGCTGCGAGGGATCAGTTCCCTTAGATATTTTTGTCCAATAAAAGATAGACCAATAATCCATCCTTGTTGACCTCCCCCACACCCTCCAACGTTACAAAACGTGAAGAAGGAGGGGGGGGGGGGGCTATAAATTAATTTCCAACATTTTGATAAATATTTTAATTTGAACAGGTTCTACGGTGCAGCGGATCCTGTCTTCACTCCTATCATAACTGTATACCCAGAGAAACCAGGACTAGGAAAGAGAAGGTTCTTCTCTCTCTCAGATCCTTGGCATCCGGACCTGCTGAGAGTACATGTGGTGAGGTTGAGGTAGAGGAGCATGTATCCTGCAGCTGTGGTTGTGATATCTCGGAGTTACACTGCACCCAGAGACAACGGTTCCTAGCCTCAGAGTGTAGATGCGTGTGCGAGGATACAAGAGAAAGAGAAGATTGTATCCAGAAGGGCTGGTATTGGAACTCAGATCTTTGTCATTGTATGTGTCCAAACCGTCCTTATCCAACCTGTCCTTCCGGTTACATATTCGACCACGAAGAGACCTGTACCTGTCGTGTGTTCTCATACAGAGCTTTCCCAGTCCTGGAGCTAGTTATAGTCGTTCTATCCCTTGGTTCCATCTGTGCAATCCTCTCACTAGTACAGTGCTATAGGAAAGGATTAGGATTGTTTAAACACAGACGGGAAACCAGAATCAGAACTGAAAGTTTCCGGGTCAAGGTTAGATCCTTAAATGAACTCCTGGGTAAATCTGTCCCAGGACGTAGACGGGAAAGTTCTCCTCCCGGAGAAGAGATGACAAGACTAAAGGTAGAACCTAGTGGACCTGAGATTAGTTAGTAAATAGTAGTGAAACCCAATCCAAAGTGTAGTCTTTACAAAACCAGTATTATCACTCAGTTAATTCTTCTTAGAAGAATAACCGTATTTATTGTGAAGAACGAGGACCCAGTGCTTGTTCTGTTAAAACATAGAATTAAAACCACAACAAGCCAGTATTAGTATTACTCCTTAAACAAATTTAATACTGAAATCACAGAGCCTGAACCTTTACACAGAATATCGGTATGAAACTGGGATTCGGAAACCAGACATTTTTTGGTCGGAAAAATCCATTCCAAATAATTTTTTCTTCAACAAAGCCAGTTTACACAAAATATTTTTTTATTTTTTTATATGAATTTACGCAAATAATTGAACTTTAAAAGAAAACCTGGCGTCAAAAGTTTCGTTTATTGATCGTCTCTTAAGTTTCCTGCTCTGGGTGTGTAATGTTTATCAGGTGTATAAAATGACAATGTAAACTGTAAAGTGTATAGATATACTATAATAGGTTAACTAAATAATTTCAATATACCATTTTTTCAAAGAATATTAAAGGGACTGTTAGCGCAATATCAAATATAATAAAGGGACTGTTAGCGCAATATCAAATATAATAAAGGGACTGTTAGCGCAATATCAAATATAATAAAGGGACTGTTAGCGCAATATCAAACATAATAAAGGGACTGTTAGCGCAATATCAAGTAACCGATTCACAACAGTACCCTTTAAAGCTTTTACTGATCAAGTACGATTTAGATTTCAATTTTAAGTATTTTAAAATTATTTTAAATAATTTTCAATTGTGGATTCTTTTCAAAAGTGGAGGAAAGCAGAGTTCAACAATTTTGAACCTAAAAAACGACAATATCTTCCTTATTACCGATCAGATAAAGGTGTAAATGGTACCGTTGTGAGTCAAGCATTGACATCATGCATGCAGGACCCCTTGATATTACGCTTACAGTCCCTTTAACACCCCCCTGACCAATTTCAACAAACGCCCCTTTGACTTAATTACTAAACTTTTTATTTTTAATGATTTTAACTTCCTGATATTTTCTAGTTGAAAAGTAAAAACATATTTAAATAATAAAATCAATTTTGTCAGATTTAACTTTACTTCTTAACCAGGTTTTGAAGGAAGGAAAAAATTAGTTTTCAATGATATTTAACGAAGGTTATATTTCCTAGTTCTAAGTCCACTATCTTATCATACTTGACTCATTAGAAAAGACATTTAAAGAGTTTTATTTAATGACGAAAACGTTTATTCAGTAAATAGTCAACACAGACTTAAAGGGCAGCGCTGATCAAATGTTTATTTTATAACATTTAAACTATATTTTCATTTAAAATTAAAATTAAAATGTTTTAATATGCATCACCTGATAAACCCTGATAATTACTTAAAGATAAAAGTATGAAATGTATTTTAAATATTTCAAATTACCTGTTCAACAGTTTATTTATACATTTATGATTATAGTTCATGATCTTAACATTTTTTGAATCTCTATTTAGAAATTAGAATTCAATCTTTTAATAAAATATACAAGAACCTATGTTTTATATTTTCCAAGTTTAGTTTATAAAAATGGAATTGAAATCAATTACATAACTAAACTAACTAGGGTATAATTAGTGAAGCCGCGCGGTATTGAATTGATGTCGATGACATTTTTTGTGGCAACCCTCTTGACCTCTATGGAGCGTCAATTTAAAACATTTTGCCCGGAATAAAGATTGCCATCTATCTATATTTTTAAAGAAGTAATCTCTCTGTTAGGATGTTCGTATGTCCGATCATAACTTTTGAACCTCTTGACCGATTTGCCTAAAATTCTAATTGGGGAACTCAATGGAGCCAAGGAAATGTTAGCGTAGTCTAAAGATTGTTCAGAATGAGTGGGGGTTGAAGTTTAAAGGGAAAGTTTAGTTTCCAGGCAAAGTTGGGTATAGAAGGTAGTTAGTTAAAAAAGAAAATGCCCCAAAGGAATTGCCATAAACTCTGATTTTCTAATCACTATATCTTTGGAACCAAATGTTGCAGACCTTAGATATTTCAAACAATAAATTCCGTTAGATCAAATAATCTGAGCTTGAAAAGTCAAAGGTTTACAACATCGGGTTCTAAAGATATTGAGGTTTAAATATTTGATTTTGTTACAAAGACTCAATTCCTTTAACAGAAAAATTCACGAAATTTTTTCCTCAATTTAGAGTACAATAAAAGATGACGACTTACAAAGGAATTGTTAAAAGCTAAAAATTGTGAAAAAAAGCCTAGTTTTAGGATACTTATTTATAGATGCCGATTTAAAAAATCTTTTTATTCAAATACGTCTTTTAAAACTATTCATTTGTTAACGCAGCATTTTAGACACTAACACAATCTTATTTTCGATTTTGGAAATAGGTTGGCAAATTCAAAGGAATCAACCAGGAAAATTCCATATTCCTCAAATAATTTTCTGGATGTTTCAAAGTTTCTTTTAATACTAATCATAATTTCACGTACTTAAATGTATTTTGAACCAGTTTTACCGTCGTGCATGAAATATTTCAGTTTTCTGAAAAATTACGTATTTACTCTCTGAAAGCATCTATAATGATCTAACCGCATGAGTCTATACTGTAAACCTTTAGTTATGAATGACACATGTTTTATTTCGCGTAGGCAAGCTTTCCCCATATTGTCTTGCCGGTTCCCAATTAACAAGGAAAAAGAAATTTAAACAAAACATTGTAAAACTAAAATAACACTCCAACATGTTTGTAATAGTTTCATTCGTCCCCGACACTTCATACATATATATATTCAAACGCACAGAGCAATAGATAAACAGATATGTAATTTCAGAACTGCATGCGCTTTTAAGTATAATCTAAGCAGTCCAGGAAGATTCGCGCCCTTTTTACACGAAAATATTATTGTTATATAATTTTTAAATGATTTCTGTTGTAAAATTCAATTCGACATTTTCGTGGACTATAACTGAAAGCATGGTTAGACTAAACAGACTAAAATGATAAAATGGTTTCCATCTTTTAAACCTTAAAGTTGGGTTTTATATATTATTATTTTGCAATGTTTTTTTTGAGGATTCTTCCTCTAAACCCTGACTCAACTCTTATACACAATTACTAAAGCTACGAAAAGGTATTGAAAAATAATTTTCCAACTGTTGAACCTTTATGTTGATAGGATCTATGATATCATCAAATATTTTGCATTATTTAGGTGAAATATTGATTTAATTTGAATAAAATCCATAAAACAGAGTGTTTTCAAAAAATTTGATGAGAGTTGAAATTAATTGTACATTTTTATTAAATATTTCTGTAAATAGAATTTGATATAGCCCTTTTCTTCACTTAAACCCATAGAAAAGGGAATAAGCATGGTTTTAATCAGACCCTGGGTTTTCTAGTTTAGTAGAAATAAAGGTCAAATTTTTGTGATATTAATGGTACGTCCTTACGACTTCTTAGCTCCTCTAACTTTGATAATCTGCAAAGCAAATTCATACAGTTACATATCAGAAAGTAACAGTTTTTGCCACGAACTCAAATATTCTTGTCCAGCACCAACTTATATGCTACACCTCAAGAATTGAGAAGGATATTTAAAATATCTAAATATATTTTCTCTGAGAACCATCAAGTTTTTTTGAAGCAGTTGAAAAACTCTACCACAAAGGAATATTTACAGTTACACACATTTAGAAAGCTCTTGAGGGTTGAAAAGCCTCCTGCCTTAAAACAAATCAGAAGTTGTGATCCTGTACAGAACTATATCTACCAGTTGATGTTAAAAGTTCCTGACTCTTCTTATCCCTATATCTTGGCAACCAAATGTCGCAGACCTTAGATATTTCAATCTATTTATTCTGTTAGATCGGATAATCTAAGTTTGAAATATCAAAGGTTTATACCCACTAGTTACAGAGATAGAGAAATTAGAAAATTTGAGGTTGTGGCAAAAACTCAATACCCTTAAAACCTCTTTATTGTCTTATTATATTTTTCATGAAAAAAGAGGAGTTATGATTGAAAACATTTCAGGTTTTAATCTTACGTGAAATTTACTTTAGTTTAACGTGCACAAATCCTGTTTTTTGAGTATTCTCCCTATAAACCATCTGTCAACTAGTATACACAATTAATAAAACCAAATAAAGTTCTCGAGAAAATATTGTTTTAATTTGAACAAAATCTAGAAAACGGAGTGATTTTAAAAATATAATGGGAGTAAATAAAAGCGTAAAGGTGTTTCTATAATTTGATATAAACAGTTCTTCACAAAACAAGAAATATTCCGCCCTGTGCTGCTGGGTTTCAGACAAGCAGCTTCATGCAGAGAGTAATTCATTTACCTCTTCATTTTCATACTCCTCATATAGAACCTAATTTCAAGGGTTTACTCGTATAAATATTTACCAAAACTATAGAAAAGGTCTCAAAGTTAAAACAAAATTAGTTCAATATGTATTTCTGTTTTATCAATGCATGCTTTAATCCATTAATACTTGAACAGCTGTTCAAGTTCACTATTTTCCAACTCTCTCAGGATTCGACCAGGTTCTAATGAAGTTGTTCTCCATCTTGAACTCTGTATCTATGACAAGATAAGGCATCTCCTGGTCATTAAACCTATTCCAGGTTGGAACACCTTCTATAGGATTCTCAGCTGCACTTGGATCTCTAAACAGTAATATTTGTAGTGTAGTCCTAGGACGGAACTAATGTATAGCAGGAAGTAGTTGAACTAGGAATGGCTATTTGAACTACTGCTCTAATGCACTTTCTGCCACACTAGATAAATAGTTCAACTCACTTCACCTTGTTCAACTACTTCTCGTCTTTATTAATTCCGACGATTAAGATCTTCAGGTTTAATTAGAACACTCTAAACTCGGCATAACTGCAGAAAAAAACCGGAATGAAAGTCGTCTTTGTTCGATATAATTCTTTTTAGCCCTAGAGCCTAATTTCATGAATTTGAGCTACCGCTGGTTCAAATCTTGAATCACAGTTTCAAAATTAAAGATTTAACTGGCACTTGGTCTTAGCTTCGATTTGAGGCGTTATAAACTTTAATTCACAGTTGGGTATCCATGTGCAAAAACTTTGTATTCAATTTTAGGAAAGTTTGATCGCATTTTGACCAAAAAAACTAGGCTTTGAGAAAATGCACAACTATTGCTATCTATGCGGTAAGATTTAGCGAAATGATCGCAAAATTTGTATATTATTCTGCAGATATTCATAACAACAGAGAAACTTGAAAAAAATGTTTTTCCATGCAACAAGATAATTTTTAAGATAAGTTTTCCAGCGATAAATAAAATTTTGCGCTACTATTGCGCATATTGTGAATGGAAACCTTAGTTTAACTTCACAGTTAGCATAACCTTCAGATTTCAGATGTTTATTTACCCGTAGATGGCAAAGTTGGTCCAGAGGTTGACCATCTTCCAGGAGATCTCCCAGTCCTGCTCCGACATAGTGAATACTCCGGTAGAGAAAAGGTATAGGAGTTCGTCACCATGGGTTACTCCACGGGGGATCGGTGGTTGCTCTCCTGAACAATAAGAGTTTTTCATCAATTTGAAAAAATACAAATTCGTTTTAATACAGTTAAACCCTTAATAACGAAAACATCGGAAGAATTTATCAAATGTCGTCTTGACAATTTTTCAATGAGTTTTATACTATATTACGTAAATTTCAGTATTTGCGAAAATAGATAAATAGCCATGAATATGCGGGAACAGATTTAAAGAGCTCCATATAATTATTTAATAAAAAAACTAAATATCTGCAACATTACATTATCAGAAAGTGAAGAATACGACATTTGATGAATCCTTTCGATGTATTCCTTATTAAGGGTTTCACTGTATATTATTCAAAATTGCTTAAAGTTAAGGATTTTTATCATTAAACCTGCATTTCTTTTTTTTAGATTTTCAGCTTTTTATTTGGTTTTAAGAATGCTTCCAATAATATCTGTAGAATAAAAAGAGAAAGTTTGTCGAAAGTATTTAACGGAATTGATTTTCAGATATAATTGAAAACTATATGATTAAATTATACTATTACAATTGTATAATTACCCCTCTCTCAATTTGTATGTTACAGGTAAAGAATAGTTTTCAGTCACATTAAAAAGATTTTTCCTGATGTTAAAATCTTTAAATCGAGATTATTGACAAAATATTTCTGTAATAATGCGGCGTAAAATTGATAAATCTACGCGGATTTCTTGTTTATGTCGTCTTCAGCTGACCTGTTAAAGTTTTTACCTGGGAATAGATAGTTCCAGAGGGAAGATTCTCCGTAGTACTCGAAGGAATAGTACCAAGAGTCCACACCAGTTAGTACATTGTACTTCATGAACTCGTAGGTAGACGCTTTGATGAAGAATGTTCCAACAAGCTTTTAATAAAAAATGTATCAAAACACATCTATAACAGGGACTATGAGCGTAATTTGAGGTGACATTCCATTTATACACGGACATCACCGATTCAAAAAGGTAATCTTTAAACCCTTGACTGATTATAGAGTACAGAGAACTCAGCAAAAAAAGCTTGCTAATAAAGTGTTCAACATTTACTAGCGTTTCTGGAGATAAATAAGGAAAAGTCGGACATCCTTCTCAAGGGTACCACTGTACATCCTTCTCAAGGGTACCACTGTAAATCCTTCTCAAGGGTACCACTGTAAATCCTTCTCAAGGGTACCACTGTAAATCCTTCTCAAGGGTACCACTGTAAATCCTTCTCAAGGGTACTACTGTAAATCCTTCTCAAGGGTACCACTGTAAATCGGTGATGCTTCTCTTTTAAATGGAAGGTCACTTGAAGTTACGCTTACAGTCCCTAAAAGAGTAGAGAAAATCTTTTCTAACCATAAATGGTTGCCAACTTGCCAAGCTCTAACGAGTATAATGTACACAATTTGTCCAATCATAAGAGAAAGAAAAATTCCAACTGTAAGATTATTTCAATTCATATAAACTATACTTACATTGACCATACCATCCATCATAGTATCCCAGGTTCCCATTTCAGTATGATCGAAGAAAGTGTATTCCAACATTTCATAAATATTTCCACTTTGATCTTTCAAACCCATAGCACTAGATTATAGTCAATTATCAGTCTACTACCAACAATTTAAGCATTTAAATGTTGCTTTTCAAGCGGCCATCTTTTCTCCGTGATAATATAACTCGAAATATTGAGGTTTTCTGTAAACAATGATAAATTTCTAGTTTTGTTTTAAAATCTAAATTTTCCAGGCTAATTTTTCGCTTTTTACCGTCCATAAACCTTCTCTGGGGTCGTGTGGATTTGCCACTAATAGTCTAGGCACGATTGGTTCACCCGTTTCGACGTTTACCATGGATAAAGAAAAACAAGCCAAATTTATATACAGACGCAGTTCGCCTCAATACGCTTAGTCTAATGTGAAGGATTTATAGATATGTTGCTGTTAACTGTAGAGAAAGATTTAAATAAATCTTATATATTTTTCCTTTTTTTAAGAAAATATAAAAATACGATGGTTTTAAAAGTATTCTTGGTTGACTGAATATTTGTGTGGAACCTCTCCTGGATTATTTAAGATCCTGAACCCAAAAACATTTTTTTAAAAGAAAAAAATACTGTTTAATTTTCAATGGTGAATTGTTAAAATTATTACAAAGCAGAAAAAATATCAATCTTAATATTCGCAAACAAAAAAAGTTGTGTTTAGTTTTAGTTTAAAAACGTTTAAATATGGGTCAAGTTATTGGTACTTCAACCTAATATTCCAAAAAAGAAAAATTAATTTTTAATTTTTGTTCACTTACTTGAGTAATGTGTAGATAAAGAGATGCCTGAGGAAGAATTGATCTTCTAGTACATTGTTCGGTAAAATGTAGGAGTTGTACATAACTAAACAAATGATATTTATAGTGGTGTACAATGTAGGAGTTGTACATAACTAAACAAATAATATTTATATTATAGTGTTGTACAATGTAGGAGTTGTACATAATTAAACAAATAATATTTATAGTGTTTTACAATGTAGGAACTGTACAGTGTACATAACTAATCAAATAATATTTATAGTGGTGTACAATGTAGGAATTGAACATAATTAAAAAAATAATATTTATAGTATTGTACAATGTAGGAGTTGTACATAACTAAACAAATAAAATTATATTGTTGTACAATGTAGGAGTTGTACATAACCAAGCAAATAATATTTATAGTGTTTTAAAATTTAGGAGTTGTACATAACTAAGCAAATAATATGTATAGCCTTGTACAGTGTAGGATTTGTACATTTGAAGAAATAATGTAAAAAAATGTTCACAGTATAGTACAAAGTTGGTATCATAAATAACTAAAGATATGGGTTACTTTATTGGAACAAACTATTAACGTTTTTATTATAAAGGTACTTACGGCCTAGAACAAAAGATCCTTCGTTCTTGTTTGATCCGAATAATGCTGGTTTCTGAGCATTACTTCCTTCCAACACCATTTTCATTATTGCAGTTTTAGGATGCTCATCGATAAATATCTTGCCATGGGTCTGAGCACAAGGACTTGATCCTCCAAATCCAAGTCTTCCTTCTGCTCTTTCCGCCAACTAAACAAATCGTTGATTTAATCCTAGATATCTATTCATTTAGTTATACCCAAATCCTAGTTTTCTCCTCTATCTAGACTTATACCCAGATACAATCCTAGTTTTCTCCTCTATCTAGACATATATCCAGATGCAATCCTAGTTTTCTCCTCTAACTAGATATATACCCAAATGCAATCCTAGTTTTATCCTCTATCTAGACATATACCCAGATACAATCCTAGTTTTCTCATCTATTTAGGCATATACCTTGATACAATCCTAGTTTTCTCCTCTATCTAGACATATACCCAGATACAATCCTAGTTTTCTCTTCTATCTAGATATATACCCAGATACAATCCTAGTTTTCTCACCTATCTAGATATATACCAAGATACAATCCTAGTTTTCTTCTCTATCTAGACATGTACCCAGATACAATCCTAGTTTTCTCATCTATTTAGGCATATACCTTGATACAGTCTTAGTTTTCTCCTCTATCTAGATACATACCCATAAAATCCTAGTTATCTCATCTATTTAGACATATACCTTCATACAATCTTAGTTTTATTATCTATCTAGACATATACCCAGATAAAATCCTAGTTTTCTCACCTATCTAGAGATATACACGGATACAATCCAAGTTTTTTCCTCTATCTAGACATATACCCAGATACAATCCTAGTTTTTTCATCTATCTAGACATATACCTAGATACAATCCTAGTTTTCTCCTTTATCTAGACATATACCCAGATACAACACTATTTTTCTCCTCTATCTAGACATAAACCCAGATCAAATCCTAGTCTTCTCCTCTATCTAGACATATACCCAGATACCATCCTAGTTTTCTCATCTATCTAGACATATACCCAGATCCAATCCTAGTTTTCTCCTCTATCTAGACATTTACCCAGACACAATTCAAGTTTTCTCATCTATCTAGATATATACCCAGATACAATCCTAGTTTTCTCCTTTATCTAGACATTTACCCAGATACAATCCTATTTTTCTCCACTATCTAGAAATTTATCCAGATAAAATCCTAGGTTTCTCCTCTATCTAGACATATACCCAGATGCAATCCTAGTTTTCTCCTATATCTAGATATATACCCAGATACAGCCCTAGTTTTCTTCTCTTCTTTAATAAGTTTTTAATGCTTATAAAAGGTGAAGATAAGACTATAATATAATGATTATACTTACATAATAAGTTTTATGAGCATTAACAATTTCTGCCGCAGTTTTCTCGGTTCTTAGACAGGTGATAAGACCTGATAAACTATCTTCAGGACAATCCAAGGCAGAGGCAATATCCTGGGAAAAAATCATGTTTTTTTTAATTAAATGCATGCGGTCATTAATTTTATATTAAAAAAATGTTAAGAACAAATCATCACTAAGAATGGCTCTTACAGTGAAACCAAAAAGCTGTGGAATAGGAAGACGACTGTTAGACTATAATCTTAAATAATCAAATAAAGATAAAACACCCATTTCAATTAAAAAAATGGTTTTCAAGCTTTCATGTAAACTTGTTTGCTTTAGAAATAAAATCATATACAAATAAGATTTCTTCTATGTCGTCTTCCTGTTCCAGAATATCTCTGTAAGTAATGGCAAAACAGAATTTATCAGAAAAATCGTCCAAAACCTAATTTTCATTTATAAAACATTTATAGAGACAAAGTTACTAATTTTTGATGTAGCGCTTTCAATCGACTCTTTGCAGCAAAGAAACTGAACACATGCCTCAAACTCCGATTTTCCAGTCCATATATATTTGAAACCTGTTGAAGACCTTTAATGTTTTAAACTGTGAATTCATGCTGGCTTTAAAAACCTTTCTCCTGAACACTGTATACTTGAGATTGTGACATGAGCTTAGTTTTGTTAATCGTTTTCATTTCACTTTCAAACTGCATTCTGTCATAGTTTGCTTTTTTAAAACTTTGCAATATTTTCATTCTAAAAAAGGATAAACGGACCAAAAATGAAACATTGTATCATATTTGTTTTTGGTTAGTTAATTAAATAAATTGTCTCTTTGTTTAGAATACACAATTTTGAAATCATCTGCTCATATATTTTGATAAATTTTGACCCTGAGAGAAACTAAATGAAAAGCAAAAGTTACCTTGGCATGCTTCAAGGGTTCATTATAATTACCTTGGCATGCTTCATATAATTACCTTGGCATGCTTCAAGGGAACATTATAATTACCTTGGCATGCTTCAAGAGTTCATTATAATTACCTTGGCATGCTTCAAGGGTTCATTATAATTACCTTGGCATGCTTCAAGAGTTCATTATAATTACCTTGGCATGCTTCAAGAGTTCATTATAATTACCTTGGCATGCTTCAAGGGTTCATTATCAAAGGCCCAGCTTGACAAGGCACTTCCAGATTCAGCAATAGCTTTAGAAAAAAGTGCTGAAAAAACAAGAATTTAAACAAAATTCAACTTTTAATTAGTTCTTTAAATTGTTTTATTTCCAAATCCTTTAAGCTTAGAAAAACGAAAATCGTATTCAACTTCATAGTTTCAAATACTAAATAGTAACTTCCTGTCATCACTGAATGACCAGGTGTAAATTTTAAGATTCATTTAAAGAAATTGTCCATTTGACAGGGTCCAAATGATTTCAGGTGACGAACGAAATTAACATCAATTATTATTTTACAAAAACGACAAACGTTGACTTATTTACATCTTGAAATTGAACTGATCGCGCTCCATTCTTCAATAAATGCCCCCCCCCCTCTCCATTCTTCAATAAATGTAACCCCCCTCCATTCTTCAATAAATGTCCCTCCCCTCCATTCTTCAATAAATGTTCCATAAAAATGTAAACCCTAATGTGGTTAGAACACTTACGCTGAGAGAGAGGTGAGAGCATATGATATGTAACAGAGGCACTTCCAGCTGACTCTCCCATAATAGTTACTTGGTCAGCATCTCCACCAAAAGCAGCAATATTATCTCTGAAAAATATAAAATTATAAATAAACATAAATATTTATGGGAAACTAGAATTCCTGAGTAAAAGTCCAAGGAGTCCTAACTTTAGAATCCAACTCCACCCATTAAATGTAGATGTTCGTATTTACTATTTAATACTTTTTGTTTTAATTATTACAGTTTATAACTTCTCTTCCGTTTTTTTAACGAACTTTAAAGGAGAGGACAAAATATGACTGAAAATATTTCGTTGCAGTTAGTTTTACCTGTATTTGTAAATACCTACATCGAAGGTCATTAAATATGTCTATTTAAAAAAGATTTTCATTTGATTGATATGGTCATGATTTGAAATTTAAAAGTTTATGGAAAAACCCTGCAACTTATGACTATTTTAGTAAATAAACGAATCAGCTTAAAGTTGGAGGTCTTATATTGAAGAACAATTGTACTTACTTAACCCACTGAAGAGCAAGTTGTTGATCAAGAAGTGCCATATTTCCAGCTATTTGATCGTCAGGCAGACACATGAAGCCAAGAGGTCCAAGACGGTATTGCATCTCAACCAGCACAACATCTCTAAAGAAATGACAACTATTAAAACATTCATTTCATCCAAGGGAAAAAATCCCGTAAAAATTGAAATTTTCCTTTTTTGCAATTAGAATTTTTGATTATTTACCAATTTTGTAATTTTGGCTCGCAAACTCTGTTTTGACAATATCTCATCAAAAACTAAAGTCTTGAAATCCACAATCCTTGACAGGCAGAATGTCAACTCAAGATCAAAGGAAATTGATTGAAATTGGTGAAATTAACTTAGATTGCGTTGTCGGGAGATTTTTTAAAGATGAGAAACAATTTTAGAAGAAACATAAAAATGAATTACTATTAAATAAAACAATTTAACTTTTATTTGTTTTCAATCATAACATCTTATATTGAAAACAAAGATGTTTAGAATTTCTAATATGCAACCAGAAAAAATTTGCTTATCCTAAACTTATGCGTAAAATAAAAACTAGAGGAGCTGCGAGGTCACAAAGTCGTACCAAACCGGAAGTTTACCTTTCGAGTAGTTTGCCTGGTCCAGCTCCGATATATCCTCCAAGCATGAAAGCTCCTCCATGAATGTACACAATAACAGGCAGCTTAGGATTAGAAGACGCAGATGGAAGCTGAATTATTTATATTATAGAGAAAATATCTAATCACAGTGATTAAAGTATATATATAGAGATTAAATCACTCTAAAAGTCATCTTTTTGTACTAATACCATATCTTGCCCAGAAAAAAATGAAAAATACTGTGGACACTTCCCCAAAAAAGAAGTATCAGATATAGGGTGTAAAGAAAGTAATGCATCAGACTGTTTTGGTTCTAAATTGGTGAAAAAAGTGCGATCAACAGATAATTGATTAATTATTTTTCTATCTGTCCTTACTAAACCGGTTTTAATATAAACAAACACATTCATAAATATTTTTCTATCTGCCCTTACTAAACCGGTTTTAATATAAACAAACACATTCATAATTATTGTTTTCTCTTTGACAATACACTCACTCAAAGAAAGTGTCCAAAACTAAAGTCTGAAATGACATTTATGAAGGATGGTCGGGCTGGGGTCATAATATAAGAAAATAAATTTATGATAAACAATTTTTTGACGCATCTAGGACATTATTTTCAGTGATCACTTTCTTTACACCCTATATTTTTGAGAGACATGCTTATTTCTACTCTATTTGTTTTCTCTCCTCTGTGAATTTATTTTTAAAAAAATATGTTAGTATTTAGAGTTACCTCTGGTGTGAAAACTGCAAGCTTGAGACAATCCTCTGTACCCATAACAGCTAAACCAGCCCTGGATGGATTAAATTATAACTCAAAAAGGTCGTCTTCGCTTTCAAGTTTCCCCCCCCACCATGTCAAAATACAGCTAAGGTCTCGAAATGAATTAGGTTTATGTAAAGGAAAGTGAAGGTTGGGTACAGTTTATGTACATTTTCCAGAGTACGTTGTACAATGTACACGTATTGGAATGCTTTGGTTCAGCTTTGACCTAGAGGTTTAGGAATACCCACAAATGATGAATTCATTAAATACAACAATCTGAAGGTCAACAGGGTCTTAAAGGGGCTGTAAGCTTAGTTTCAAGTGATCCCCCATACAAATATTGCAATGTTCGATTTACAACGGTACCATTAATTGCTTTGTCTGATCAAATGTTTATGTTTCTTTAAACGTTCTGTTTTCATCTGCGTATTTTCTGCGAAAGTTACTTGCCCAATGTTTGCTTGTAAGAAGCAACGAAAAAATTATCAGAATCAAGCAAGATAAACGAAGGTATCTTCCACATTTTTTATCAGATTACGGTTTCAAGGGTACCATTGTAAATCAGGGAAATCGCCTTACAGTCCCGTCAATTCTAGAATATGTAATCTCTTAAATAAGCCAGTATTGCAAGGATGAAGAATCACAAATTCTGTACAGTCGTCTTTGAAGTCTCATCCCATGTTGGTAACCGGCCCTGTATGCTGCAAAATGGCTCCAATATTACCTTTCTGTTTCATTGATCGGAGCCTCGTCCTCCCACATATGGAAATATGGATTCCTGAATCCTAGATCTAGTCCAGGCTGGGGGCAAACCTTAATACAAAACCTTTAGTAAACGGACAATAGACAGAATTTTTCAGTGATCCTCCATTTCAAGAGTGGATCCTCAATTTCAAGAGTGGATCCTCCATTTCTAGAGTGGATCGTCAGATTATCAACTGTACCCTTAAAAGCTTTGTATTATCAAGAAAGGGTGAGGAACAATGAAGGAAATTGTAAGAATTATACACTTTTTAAGATTAAAAACGGCTATATCTTCCGGTGATCAGATGAGGGTTTAAGGGACCGAATTGGACATGTTCCTATTTAAATAGAGTGGAACTTGACATTACAAACACAGTCTCTTTAAGATTATAATTCGAAATAATTTTTAAGAAAATTATTTAATTCTTACATGGTTCCACCAGCCAGTAATGTAGGTCAAGTAAGAAGCATCAAAAGCATCCTAAAAAAAATATTCAATGTCTATACTATTATTTGACAGGGTCTGAACGTATGATCAGATCAAGGCCTGTTTATAATATTATTCGGCAGGTTCTGAACGTATGATCAGATCAAGGTTTGTCTATACTAATATTTGGCAGGGTCTGAACGTATTATCAGATCAAGGTTTGTCTATACTATTATTTGGCAGGCTCTGAACGTATGATCAGATCAAGGTTTGTCTATACTATTATTATACGTATCATCAAATCAAGGTTTTAATTACATCTCTCTTGGTTTATATCTGTGTACAAAGCATGAGATTTTAACAACGCCGTGAAACTCTTTAAATACTACAATCTGAAGGTTGACTTTGACTACATGACTTGATTTATTCTTCAATTTGTTGATTTTGCGAATAGAAAAAAAGTTATACTAAAAAGAAACTAAAATTGTAAAAATAGGCTTCACCTTTCCATCGTTTAAGGCAGGTTTAGGTAGGGGAGGCTGAAACCTATTCTCTCCACTTGTATCTTCTCCATAAGGTATATTCCAGAAACCGAAAACATCACGACCCTGAACACAAGATAGTTTAAAGAAAATTCTTAAATGAAGGATTGTCTAAGTGAAGGATTGTCTATGTGAAGGATTGTCTAAGTAAAGGATTGTCCAAGTGAAGGATTGTCCAAGTAAAGGATTGTCCAAGTAAAGGATTGTCCAAGTGAAAGATTGTCCATGTAAAGGATTGTCCAAGTAAAGAATTGTCCAAGTAAAGGATTGTGCAAGTGAAGGATTGTCCATGTGAAGGATTGTCCAAGTGAAGGATTGTCTAATAAGGGACTGTTTACCGTGAACTGAGTAGATTTCTTGCTTCCTTGAATTTTCCCAACTCCAGGAACTGTTACACAAGGTCCAGTTAAACAGTCAAGAATACCCTGATCATCAAATAAAAAATTATTAATAAATAAATATTTTGCTGAAAAAAAAAATCAAAATAATTTTTGTAAATTTTTCATTTTGTTGAATTTTCTAAAATAAATGATCAAATTCTTCGATTCATGTTCTTAAAAAGCAAACATTCCCTTTTCTTATCTCCTTCAAGTTGTTAAACTAACTTATTAAAATGTTCATTTTCTAATTCTTGTTTATTATTAATTAAACGAGTTTGGTAAACAAACATGGAAGCTCTAAACAGAAGAGTACAAAGATATGTTTGTTGTGCTAATGGTGACACAATGGAAACTGCGGAGTACTTTAATGAAAATGGTCAAATTCATCTGGCAAACGTTTACCATTTTCAAAATAAATCAAAGTATGTATCAAAATATCAATCTTGAAAAACTGAGTTCAGAAACGTTAAATACGTAAAAGTCCATTTAAATTAAATCAAACAATTTTTGAAATATTGAAAAACGGGCAAATGGACAATATTCAGCGGTCCCAGGCGCATCTTTTCATTCCCGTGTTAAGATGCTTTGAAAATTTAAAAAATCAACCTCCCTTATGATTTACATTTTTTTTAACTCGTTAATTACTGAATGGGGTTTGTTATTTTTTTTTTTTAACAAATGTTAAATCTTATTTGCTATTGTAAAATTATCTGCTGTGCAAAAAGGATTCGACAATTTCAATAAAACGTTTCACCCTTAAATGTAGACAAAATAAATCAAATAAAATCATTTTAAAAAGCCTATAGACATAATTTCAAGAAATCCTCCAATTAGGTTCGATCGATTTTCTATCTCGAAAAGTTTTGAATTCTAACAATTTCCTTCATTCTCTCTGGCGCATAAAACCGCAAGTAATTTGTTTGTGAGAGGCCACAACTGAAAACGACGGTTGTTGATCGATGTACTATTCTTTAAATTGAGGTTCACTTGAAATCATGTTTAGAGCTCCTTTTATAATTTACAAAAACAGAAGCTGCATAATGTTAGAACAAAGATTATCTAACTTTATAGAATTAAAAGTATAATATTTATATCTACAGTTTATTTCATATTTACAAGAACAATACAAAAATCAGAAATGTTAAAATAAAAAATAATAAAAATACTAGAGTTTACCTCACTCTCTGACCCTGCCGCTAGGGCCACCAAACAACAAGCTGATATCAGCCTGCAAAATCAATCAATCAAATATAAATATTTTGTTATTGTGGACGCAGCGCTCGGCTCTCTAGACTTTCCTAGACGCAGCGCTCGGCTCTCTGTACTGCCCTAGCCGCAAGGCCCGGTTCCAAAATTGTCGTCATTCAAAAACATGCGTTAGCAATATTGTCTTTTATCATTCTAAAAGGAATTAAATATTCGCCATAAACTCAAAGATCAAAGGTTTAAAGTTTGAAATATCAAAGGTGCTTACTCTCAAGTTGTAAAGAGATAAAAAGATTAAGGTTTGTGGCGAGTATTCAACTTCTTTAATTCTTGTTCATCTTGTTCCCCAGCCCTATTCATGCAACAATGTCGTAAATATGATATAACAGTATTTAATTTTAAAAGTTTTGAAAAAAAATTTTTATTTCGTATTGATTGATTTGATATATGTTCCTGATGCTAAACATTATGCTTCTAATTCCTTCTCCAACTACTGTTTTACAAGCAGCCAGCTTGCTTAAATACACACCTTATCTTTTATTTATTAGTTGTAAATATATTGACTTTAACATTTTTTAAACTCTCTGTTATTTAAGGAACGCAACAGAAGGGAAAAGGGATTAAAAAAAATTATAAACACAATAAATCTATGTAAGAAAAGTCGCAGGAAAAAAGTTTCTGTGGAAAAATAACATCTGTAAAGTTTATCCCTGCAATGATAAACTTTAGAACCGTTCTTATAACCTCCATTAAAGCTTCTAATAACTTCCATTAATCCTTCTGAAAACATTCGTAATTATATGATAACTTCCATTAATCCTTCTGATAACTAGCATTAATCATTCTGATATCTTCCATAATTCATTCTGATAACTTCTACTTCTAATACTACTTCTGGTAACTTCAATTGAGGTTACAATCTTGATAACCTTCATTAACCCTCATTATAATTTCCAGTAATCTTAATGTTAACTTTCATTAATCCTAATTATAACTTCCATTAATCCTTCTATCAACTTCGATAACTTTTATTAATCATAGTTATAACTTCCATTAATCCCTTTGATAAACTTAACTACTCTAATACAGATTCAAATTAATTCACCGCTAATCAATGTAAATAATTACAGAAGAAAAAAGAAATGAAGTGGATTGTTTGAAACAAAAAATTCTTTGATAATGATACTCTCTCCATATTTAAAGAATATTCCAAAATAAGTTTTATGTCGTTCATCTTCTTCGAGGGATTATGCATGGCATAGTCTACCTTATATATATACACTCTTTTTTATGCAGTAGATTGTTTTTTAGAAAGCGGAGTTTTTTTTGGGTAAAATCCTAAAGGTTCGTACTCAACTCAATTTAATCATGTTTGTTTTGTACAAAACCTGCGTCTATAAGGATTTACGTCTTTGCCTTCATATCTTTTCTTTATCTGGGATTTCTGAATAAAAGTGCAAGGGTCAACTATTGCTTAAACATTTTTTAACATTTAACATTAATTTTGAATGTGAAACTGTAAATATTAAATAACTAGCGAAATTTCTTATAAAGCCTGGGGTAAAAGAGAAATTAAGAATTTCGTTTAAATTTCAAAAATTTTGATTTTAAGCCATTGATTGAAATTCTTAAAATCTACGGTAGATTTGAAAGCACAAAAAAGGCAGACCACATTTTGGAAATGCCAGGACTATTTCTTTCAGAATCCTATTTGTAAAAATATGTTGACGAATGAATTCCGCAATTTCTTTCAAAGAGGAAAGACGATTTTAAAGCCATCTCTCAACTACTACTATACACTAAATTAATAGTTTGAAGTGCAGATAAATCGGTACACTGTATGCAAACACACAAATGTATTGATTTATAGCTTTTTTATCTTGCACAAGGATTAAACAATATTTTATTATTTTTTACTAACTTTTTCCAACTGCAGTATTTCACCTGCAAGTAAATATAAAAATTTTATATTATATACTCGGCTTACAGGGCACTTCGCATCCCCTTTTCTAGAAAAACTTTGAGCTTATAGATGTTGTTTTGCACATTGAAAAATTAAAATTTCGGAAATTTTTTAATAAAGGAGTTGAGTTCTTGCCACAAACTCCAATTTTCTAATCCCGATATCTCTGCAACCCGATGGTGTAGACCTTTGATATTTCAATCTATACATTCTGATAGATCAAATAGTTTAGCTTGAAATATTAAAGGTTTACAATATTAGGTTGTAAAGATATAGGGATTAGAAAATTAAGGTTTGAGGCAAATACTCTATTCCTCTCCTAAATTGTTGATCCATGTTTTTCTTGAACCCTGACCGGAAATAACCTTTACCGGGGTCATGTGAGTTGCCACAAAAGATTTGGACCTGATTGGTTTAACCATTTTGACGTTTTTGAAACACAAACAAACACCCAAACAAATAGACAAACAAGCAAAATATAGATATCAATAAACCAAAAATATATTATCAGAATTCTAACAAAAAGACTTTCCCAAAAATTAGATTAATAATTAGCACTGTATTTCGCCACCCAAAACTGAACTGCCTCAAGAGTATGTCTGATTTATGGTCACAAGGTAAAATACTTGAACTATTCTTACATTACATGAACTTTAAGCAGCGATTTTTCTTCTTCATACATACACACTGAACTTTATTATAGAGAGATCAAATATCCAACAAGCTTAAATGCATTTTTTGATCAGAAAACTTCTGGAGAAGTTCAGTTTAATTATCTCAATTATGGTGGATTTTCGCAGACCCATGAACAGACGTAGAAGTTCAGATTTATGCGATATTACTGGTACGATTATGTGATTTTGTAGCTACTCTAGTTTTGATTTTATTCACTAGTAGGAGAAAAGTAATTTAAAACACTATTCCTTTTAGCTCATCAATTAGAGAAGTTAGGATTGTAAAAGTTTGAGGTTAAAGTTTAAACAAATAAATATCTTAATCTTCATATAATAAATCTTGATCGATAATTTGTTTTAACAAGAATAATTAATCTTTTTATCAGTATACAGGTCGTCTGCATAATTTTCTTTATTCATTTTCTTGTAGATCTACTGACAACTACTGTGGTTCATCTGATTTTCTAGAAGCCAGGGAGACATATCTCTAAATAAAATATTATTTTGTTAAAATTTATAAATTAAAATTAAATGTTTAACACTGGAAAAAACTCTGAATGTAGAGGAAAATGTAACATATTTCAATTTGATATTTAAACACTATGAAATCGTTCGATCAAATAGTCTAAGTTTAAAGTTTAAACAATCAGGTTTAAAAGATAGGGATTAGAAAATTTGAGTTTGTGGCAAGTGATCTGAGCTGGGAACTTTTGATTTCTGGATATCGGGATTAATGCTTGATCCACTCTTTTTCTTTATCTCGAGATTAAATAATGCTTGTTTTCCTCTTGGTATTAATCTCCAGATTAATTAATTGATCGGGATTAAGGATATCCCATTAAAAAGTTTTCCGCTCAGAAGTCAGAACTTTTGTATTATTAATCTCTGGATTAAGCAATGATCTCCATCTTATGCAGATCTAAGGATTAATTTAATTCTTCTTCTATATCCCGTAATGTTCATATCCTACAGGGATAATCTAAATTGATTGATCAAGCACTGATCATCAAATTTAAAAGTTCCAACATTAGATATCGAGATCAAGTGTTCAAGATTAACAATATCTACTGAAATAAAAACGTTAAACCTGATTAAAGCTCTAAATATAGCGATATCCATCAAAGTAACTGCTACTGTTTCTCCACAATCAGATATCCAAGTTCTATATATCCAGAGTTATAGGCGATTTTTAAAAACATTTATAATACTCATATTTTAAGGATTATGAAAACAATCTTACCGCCTGAAATTAGAATGGTTTAAATCTATCTTGAAGCAGAAACAAACTATTTTTGTTTATTTTCAGAATTATACTTTATTTTTTTTAAAATTGTTTTTTTTTTATAAATTGGATACAAAGGAATTGAATTTTTGCCACAAACTCTGATTTTCTAATCCCTAGATCTTTGCAACCCAAAGTCTCATAACTTAGATATTTCAAACTTTGAATTAATTCTGTTAGTTCAAATAATTAAAGTTACAAATGTTATATGTTAACATTATCAGGTTGCAAAGATATAACAAATATAGAAAATATGGGTTTGGGGCAAAGACTAAATTCCTTTTCGTATTTACGGAGAATATCCAAATACATTTTATATTTGTAAAATAGGCTTTGTCGTGTTCCTGAACTTAAAACTTAGGTTATTATATGTTTCTTCAAATACAGTTTTACCCAGGACATCGGATACACAAATAGAATTTATAAAATGTCGTCTTCTAAACCAACTACTATTGGAATACTGCAGATATTTAGTTTTTTAATTGAATACTTATTTAGAGCTCTTTAAAACTGTTCCCGCATATATCAAGGCTTTTTTTTACAAATACTGAGATTTAGGTATTAAAGTATAAAACCCATTGAAATATTGTCAAGACGACATTTTTTTAAATTCTTTTGATTACTCCGAGGTTCTCGGTTAAGCTGTATTTGAATAAACATTTAGTTAATAACCTAATTAATTCCTTTCATCTAGATAAAGCAAGGCATCTTTATATTAATATTAATATAATATTAAATATTTTAAAATATTTTCTATTTTTTAACCTGATCATTTTATCAGATAATCCGACAGTACAGGAACCGTTGATCTAGAGGAAAAATTAAAAAATTACTAATTATTTTTACTTCCTTTTTTTTGTAATTTTCATTTTCCTTAACTTAAACTTAACTTAACTTAACTTAAACTTAACTTAAACTTAACTTAAACTTGAAATATTTCATTTGGGTTTTAAATAAAAATAGGGAAACCATGGATGTCAAATGAGGATTTTAAGTTTTTTTTGATTAATTTTACAATAAAGATATATTTCTTTTATTTATTTTCAAAGAAAAGAATTTTTGCTATTAAATAAGAATATAATCAGCGTTTTTAATCCCCAAAAGTGTCTTACTGTTAGAGTTTCGATAGCATCGCGCTATTATCTCATGTTTGATTTGACATTTGTACTCTACTGTACAAGTCTGCCAAGAAATGGAAAATAGGAAGACGCATTGAGACTATAAACAAAGTGCGTACACATGTACTGAAACTGGTAGTAACCTCGACGCAAGAAAGAATTTCTTTTCGAAACAAAACGAACATGTAAAATTGATGAAATATCTTTTGAAAAATGTTCTTAACTTACTCTTTATTTGAATATAAAACCACTGTACAAGGAATACAAGTGTGTTAATTTAAGAAATGTTAAGTTTCATTGCCTCTTAAAAATATTTCTGCACTAAATCTGCAGATTCAGTACAAAGTAATTAGTCGAACAAAATACCCAGGACCAGAGAAGTACTTCACCTCTTTTATCAATTTTACTTTTGAAAAAATTTCTGGAAGAGTTGCCACCAAACATTTTTGTTTTGATACTACCTCGATAAGCTGTTGGTTAATCAATACTCCGTTCTTAGCAGCAGAGGTGTTTATTCCTATTCCAGTGATTATACCGTTTTCTATCTAAATAATAATTGACTACTACTATTCCTATTCCAGTGATTATTCCGTTTTCTATCTAAATATTAATTGATTACTACTATTCCTATTCCAGTGATTATTCCGTTTTCTATCTAAATATTAATTGATTACTACTATTACTATTCCAGTGATTATTCCGTTTTCTATCTAAATATTAATTGACTACTACTATTCCTATTCCAGTGATTATGCCGTTTTCTAAATAAATATTAATTAACTAATTAACTATCAAACTTGAATTCTGTATAAACAAAGAGAATATAATATATATTAGAGGGGAATTTACTAGAAATATGTGTAAAACGGCCATTTTGTTGTACTGTTTCCATACTGCAAGTATACTTTACATATTTAGGCTATATAACCTTTTGGGCTCTGGGACATCATTTTATAGAAAATCTAAAATTAATATTAAAAGAAAACCAAATTATGAAATAGGCTGGTTTATAATTGACCAATGATCATTTCACAGACTCTATGCATTTCAATTTAGAAACGATGATTTTTCGTTATAGCTATAAATCAAATGATGTTATTTATTCACCTAATTCATTATATAAAGTTTATTTAACAGCTTTAAAAAATTCGAAATTGAAATGGATAGTCTAGGGAACATACTGTATTAATGTACTCTACTGCATATAATTTGTGTACATTTACATGATTTGTACACTTTGAACTCCCTTTCAGACTAAAAGGGACTGAATAAATTAATACCGCGAGATTCCCTAAATTCCCCTCTAATATATATTCTGTTCTCTTTGTGTATAAATCTCCTTTTAGCTAAAAGTAAACAGAAATCGGAACTTTTGTGTTGTTAATATCGGGAATCATCTTTTGCAGACCTACTGATTAACTTAATTCCTTCTCAATTTCCCGTTGTAATTATGCCCTGCAGGAATAACTGAAATGAAAGGAATAAGAAAATTTAGCATTGATCTTTAAATTAAAAAGCCCAAATTGGATATCGAAATCAAGCGTTCAAGATTAACGATATTAATCAACTCAAAAGTTCTCACTTCTGTTTCTAAAAAAGTTAAAATATTTTGTTCAGATTGAAAACCATGATTTTTTATTTTTTTTTCTGGCTGCATATTGGCAGAAATTAAAAAGATGTCCTCCTCATACGATATAAAGCTTAATAGTACCTTCATTCCCAATGTTCCTGCTCCATCTTTTTGTAAAACAAGGCCTCTAGACAGCGGCCTATCTCTAGAATTATTATCATTCTTAGAGTGTTTCTCTTAAATATTTTATTGTAATCATATATGTTTCGTGAATATTAGATAAACCTGATAGCCATGATTATATAATTAACAGGTTCACTTTTTAGTGCGGAGTGTACCTGTAAACAAGAAGTTTAAATCAGTTTAATCTTGAGTTTCATCCAATATAAAAATCTCGAGTTTTAACAAAGGAATTGAGTTTTTGCAACAAATTACATTTTCTAACCCCTATATCTTTGCAACCTGATGGCGTAATCCTTTGATATTTCAAACTTAGACTATTTGATCTACCAGAATTAACAGTTTGAAATATCAAAAGTCTATGGAAACGGGTTGCTAAGTTATAAGAATTAGAAAATCTGAGTTTGCGCCAAAAACTCAATTCCTTAATCTCGTTTTTTAAACTCAATTTAATAATCTCATTTTTTATTAATATCGTATTTTAACTCCAGTTATAATCTCATGTTTTAATATTCTAATATTCATCTAGGGTTTTAAAATAATCACATCTTTTAAACCAGTTTCATTATCTCGTGTTTTTCACCAATTAATTAATCTCATGTTTAAACCCTTAAACTTTAAAATATATTTCACCTTTTCTCGATCCCACCCTGCAACACTTTTCCTACCTAGAGCAAGAATCTGATCACCGAACCTAAAATGCGAGAAATAAATAAAAAATTGTCTAAGTCTGACTTCACTTGATGCATACCTGAGACCTGCCATAGCTGAAGGACTACCTGGAGTAACGAGTGAGACGAAAACTCCTTTTCTCAAGGTCTGAACTCTCAATCCAACCTTTCCGGATTCATCCTTGCATAAGATAACAATCCTACAAAGGATCTGTTTGTTGCCATCAAACTATGATTTTTCAGTCCCTATATTTTTGCAACCTTATATTCGGTGGATATTTTATAGATTTAAGAAAGTAAAATTTGTGATTGTTTTTATTTTTGTCAAAGGATTTAAGTCTTTGTCACAAACTAAAATGTTCTAATTTTTATATCTTTGAAAATTGATGATCCAAACCTTTGATTTTTCAGAATTAGATTATTTTACTTAACTGAATTAATAGTTCGAAATATCTCATTTGCAAAGATTATAGGGATTAGAAAATTCGAGTTTTTGACAAAGACTTTCCTTTATTTTTTGAATTTTAAAGGTCTTTAATTTAGCTAGCTGTCCGGGTCCCGTTTGATCATATGTTTTATACCTTTTTGTTGGGTCACACGTTTAAAAATCGAAATGGTTTATACTGCATATAATACAAGTTCAAAAAAAAGGTTTATTATCTACTATTAGTCTCTACTGTGACCTGTTAAGCCATGGATTTGGTAGGTTCTGACAACCCGAAGAGGAGACAAGATCTTCAAATGACAGAAAACTGCAAACCTCTCTCGGATTCATTTTTTCACCTTTTTTTTTTAGAATAAATAACCTTTAAAATATTCGCATCAAAATTAAATTCTTTAAGCTTTACTTTTCATCCTAAAAAATTAATAACTCACCATTATATTTGGATAATGCCATGTTCTCCATATGCAATAATCTATAGTCTATCTAGACTGCAGTGCATACACTACGTAAATATGGACTTTTGATATTAGAGACAAATCAATACAAAACACTTGTTCTTTATCAGATATGCGTTATGCATGGCAGGGTATTAAATTACAACTTAGAATTTAATGCCAAAATATAATGTATAAGAATAAGCCATCTCTTAAGATAATTTTGAGTTGACAAAATGTTGACAATGTTAAACTTCGTCAGTTGTCTCTAACATTTCTAGTTGAATGATAATGATATTTAAAAATTATCTCAACAAAAAAAATCACTAGGCTTAATTAACATCAACATAAATCTGAATATTTTTACGATTAATATTGTAAATGCGGGAAATCTAAAAGAAGAAATACGCAATATTAGTTTACTTTCGACAACTTTAGAATGGAAGTTCAAAATTTTATCAGAAGATTTCACTCCGACCTATTTTATCTTGGAAGAAAACACCAAAATGTTCTTACTCTTGCAATCAAAATTACTTTGGCCATCACAGGAGTTCTCTGTTTTGTTTGCTTACGAAGCTGTATGGGTCCAGATATAGTTGTAATTCCAACTATAAACTTAGAACAAGAAGTTTGGGACCATACGGATGAGGTGAATGGAATTGTATCTGTTAAGTTAATGTACGCAGAAGAAGACATTTCTCAGGAGCATATCCAATCGCCTTTTTTGGGAAAATTACTTTATGCTTCAACCATCATTGGAAACTGGATAGCGGGGTTGCTTAACATTCTCGGCAAAGTATTCTCATGGAAATGTGAAAGCTTTCATGCCATTTTTAGAGGCCTAGAATGGTTTTTTGCCTGCATGGAAAAGGTATTTCTTATATTCTACAACAAAGATATTGAGTTTTTGTCACAATTTTAAATTTTCTATTCCTATATCTATGCAGCTTAAAGGTGTAAACCTATGCTTTTTCAAACTTAGATTATTTAATCTGACAGAAATTATAGTTTGAAATATTAAAGGTCTACAACATCAACTTGCAAAGATAAAGGGATAAGAAAATATGAGTTTGTGACAAAGACTCAATTCCTTTGTATAGGCATGGTTTTGATATAGTTTTTTAATAATATAATAAAAATAATAATACAACTACAATGCATGTTTCATACTTAAGATTATATAAGTGGTAATGAGTTTGTCATCTACGATTTATATTTCAACGTTAAAAAGATGACTTATTCATGTTTGCTTTTAATCACATGTATTCTTGTAGCGCGACTGTACTTGATAATTATTAAGTTGCCGACTACTTTTCTTTACTGTGGCATTGGTTGTTTTTAATTAACTGAACTTGTGTCTTACTATTTTTAAAGTCTTTATTGAATTCTTATTTTAGGCAATTGTACCTTTACCTAAGGTAACTCTTTCCAAAATTTCGGCTGAAGATGGAAGTTTAGTACGCAACTTGCTGGAGTTTTTGTTGGGTTTTCTTGTGGTCTGCCTGCTGACAGCTATTTGTGTGATTGCTACGAGGAAACATGGAAACACTGTTCTCAGAATCAATTCTTTTGGGAACTGGGAATACGCTCCAAGTCTACAGAGAGAGATGTTCGAGAAAAAAACTAATCGGTTTAGAAAACCAATATGTGAGTAGAGATGATCAACTTAGCATAAACATTAGCCTTACATATAATAAATTCAATTGCACTTTACTTTACTTTATTGTATGTTTTGTTTAGGTTAAAATATTTATAAGATTTTTATGTTTTACAGTTACAGTTAACGAATATTATTGTGATGTAGAATATGTCATCAAATAATCAACCTTCAAACAGACATAGGTTACAATTGGACAAACAAATCTAATACAATGCAGGCAATAACCAGAAGTGAAATATTTCCTGCACTGTATCGTAATGAAACCCAGTATCGGAGTCAGCCAGTTCTGTAGATATTAATATTTTTATTAAGAAATATTTTTTCATGTGGGTTCAACTATACTCTCTTAAAGGAATTGAGTCTTGGCCACAAACTCGATATTTTCTTATTACTTTATCTTTGGAACCAAATGTTGCATACCTTAGATATTTCAAACTATGAATTCTGTTAGATCAAGTAATCTGAGTTTGAAATATCAAAGGTTTACAACATCGAGTTCTAAAGATATTGTGGTTTAAATATTTGATTTTGTTCCAAAGACTCAATTCCTTTCCGGCTCAGGGTTTCTTTTCAATCAGAGACCATGTAAAATGAATAATGAGGAGTAGTTGGACTAGGTATTAAGGTGATTAGGTTGAACCAATTCTCCTATACTTGAGCCGGCGTTCAAAATAGAAAGTTCAACTAATCTACGGATTTGACTATTTCTCGATATTCATTAATTTTGGCCTCATGCTACTCTGCCAGGTTTTCTATTCTGCTATATTTTCTATTATTCCAAGTTTTCTATTCTACCAGGTTTTCTATTCTACCAGGTTTTCAATTCTACCAGGTTTTCTATTCTACCAGGTTTTCAATTCTACCAGATTTTCTATTCTTCCAGGTTTTCTATTCTATCCGATTTTCTGTTATTCCAGATTTTTCTATTCTACCCTGTTTTTTATTCTACCAATTTTTTCTATTCTACCAGATTTTCTATCCTACCAGGTTTGCTATTCTACCAGATTTTCTATTCTTCCAGATTTTCTATTCTTCCAGATTTTCTATTCTACCAGATTTTCTATTCTACCAGATTTTCTATTCTACCAGATTTTCTATTCTACCAGATTTTCTATTCTACTAGATTTTCTATTCTACCAGATTTTCTTTTCTACCAGATTTTCTATTCTATCAGATTTTCTATTCTACTAGATTTTCTATCATAAAAGGTTTTTTATTCTGTTAGGTTTCTGTTCAAACCTCTGAAGAAATATAATGGAACACTTGATTGGGTTAATATTAATTAATTATAATTAATTTATTGCAAGTTTGTTAAAAAAGTTGTTATCTTGTAAGTCGCAAATTTAGAAATTACGCAGTTGATTTACTACAAATATATGATTTATATACATATAGGGTCAACGAAGAGCTTTGATACTTTTCCCACGACAAATGACAAATGTCATTTGCACAAACATTTAAAGATATTCTTCAATCTTTGAAAAAGCTTTCAGTATTTATTTGTCAACCTAATTTTTCATACTTGTAAAATTACTTGAGACATGATTAGTTTTGTTCACATTTAGACAGATTTTTGCAATAAATTGAAAAGTACTAAAGAAGTCAGATAACATTTTGAAAACACCCGAGCTCGGGAAATTTTGTTAGCTTGTAAAAGTAGGTTGTGACGAAAATCTGCAAATTATTCCAAAGATCAAGACAACGATCGTTATGCCGTTTCTTAACTGTTATGTTTCATAAGAAACCCTGCAACCTGCATCATTCTTTTTTACTGGTAACCACTGATCTATACAGCAACCTGCACCATTCTTTTTAACTGGTAACCATTGATCTATACAGCAACTTGCACCATTCTTTCTTACTGGTAACCTCTTATCTATACGGCAACCTGCACCATTCTTTTAAAACTGGTAATCACTGTTCTATACAGCAACCTGCACCATTCTTTTTTACTGGTAACCACTGATCTATACAGCAACCTGCATCATTCTTTTTAACTGGTAACCGCTGATCTATACAGCAACCTGCACCATTCTTTTTATTTAGTAACAACTGATCTATACAGCAACTTGCACCATTCTTTTTTACTGGTAACAACTGATCTATACAGCAACTTGCACCATTCTTTTTTACTGGTAAAAACTGATCTTTACAGCAACCTTCACCATTCTTTTTAACTGGTAACCGCTGATCTATACAGCAACCTGCACCATTCTTTTTTACTGGTAACCCCTGATATATACAGCAACCTGCACCATTCTTTTTTAACCGGTGACCACTGATCTATACAGAAACCTGCACCATTATTTTTTTACAGGTAACCACTGATCTATACAGCAACCTGACCATCCTTTTTTAACTGGTAACCACTGATCTATACAGAAACCTGCACCATTCTTTTTTTACAGGTAACCACTGATCTATACAGCAACCTGCACCATTCTTTTTTACTGGTAATCACTGATCTATACAGCAACCTGCACCATTCTTTTTTTACTGGTAACCACTGATCTATACAGCAATCTGCACCATTCTTTTTTACTGGTAACCACTGATCTATACAGCAACCTGCATCATTCTTTTTTACTGGTAACCACTGATCTATACAGCAACCATTCTTTTTTTTACTGGTAACCACTGAGATATACAGCAACCATTCTTTTTTTACCGGTAACCACTGATCTATACAGCAACCTACACCATTCTTTTTTACTGGTAACCACTGGTTTATACAGCAACCTGCATCATTCTTTTTTTACTGGTAACCACTGATCTATACAGCAACCTGCATCATTCTTTTTTTACTGGTAACCTCTGATCTATACAGCAACCTGCATCATTCTTTTTTACTGGTAACAACTGATCTATACAGCAACCATTCTTGTTTTACTGGTAACCACTGGTCTATACAGCAACCTGCATCATTCTTTTTTACTGGTAACCACTAATCTATACAGCAACCTGCACCATTTTTTTTCTTTCTGGTAACCACTGATCTATACAGCAACCTGCATCATTCTTTTTTTACTGGTAACCACTGATCTATACAGCAACATGCACCATTCTTTTTTACTGGTAACCTCTGATCTATACAGAAACCATTCTTTTTATACTGGTAACCCCTGATCTATTCAGCAACCTGCACCATCTTTTTTACTGGTAACCACTGATATATACAGCAACCTTGCCACAAACTTAAAACTTCCCATCTCTATATCTTTGCAACCTGTTGGTGTAAACCTTTAATATTTCAAACTTATACTTTTTGATAAAAAAAATTTCATACTTTGGAATGTCTACGAAATCAGGTTGCAAAACTATAGGGATTAGAAAAAAAATGAAATTGATCATGACTGATTTTGAATATTACTGCGGACACAGCTTTTACGTCAATCTAAAATAAATTAAAAGAACGATTGAAATTTTCAATGATAAATCCTTTTATTAAAGAAAAAGTAGTTTTTAATATGTTACCGTAAAAATTTTATTTTCTCATGCATAAATGTGAGTAAACTAGGGGAGCTACAAGATCCCAAAGTCGTACCTTATCCTTCTGTTCAGTGAGTTATTCTTACCCGCTATATATTTTGTTAACCCTATCCCTGCTGGGGTATCAGAAAATTTCAACAGCCTCAGACCAATACTTTTTGAGTTATGTAAAAAAAACTACAGGGGGGGGGTCAAATTGACCCCCCCCCAGCAGGAATAGGGTTAAACAAAATAACAATATCAATACAAGATTGATTCGAACCAGAAAAGTACATTAGTTTAAATTTGTTTATTAGAAGATGATATTGATGCATATGTCGGGTACGTCTGTTCTTTTTCAATTTCTGATTCAATGTCTTGGCTGTTCCAGTCTACTGGTCTAAATATAAAAGTTCAGGGTGAACATCAAATAATTTGTTTGTATTAATCAAAATGTGATAATAAGGAAAAATCTTGTTTGTAAAACACCTCTTGTCTTTATAGAATACCTTCTTGTATGTAAAGGAATTTTCTTTGAGATTTCAAAAATTTTGCATATTACTTGGGTTTTATGAAGTTAACCTGAAATGGACAAAAAGATTATCATAGGATTCTCCATCTAGAGGATCCTGTCTTCCATGTGGTAATCTTGCAGATTCAAATAAGATCATTTCTCCGGGATGTAGCAGTATCCTAGTATACATGGAGATATTAGTCTACAGTTCTATATATAGCAGTATCCTAGTATACATGGAGATATTAGTCTACAGTTCTATAAATAGCTGTATCCTAGTATACAAGGAGATATTAGTCTGCAGTTCTATATATAGCTGTATCCTAGTATACAAGGAGATATCAGTCTACAGTTCTATATATAGCTGTATCCTAGTATACAAGGAGATTTTAGTCTACAGTTCTACATATAGCAGTATCCTAGTATACAAGGAGATATCAGTCTTCAGTTCTATATATAACAGTATCCTAGTATACAAGGAGATATTAGTCTACAGTTCTATATATAGCTGTATCCTAGTATACAAGGAGATATTAGTCTACAGTTATATATATAGCAGTATCCTAGTATACAAGGAGATATCAGTCTACAGTTCTATATATTGCAGTATCCTAGTATACAAGGAGATATTAGTCTATAGTTCTATATATAGCAATATCCTAGTATACAAGGAGATATTAGTCTACAGTTCTATATATAGCTGTATCCTAGTATACAAGGAGATATTAGTCTAAAGCTCTATATATAGCTGTATCCTAGTATACAAGGAAATATTAGTCTACAGTTCTATATATAGCAGTATCCTAGTATACAAGGAGATATTAGTCTACAGTTCTATATCTAGCCGTATCCTAGTATACAAGGATATATTAGTCTACAGTTCTATATATAGCAGTATCCTAGTATACATGGAGATATTAGTCTATAGTTCTATATATAGCTGTATCCTAGTATACATGGAGAAAGTCTAAAGTGCTTCCAAATTAATGTTATGCTATGATGTCATGGATATTAGGATGAGGAGAATGGTTAAAATCAGAAACTATGGGGAATCGTCCTGGTTTTGTTTGATGTTTGGAAAATGACTAATATCTGAACGTTTCCTTCCTTATATCATTATTATTATAAAAATCTATTTAATTTCAAACAAATCATTCAGATATTACACCCTATGGTCATCGATTATCTTTCGCCACATTTGTATATAGTTGATTTTTCATACTATGTTTTAATTGTTATGATCTGAGAGTTACTTATAAAAACATTTATTCCTGTTTCGAGGATTTTTGGTAATGAATTTTCATATTTTCCAGGAACGTTCGAATACAAGTTGGAAGTTAAATTTATTTTTCAAAAAATAAAATCAAATATATACAAATATGGCTTAAGATAATCGATGACCATAGGGTGTAATATCTGAGTGATTTGTTTGAAATTAAATAGATTTTTTTACGGTCTAAGTCGTATTGTAACAGTGGGCGAGTTTTGTTGATCTTTTACGATCAGCAATTCAAGGATGTTTTGGATCGCTGAGATCATAGCTACCAAGGGGAATCATGCCCCCTTTCCCCCCCCCCCCATCTTTAACCCTACGGTTGGACTTTAGAATCCTATTTTGAATACTAACGAGAATATTTGAGAAACTCAGTGCATTGCTTTATTGATTTTTATTCATATACTATAGTATGTTGCATCTTTCTGAATTTGTATAGATACTACGATCTTCGGTATTAGTCGTTTTTAACAATTTTCTCCTTATAGACGCAACAGATAGAAGTAAGATTAGAAGCGATCAAAAGCGCTTTTTTATCGCATGAAGCCTATATCCCCTTACATTTTTCGCAAACACTCCCTGTAAGGTTTGTATTTCATCAGTTTATGTGAACAGGAAACAAATATACACTTAACTTTCTCTGAAGAACCACAAGCAGGCTAAACTGCCTTTTAAATCAGAAATACTTCTAATATACCTGGAGATATTAAACTGTATCCTATTTAACTAATAATAACCTGGTCACTTCTCTATCTGAATTAAGAACAAGAAAATCCCAAGGAGTTGATATATTCTGTGAAAGATTCAGAATAACTCCGATTACATTTACGTCAGCTTTGTCAACATGGAGCGCCTAGACAATCATAAGTGTATTTATTTTATCTATATATACCCGAGCGGTTCAGTCAAAACGGCTGAATCGCTCGGGTACAAATCTTTTGTGGGACCTCACATGATCCCAGGAAAGGTGTATGTATTATCATAACTGAAAAAAATTGCCTTGGAAAAATTTCGATTTTCAAAATCCACGAAAAAACAATTAAAAGTTAAAGCTGGGTTCGAAGTGTCCTGGATAAAATAAACCTACCAGCCTGGAACCCTTGTTGTATCTTCGAACAAAATAAAGTTGTGAATTTCCTAATTTTATTCCACTCCATTCTTCAACTATTGGTCGCAGAACCTCATCTTAAGATTAAAAATGGGGAAAATTTAATTTTGTGAAGAATATTTGGTCGATAGTTCTAGTATGGTTCTAGTTGTATAAATCTTTCATAGTTTAAAAAACAAATGAATTTTCAAAGAAAAAATATTGAAATATCTGTCAAACCTACTGTTGATCGCACCAACTGTATATCCTTCAGTGGTATGAAGGTAGCAACAGTCTTCCTAATAACAAAGTTTAACTAATATAATATTAATAATCTAATTTTATATTTAAAAATGAACCCCACAAAGGTGATTACTATGCATAATTTAGTCAGTATTTTTATTTAAATTCATGGTTCCATAAAGTTTAAAACTAGTTCCTTTCGGTAATTTCCTAAAGAACGAATTTTGAACCCCCCTCCCCCCAGGTTATCAATGCTCATGTGGCCGCAGCGTCCGGCACCCTAGCGTGTCCTAGCCGCGGCGCTCGGCCCCTAGCCTATAATAGCCGCAGCGCTCGGCAATCTTGCCTGTCCTAGCCGCAGCGCTCGGCATCCTTGCCTGTCCTAGCCGCAGCGCTCGGCTCAGAAATTGTCTTAACCTAACCTACCCTAAAATAATAAAAAATAAATAATAATAATTTTGCTAAAATCATAAGCAAAATTNCGTTTAGTATATAACTAAGACTTTATGCCAGACATACACCCCAGTTTAATCCTCAACTTGTTATAATTAAAAAGCTTTAGGTCGTCATTAAAGTTTCATCCTTTCTGTGTAACCCTGAATTCCTGTTCACGTACTTGGAAATGATGGACACCGGAAACTTTCCAGTTGATGATGCAGTGGCCGGCGTTTATATCAATATAATGAAGCCGCCTTTCCTATTTAAGTTTTGATTTCTAACTTGTGAATACATGCTGTTTAAAAGCTAGAAGTAAAAATTTATTTCGAAAGTCGTCTTCATTGTATTGATATAAATGACGACGACTGTAAAGTTTTCAGGATAAATCCGATTCCAAATTTTCCCAAAACAATGTTAATCCTACCTTGGGGTACAGTTGAGGTGACCTGTCCCAGAACAGACCTCAGGAATTGAACTAAAGTGGAAGTTAAAGAAGCTAGACAGTGTTTACAGATTACAGTGTACTAAAGTGTGTACAGATTACAGTGTACTGCAATGTATTTACAAATTACAGTTTACTGCGGTGTTTACAGATTACAGTGTACTGCAGTGTTTACAGATTAAAGTTTACTGAAGTGTTTACAGATTACAGTGTACTGCAGTGCTTAAAGATTACAGTGTACTGCAGTGTTAACAGATTACATACAGTGAAACCCTTAATAATAAATATATCGGAAGAATTTATCTAATGTCGTCTTGACAATGTTTCAATGAGTTTTATACTATATTACGTAAATTTCAGTATTTGCGAAAATAACTAAATAGCCATGAATATGCGGGAACAGTTTTATAGAGTTCCATATACTCATTTAATTAAAAACTAAATATCTGCAACATTCCATTATCAGAAAGTGAAGAATACGACATTTAATGAATTCTTTCGATGTATTCTTTATTAAGGGTTTCACTGTAGTACTGCAATGTATTTACAAATTACAGTATACTGCAGTGCTCACAGATTACAGTGTACTGCAGTGCTTGAAGATTACAGTGTACTGCAGTGTTTACAGATACAGTTTACTGGGACCGACTTTAATGAATTTTAATACGTAGCTGAAGTACAAACTTTTTAACCACCTATTCAAATTTAAAGATTAACGAAGGATTTGAATCGGTGATTCAAATTTGAACCCACAGTAGGCAGTTCAAATTCATGAAATCTGGTCCCTGAACATGTTTAAAGATATGTTAGCTGCAGATTAGAATTTCATACCAACTTTTCTAGAGATAAAGGAGAACAAAGACGACATTCATTTTACAGTATTCTGGTTCTCAGGTTCGAATTAAAAGTTGTTAAACCTGGAGATGTCAATTTGCCCGAGAACAAATTCGAATAGATTCTCGGGGATTTTCATCTTTTCAAATTCAGCCGAAGTGATCCGAGGAATTTTCTGAAAAGCATCTTTATTAATTGAACGAACTAAAAATTGACATTTGAAATTTTGTTACAGTAAAGCCCATTAAAGACGTCAACGGATGAATTTGTAGAATATCTTTTTCCAAATGCGCAATTCCTGCAAAACTAGAATTGCAGCTGCAACAAATTTTCGCAAAAAAACTTTTTTCTTTGTGGAAATCTCAGGTTTGTTAAACTTATATTACATATTGACAATTTCTTGTTGACCCTGACCTAAGGCTAACTTTTTCCGGAGTGCAAATTTGGCTCGGAATTTAAGTGATTTTTTCCCTAGCAATTTGAGCATTTTTAAATATATTTTTTGTGCAATATTAGTTCATTATTTTTCTAAAAATTTGAGAACTTTTTTTCGCGGAGTTTGCGCATTTTATGCGCATATTGAATTGCATAAAATTGTCATTTTCAGTGATAAAAACAAAATATTGGACTCATTGAAACGAAAATTCACGTGAATTCAGGAATTGTATTAGTAATAAAATCCTGATTTAAAACGAGTTGTTGTTGGGTCCATTTCCCCCTGAATTTAAGATACCTTTATTAACACGCTGCAAATTGAAATCAATTTAAAGATTGAGAAAATACACTTTTTAATTCACCTGCAGATGTTGAATATTTTTAAGCTGCATTCTTACAACAGAATGTAGCGTTTCATAATCCCAGTCCTTTAAATAATATATTTTCTTTTTAAACTGACTTGAACTCTAATTATTCATTGATATACNGGAGAGTTCATTTAGCATTCTGTCCAGTTTTGCCCTATATTGTCTTAATGTGTACTGTTGTTGTAATGTTGCTATGAAAGGAACATAAAATCATTGTAACGATTAAAAAAAACTGTTCAATAATTAAAAACTCCAAAGTTAAAGTGTAGGAATATTAATAAATATTACTTTCATGTTTATTTCAATTTTTTGTTTTTAAAAAATATAATTTATTCCTCGTGCAAAAATGTTTTGTGTCCACTCATGTCCTGAACATCAGTAACCCAGAATATTCCAGAGTAAATACTTAGTTTTTAAATTGTTCACTGTTAATTAGGGTTTCCAACGAAATTTTTATCTGCGCGCAATTGGGGGCACTGTACTTTCTTCCCAATTCCACGGAATACGAGAACACCTGCACGCAATTCCGCGCAACGGAATACAGATTGGAAACCCTACAGTTAATATTTTATTTATTTTTAAAGGGAATATTTGGGAAAACCCGCAAGTACAGAAATTATAAAACCCAGAGAATCAAACTTCTTTTATGCGTCCTTCAGCTTCTTATTTCAAATTCTAAGTTTCCCTTGTAGTTTAAGATTTTATGACAGTTATAGAGAAGGTTTGGTTCAGGACACTGCCAGTATTCTACCTAGAGAAGGTTTATTTCAGGAAAGTATTCTACCTAGAGAAGGTTCAGTTCGGAACAGTATTCTACCTTGATAATGTTTAGTTCAGAACAGTATTCTACCTAGAGAAAGTTTAGTTCGGAACAGTATTCTACCTAAAGAATGTTTAGTTCAAACAGTATTCTACCTAGAGATGGTTTAGTTCGGAACAGTATTCTACCTAAAGAATGTTTAGTTCAGAACAGTATTCTACCTAGAGATGGTTTAGTTTCAGAACAATTTTCTTCCTAGAGAAGGGTTAGTTTAGAACAGTATTCTACCTAGAGATGGTTTAGTTCGGAACAGTATTCTACCTAAAGAATGTTTAGTTCAGAACAGTATTCTACCTAGAGATGGTTTAGTTCGGAACAGTATTCTACCTAAAGAATGTTTAGTTCAGAACAGTATTCTACCTAGAGATGGTTTATTTCAGAACAATTTTCTTCCTAGAGAAGGGTTAGTTTAGAACAGTATTCTACCTAGAGATGGTTTAGTTCAGAACAGTATTTTACCTAGAGAAGGTTTAGTTTAGAACAGTAATCTACCTAGAGAAGGTATAGTTCAGAACAGAATTCTACCTAGAGAAGGTTTAGTTCAGAACAGTATTCTACCTAGAGAAGGTTTAGTTCAGGACAGTATTCTACCTAGAGAAGGTTTAGTTTTTAATAGTATTCTACCTAGAGAGGGTTTAGTTCAGAATAGTATTAAACCTAGAGAAGGTTTAGTTCGAACATTATTCTACCTAGAGATGGTTTAGTTCAGAACAATATTCTACCGAGAGAAGGTTTAGTTCGGAACAGTATTCTACCTAGAGAAGGTTTAGTTCGGAACAGTATTCTACCTAGAGATGGTTTAGTTCGGAATAGTATTCTACCTAGAGAAGGTTTAGTTTAGAACAGTAATCTACCTATAGAAGGTTTAGTTCAGAACAGAATTCTAACTAGAGATGGTTTAGTTTCGAACAGTATTCTACCTAGAGAAGGTTTAGTTCAGAACAGTATTCTACCTAGAGAAGGTTTAGTTTAGAACAGTAATCTACCTATAGAAGGTTTAGTTCAGAACAGAATTCTACCTAAAGATGGTTTAGTTTCGAACAGTATTCTACCTAGAGAAGGTTTAGTTCAGAAAAGTATTTTACCTAGAGATGGTTTAGTTTCGAACAGTATTCTACCTAGAGAAGGTTCAGTTTGGAACAATATTCTAACTATGGAGGGGTTAGTTAAGGGCACTGTCAGTATTCGACCAAGATAAAGAAGGTTTACTTTGAGAAACAACTAGTATTCTACCTTGCCTAGAGAATGTTTAAATTAATTCTATGTGTATGACAGAAAGAAATGGATTAGGTTTGAAAAAATGATAATAAAGATTAATACCTGTATAGTGCTAACTGGACACAAATCTTCCATCTTTAATTCACATTCAAATTCAGATTAACACTGAGTCGGCTTTTATTAGACGTTCACACACGGATAAAGCAAATATATTTTTCTATTAGAACAAACTTGGAAACACAGCTGTGAAAATGGATATATAATTAAAATAAAATCAAAATTTCCGCCATTTTGATTCAGCTGAATTTGATTGTTCCAGAAGATTGTGAAGATCCAAGATGGAGGAAATTCCAGATTATTAACATCAGCTTAAACATTCTTATATAATACTAAATTAAATCTCAAATTACATTCTAGAGAAAATTGTAACAGAAATATAATGGACGCCAAAATAAAATGAAAGTAATGTTTTTAAATTTTTTCATCTCAATCAAAAATTACATCTTTTTGTCTTTGGTAGAATTTTTTTTCAGAACAAAACGATTTGAAAAACAAACAAACAAAAAGCAACATTTGAAACCAGTGTTTCTGAAGTTGGCGGTAAGATTTTATTCGAAATGAAAAAAACAATCAAGTGAGTTTTGTTTTCAATACACACATTTCTCTTTTAAGTCATGTTTAGATTTCTACTTGCAACTGTAAACTTTAAAATTTGTGTTAAAACCTTTAACATTTTTGTTTTGTTTTGGTTATTTGCAGTTCACATTCTCCAGCTCTCTTTATAAAAAATATTTGTTTTTAAAGAACCTGTAAAATCTTTTTCTGGGAGATTTAGAAAGATGAAAATTTCCCTGTATGATAATTAGAGGACAGCAGTATGGTTTTGGTGAATTATGTTGACTGGGGGTGTCAGAAATATTTTTTTTTGCATTTTTTGAAAACGTCCCATAAACCTGAAAAAGTTTAATTTTGATAAAACTTTTTGTTCTGGGTGATTGCATATATTCATAGAAAACTTTCTTAAACCGACATGTTTTTCTAAATTCACTTTGTTAAGAGTTTAAGTCAAAATAACTATTTATAATTATTGCTTTATATCAAGTAGATATCCTTAAACATACCGATGTTCAATCCTTGGGATTTGCCATTTTCTGATGTGCGCAATGTCCCGTAAAATTCCAAAACAGAGAGAGGGGGATTGAATTTTGTGGATCCAGAAAAATAATTAGATTAGTATTTATTTGGGTTAGGTTAGGTTAAGACACTCTCTGGGCCGAGCGCTGCGGCTAGGACAGGCTAGAGGGCCGAGCGCGGCCCAGAAAGTGTCTTAACCTAACCTAACCTAACCATAAATAAATCCCTTAAAACAAAACAGCTGATGCTTCATTGGAGGGAGTGGCCTTCTGTGTTCACTGGCAGGCATGTTGCAGATTCATCTATCTGTTAGCTGTCTGTTAACTGTCTGTTAGCTGTATGTTGTGCAAGTCCCCCAGCCTTCCTATACAAACGGGAGATAAAACTCTGCTTCTGTATTCTAGAAAGATCTGGGGTGCACTGATCTTATACATCAGGTTCTTTACTCCGCTCAGAGACACAGAAAGGGTTGAAGAGTTTCCAGTATACGATCATACTCTATATATATTACATTTTAGCAACGCAAAATAACGAGAAACTAAACGGGCTGAAAAATATATTGATTCAAAGTTACAACATGGAAAATATCTTTATCTTATATTTGGTTTGGTTCGCTTGAACCGGAAATGCTCCTCCACAACATCATGCTTTAAGTATTACAGTGCCGAGTTTAAATTTCAGTAGTGCTACAAAAAACATCAATAAAGATTTTTTTTCGAATTTAAAATTATCAAAACTTTTTTATTTAAAAAATGACTGATAAATAACTTCATATTTTTTATTCTAAGTTTAAAGTTTTAAAGTGTAAACTAAAAAGTCCATTAATTAATTTTAAAAACTCCAATCAAGACCCCAGGGCGCAGACGGACCATTTATGTTGGATTAGAAAATTATAATTTTTGACAAGCGTTTAGTCATTTTTCGTGTTTCCTTTGCCATTCGTTAATGTTTTAAATTAAAAGCTTAGGCTTTTAAGTCAGGGAAACCAAAAACATTAAAAAACACATTTATGTCATAAACTTTTCAAAAGCATTAAAGTTATTCAAGGACAGAAAATCTTATACAGTGATTGGCGTTTATATCAATACAATGTAGACGACTTTTCTATTTAATATTTGATTACTGCTGTTTGAAAGCTTGTTAGAAACCAAAGTCGTTTTCATTGAATTGATATATACGACGACAACTGTATGTAACGTAACTTTATGCCATATAATTCCAAAAATGTGCAACAAAACGTTTCAAACTTTATATACTTTTAATGAACACTATCGTAAAGAACGCCAAAATTAGACAGATCATAACATTGACATCGTCGCTCTGATTTTGAGGTCCAAGTTCATTTAAGCATGTGAATTTTACTATGTGAAAAATATCAATTAATTACGAACATTTTTACAAAGATCAGTAAAACAAGATACATTATTTGTTTATTAGAAGATACGAATGATTAGACATTTATAAATTTATTTCTCTTATTCTCATTCTGAATCAATATCTCGGCCGAACCAACCAACTGGTCTAAATATGAAACCATAAGTTAAAAATCCATTTTTACTTTTTCCTTCGCTTGAAAGGTCCAATGCAACATAATATTTTTTTTACTGCTAAAAAAACTAATTTTGATTTCATCAATTACACTGATTTTTTACGCGTAATTAAACTTGCTTTGAAATAAAATCATGAATTCTTTTCATATTGCTTGGGTTTTATGAAGTTAACCTGAAATGGAGAAAAAGATTATCATAGGATTCTCCATCTAAAGGATCCTGTCTTCCATGTGGTAATCTTGCAGATTCAAATAAGATCATTTCTCCGGGATGTAGCAGTATCCTAGTATACATGGAGATAATAACAATAATAATAATAATAGTGTATTTCGTCATTAAAATTTATAAACTAAAGGAATTATTTTTTAAATTAGGTCGAGAATATGACTGAGGTCTGAGACTGCCTAGTGCATATAAATTTAGCCCTGTCTTGTAAAAAACAAAAAGAATAAAACATTAAATATAAAAGATAAAAAATTGACCTTGGCGCTGAACTACCTAGAGTAAACAAAGGAGAAAGATACGATGTATGAGTTTACACTTCTATATACATTTATCCTATTAAACTAATAATAACCTGTTCACTTCTCTATCTGAATTAAGAATAAAAAGATCCCAAGGAGTTGATACATTCTGGGAAAGATTCAGAATAACAGAGATTATATGCGTCTCGATTTTGTCAACATGGAGAGCCTAGACAATAGCATTTAAGTATTTAATCTTCTTTTTTTAAATGAAAAACAGATGTAATAAATCTACCAGCCTAGCTCCATGTTTATAGTGTACTCCATATCTATAGAACATCTAAACCTACCAGCCTAGTACCATGTTTATATATATGTGTACTCCATATATATAAATAAATTAAACCTATCAGCCTAGCACCATGTTTATATATGTACTCCACATCTATAGATAAACTAAACCTAACAGCCTAGCACCATGTTTATAGTGTACTCCATATATATAAATAAACTAAACCTACCAGCCTAGCACCATGTTTATATATATGTGTACTCCATATATATAAATAAACTAAACCTACCAGCCTAGCACCATGTTTGTATATGTGTACTCCATATATATAAATAACTAAACCTACCAGCCTAGCACCATGTTTATATATATGTGTACTCCATATATATAAATAAACTAAACCTACCAGCCTAGCACCATGTTTATTGTTTATATATATGTGTAATCCATTTATATAAATAAAATAAACCTACCAGCCTAGCACCATGTTTATATATATGTGTACTCCATATATATAAATAAACTAAACCTACCAGCCTAGCGCCATGTTTATGTATATGTGTACTCCATATATATATAAATAAACTAAACCTACCAGCCTAGCACCATGTTTGTATATGTGTACTCCATATATATATAAATAAACTAAACCTACCAGCCTAGCTCCATGTTTGTATCTACGGACTCCATATGTTTCAGAAAACTCTAATTTTGTTTCACTCCATTCTTCAACAATTGGTCGCAGAAACTCATCTAAAGATTTAGTAAAAGATATAATTTCTGGTATGCCCAACCCAGTATATAAATTTGGTTTATGTTTTAGATATGTAAATTTTTTTCAAACTCTTCATGTTAGTGAATATATTGTGAATATCAAACTCTTCATGTTAGTGAATTTATTGTGAATATCAAACTCTTCATGTTAGTGAATATATTGTGAATATTAAACTCTTCATGTTAGTGAATATATTGTGAATATCAAACTCTTCATTTTATTGAATATATTGTGAATATCAAATTCTTCAGGTTAGTGAATATATTGTGAATATCAAACTCTTCATGTTATTGAATATATTGTGAATATCAAACTCTTCATGTTAGGGATAGCTACTTTTTCCATAAGTAACACTTGCCATAATTACTTTTGGCATAAGTTTCTTATATTCAAAAAGATATAACTCTAACTGTTTTTATAAATGCGCCAAATTTCTCATAAAAATTACCAATTATAGTTTTCAAACTGGCTGAAATATTATAGTTTTCAAACTGGCTGAAATATTATAGTTTTCAAACTGGCTAAAATATTATAGTTTTCAAACTGGCTGAAATAAGAAAAGTTGAGTTCCATATTTTCTCAATACAGAAGTCAAGTATTGGAAATGTTTGATGTTAATTGTAATTATAATTAATCATAATTATGTGAAGTGTAATTATTATTATTATTAAAGATTTATTCACACACATTTAATATACATACATATATTACATATTACATATATTAACGGTATAATTTAAATTTGTTTTGTTATGAATGATATTAGATGGATTCATTATTCACTCTCATAATCTCCAATTTCATAAACCTACTATTTTAAAGAAATCTATAGTCAGACTTTTGATAATATTTTTCTTTCAGGAATAAATTCCTTGCACTTAAAAAGTTGATTCAGGAAAAATATCAAATTTCGGTAACAAAAAAAATGTAAGCAATATTTAGAACAAGTCAGCTCGTAATGTGTAATGATGTGAAGAGTAATTATGGCAATAGTACGCATTATGGAATGTGTTACTTATGCCAAGTACGTTACTTATGGCAAATATATTATGTCAAGTGTAATATAAGTGTAGTGTAATTATTGCAAACGTATTTATAGCACAAGTATTATGGCAAATGAAACTGTGCTATAATTATAATTTCTACCCAACGTAGATCGAACCAACATAACATCCTGCAGAGGTATATACTCCGCCACTCTGTCCCTTAAAACAAGATTCAAATAACATTTTTTTTGTTCTTTAAGACAAAATTCTTTTTTTAAAACTAGTTTTAAAAGTAAAGTAAATTCTTGGGAAAAACTAATCGTATAATAACTAATGTCGTTGGATTTCCAAATGCCGGTCCAAATTCTTGTGCTTTCAAACGTTAAGATTTCAAATAATAAATCAAAATTGTGTCCATTTCCAATATCTTTGAGAAACCGTATTTATGATAACCGTGAAAATGTTTTTACAAAAAATGAACAATTTTGAGCTCTCTGAAGCATAGTAAATTAAGGAATTAATTTTGATTTGTCTGTCTAATCAGACGACATTTCAATCTCTGATCTTTAAACCACGAAACGTGACTTAAGCAAGACGACTTAAAGGTCGTCTATAATCTTTAAAATAATTTGCGGCATTTATTCGAAAAAAAGTTTTTGTCCCACAGTCCTGGCATTTACAAAAAGCTGGTTTGCTTTTTTGTGCTTTCAATATTACCAGAGATATGAAGAATTTTGTTCAGATTTCGACAATTTCTGTTTTATTTAATACAATTTTAACCTGAACGAAATTTTCAATATCTCCGGTAACATTGAAAGTCAAAGAAGACAGTCCAAATTTTGGAAATCCTAGGACAAGGAAAGTTTTGTGATTATCACACATGAGGAAGAAGGTTGACAACTGACTGTTTAAAATAAATTCAAAGATCAAAGACGACTTTCAAATAGTCTTGCTACTGTCATGCTACTGTCATGCTACTGTCGTGTTTCAATTTTCACGAATTGTTTTTATTCACCTAGGTGTACAGTTGATGTGAGCTGAAGGAGCACAGGGCTCAGCAAAGGAACTAAATAAACATCTTTAAAATCAGAAATCTTTAAAATCTGAAATCTTTAAAATCTGAAATCTTTAAAATCTGAAATCTTTAAAATCTGAAATCTTTAAAATCAGAAATCTTTATAAAAATTCTGGAATAGGAAGACGACTGACTCCAGTTTTGCTTTTGAATGTCGTCATTCTATTCCACAGTTTAATGGGGCTTACTGTATCGTTCTTACTTGCCCTCAAGAGCATATCTTTATTGACTAGTGAATAACGTAAAGGATACCTTTATAAATCAGGCATGCATCTATCTTAATGAAAGGTTACTCAAAATTACAACGACAATTTATATAAGGTAAAAATAGTGATCATTGATGTTGTAAATTATGTGTAAACAGGTGAATTTTGTTATAATTTGCTACATTATTTGTCAACCTAATTCTAGAGATGATAATCACAAAATAACTCCAGTCCTGGCATTTCCAAAATGTGGTCTGCCTTTTCCGTGCTTTCAATATTACCCGAGATGTTAAGAATTTCGTTCAGATTTCGACAATTTTTGTTTTATTTAACAAAATTGAAATCTGAACAAGATTCTTAATAACACCAGTAATGTTGACAGCACAAAAAAAGGCAGACCACATTTTGGAAAAACCCGGACCAGGATTTTTTTGTGGATATTATTTCAAAAATCAACATGTCTGTAAAGTAGGTTAACAACTGAATTTCACAAATAAATTCTAAGATCAAGAAGTCGTCTTGCTTCTGTCATGATTCTTGGGCACCCTTCATCATCGTCTATAAAATTTGGGTTAAAAAGAAATTGTTATAAATTCTTAATGGCATATTTTAACTGATATAAAGATATAAAGGAATTGAGTTTTTGCAACAAACTTAATATTTCTCATTCATTTATCATTGGAACCTGATGTTGCAAACCTTTGATATTTCAAACATAGATTAGTTGATCCATCAAAACTAATAGTTTGAAATATCTAAGGTCTACGACATTTGGTCGCAAAGACATAGGAATTAGAAAATCCGAGTTTGTTGCAAAGACTCAAATCCTTTAAATAAAAAGCTGGTAAACCTGGCCAAATCCATTTTCCCGAGAAGAAATTTGAATAAATTCTCGGGGATTTTCTTCTTTTCAAACTCAGCGGAGCTAAACCTTGGAACTCTCTAAAATTTAACTTTATTCAGCTTATGACAGAAAGATTGACAATTGCCATTTTTTTAAATAATTTTTATCGATTCTCAGAACTTTGATTGTTAATTTGTTTCTGTCAGTATGTAATGAATAGCCATAGTTTATGTATAGTGATTGTTTTATCAAAATGGGTTTATGTCGCCATTAAAGTCTCATTCTTTGTGGGTAACCCTGTATATTTAATTCTAGCCTTCAACTTATTCGAAAGTTATGCAAGCATGCAATGTTCGTAATTAATTACAAAATTGAATTTTTATATAAAATGGCGTTTATTAATAAATAAATAATTAACCTGAAATTGTTGGATATTTTGAACCTGTATTTTTATATAAAATGGCGTTTATTAATAAATAAATAATTAACCTGAAATTGTTGGATATTTTGAACCTGTATTTTTACAGCAGACTCTAGTCTGTGATCATCCCAGTCCTTCAAGTCATATATTTTTTACAAAGACAAGAAATGTCGTCTTCCGTCCTAATTATTTTAAATTTGTTCTTACTTTTTACCCTCCAAGGATAAAAATAAAAAGCAAGAAAGAAGAAACTCGTAAAATGTAGAATTAAAAAGAGTGCTCTAAATAAAATATATCAATCAAATGATATGATTTATCCTTGTGTATAAATATTTTCTGACCACTCATGTCCTGAATATGAGGAACCAGAAATTATCAATTGTTTATAAATGCAAGGGATTGTTGATTATGGTTCAGCAGTTAACACAGTTAAAACCAAAAAAAACTGTGTTATTTAATGTGTTACAAAGAGTTTTCTAGTAATCTGTCCCATATAATTTATTTCATATTCTGTACAGTATATTTGAGAAAAGTAAAATAGAATAACAAACTTTCTGCTCGCCCAGAACTCGCAAACCCCAGCAACTAAACCTTATTTTTGTGGCGGGTTATCAGTTCATGGTTTCCCTTGTAGTTTAAGGTTTGATGACAGTTATAGAGAAGGTTTAGTTCAGGACACTGCCAGTACTCTACCTAGGGAAGGTTTAGTTCATTACAGTATTCTACCTAGAGAAGGTTTATTTCAGAACAGTATTCTACCTAGGGATGGTTTAGTTCAGAACAGTATTCTACCCAGAGAAGGTTTAGTTCAGAACAGTATTCTACCTAGGGAAGGTTTAGTTCAGAACAGTATTCTACCTAGAGAAGGTTTAGTTCAGAACAGTATTCTACCTAAAGAAGGTTTAGTTTAGAACAGTATTTTACCTAGAGAAGGTTTAGTTCAGGACAGTATTCTACCTAGAGAAGGTTTAGTTTAAAACAGTATTCTACCTAGGGAAGGTTTAGTTCAGAACAGTATTCTACCTAGAGAATGTTTAGTTCAGAATAGTATTTTACCTAGAGAAGGTTTAGTTTAGAACAGTATTCTACCTAGAGAAGGTTTAGTTCAGGACAGTATTCTACCTAGAGAAGGTTTAGTTAAGGGCACTGCCAGTATTCTACCTAGAGAAGGTTTAGTTCAGAACAGTATTCTACCTAGAGATGGTTTAGTTCAGAACAGTATTCTACCTAAAGATGGTTTAGTTCAGAACAGTATTCTACCTAAAGATGGTTTAGTTCAGAACAGTATTCTACCTAGAGATGGTTTAGTTTAGAACAGTATCCTACCTAAAGAATTTTTTTAATATAATATATGTACTTTTTAATAAATCTTTAAGTAGGAATTTTTTAAATGAATAATAATAATACCTGAATGGTGCTAACCGGACACAGATTTTCCTTCTTCAATTCAAATTCAAATTCAAGTAAACAGTGAATTAGTTCCAGCTTAATTAATATGCTTGTATATGTCAAAGTGAATAAATACTATACAGTAATAAATAGTATTTATTCACTTTGTGTATATGTACAGTCAGAACCAGAAATCTATGGAATAGGGAGATCACATGAAAGAAATGATAAAGTCACTCTAATGTTGTTACACAGTAAACAGTTATACGAACAACTTATAAAATCACATATTAAGTGAAATGGGTCTGTGTACACCGCACAATTTACGTAGATTGAAGATGTGTTAGACAAGTAACATATTGGAAACATAAGAGACCTTTTTGTTAAATATCGAAAAAAATGTATAAAAAGTATTTTGCAATTTATTTTCTTAATGTAATATCAAACAATTTTAATTATTTTCATTTTATTTTTTTTCTAATAAAAACAGCTCTCTGGATTTAATAATGTCTTGTTAAGATAAAAAATATCAAGTAATCTTTTATAAAAGAGATAAATGTTCCATCTTAAAAGAAGTGTTCGCGAAAAATGAAAGCGGGTATAAGCTTACGTCGAAAAATATTCGATCGTGATCGCTACTTATCTAACTTCTATCTGTTGTGTCTATAAGGAGAAAATTGCTAAAAACGACTAATACCGAAGAACCAGTGGCGTAAATAAGGGGGGTTATTGGGGTTACTTACCCCCCCTAGAATCCTTGGGGTAATTACCCCCCCAGAATCTTAGGGGTAAATACCCCCCCCCAGAATCTTTGGGACACAAACATCCCGGTTTAGTAACTTGATCTCCATTCTACATGTCCATGATTACCATTAAAAGGAAAAATGTAAATTTTTTTTGCCGCTTCGCGCAGATAATCTTACTCAATCAACTTAAAAAAGTAACATAGATAAATTTTACCCAAAAATCGAGTTTTTTCATGCAGCAGCGTACTTGCACTATATGTCAAATTAAGTAAATTATTAAATGAGTCGAAAATGCAAATCAAACCAAACTAAAACCAATAATTTGATATACATCATGATATTTTTTTTTTTTTTTGGGGGGGGGTGAAAAAATGCACCCCCCCCTACAGAATCCTTATTTACGCCCCTGCGAAGAACGTAGCGTCCATACAAATTCAGAAAGTTGCAATATTCGACTTGGATCGAAAGAAAATCAATTTAATTCCCATCAAATAATTCAGATATTACAACCTAGAATCATTGATTTTTTTCCTGTGCATTCGTATATAGTTGATATTTCATAATATATTTTATTTGTTCTTATATGAGGCAATTTTAACGACGATTAGTCGGCCGCCAGGTGTCTGCATGGTTCCACGTGGGAGAGACACCTAGAGGACGAAATATATCAACTATATATGATTTAAAGCGTACTATTGTAGTTCCTTTAACTTGCCTTTTAGTTTTAAAATATCTTTATCTTGTATTTTAGTTTTAATTATCTTTATCTTGTATTTTAATTTTAAAATATCTTTATCTTGTATTTTAGTTTTAAAATATCTTTATCTTGTATTTTAGTTTTAAAATATCATTATCTTGTGTTTTAATTTTAAAATATCTTTATCTTGTATTTTAGTTTTAAAATATCTTTATCTTGTATTTTAGTTTATGTTCATTCTGTTTCTGGGTTCATATATAGACTAGAAAGGTTCGAGCTTAAGAAGCTTATTTTCTTGAAACTTATTTAAGAAACCACATTTTCATTTTAAATTAATCTTCAGAGAGAATTCATTATTTTATTGTTCAAAAGTAAATTGAAAGTGTGGAAATAAAGAAATTGAGTATTCGCTGCAAACTCTGATTTTCTTATCCTTAATCTTTGCAACGTGCACTATGTTGCAGACCTTATGATATTTCAAACTATGAACTCTGGTAGATAAAATAATCCAAATATAAAATATCAAAGGTTTACAACATCATGTTGCAGAGATATTTGTTTGTCACAAAGACTCATTCTTTCGCTGATATACATTCATATGAATATTTTAAAATCTTCACCATTTGTCCATATTTCTGCCCTGTAAATGTTTTTTTTCACAATCGCTACACGCTACGTCCGTAGTTACGTTTCTGCTGGAAACTTATCCAAATGAAATGTTTGAATAAATATTTAAAAATAAGATTAAACGCAAAATTTCCGCCATTTTGATTCAGCTGAATTTGATTGTTCCCGAAGATTGTGAATATCCAAGATGGAGGAAACACAAGATGATAAATATCAACTCAGACATTCTTATTCAATAGATACTATAACTTTAAACTGAACCAAATAATTAGATTTCTTATTCCGTATTCCTGGGGAAATTTAGGTTCAGTAGACCAGAACATTTATAACGAAAATATAAATAACGAATATAAGAATAATTCTATTTAAGTTAATGTAATTCTTAATTTACATTTTTTCCAAGATTACATCATTTTTGTCTTTGGAAACTTTTTTACCATAAAAAACATTTACAAAAATATTTTTATACCAGGAAATTACTGATTCCGGATATGGCGTCAAGATTTAATTCTATCCAATCAATGTTTGAAAAATCAACGAATATGAAAAAACAGGAAGTCCATTCAAATATTATTCATTCATATCTAAACGTACATGGAGACCCACAAAGGATGAGACTTTAATATGGCGACATAGAACTCTTTCATTCTAACAATTTGAAGGATATATTCTATTCTTGGTTTAAGTGAAGTTTTTTATCGGAGAACCAATAAAAATAATAAAGTTAAAGGGAAAATCAAAGTAAAACACTAAATAAAGGAATTAAACTTTTGTCACATACACTGCTCTGATTTTCGAATCCCTAGATATGTCGTAGACCTTAGATATTTAAAACTATTAATTCTGGTAGATCAAATAAGTTTGAAATATTAAATGTTTACAAATGAGGATGTAAAGATGTAGGGATTTAAAAATCTTAGTTTGTTGTAAAGACACAGTTCCTTTTGAACAATCGTTCTGATGTAGCTTATCCGTTTTTGGGTAACCCTTCATAAAATATTAATAAAAACATTTATGAAATAATCTAAACATTACCTTGTAAACCATATGAAGGGAGTTCCAATACACTGAATTCCAATATTTCTTCGTTCAGTGTACTGCAAATCACTGTACAGTACACACCGAGAGCTTAGTTGAGGATGGTCCTTTGTTTTATCGAACACTTGTTTTATGTACACAGACTACTCAAAGAAATTGACATAAAAAGAGTTTTTCTCTTCAAAAATAAATTCCCAAAATTTTTTGGAATCATAAACTAAGCATGTTTTACTTTCCTGCTCTTTTAATTTTGAGGATCAATGCTTAATACTTCAATTCAAGTTATCCGGCCTGAAGAGTTAAAACAATAGAGAATAGAATATATAGAGAGGAATTAAAAGAATCTCTCGGTATGAATTTTTTCAGTCCCTTTCAGCCTGAAAGGGAGTTCAAAGTGTACAAATCATACAAATGTTCACAAATTATATGCAGTAGAGTACATTAATACAGTATGTTCCCTAGACTATTCATAACAATTTCAAAATTTGTAAAGCTGTTAAATAAACTTTATAATGAATTAGGTGAATAAAGCATACATATGTGAAGTACACCTGCAGTATGGAAACAGTACAACAAAATGACCGTTTTACACTTTTTTCTAGTAAATTCCTCTCTATACATTCTATTCTCTATGGTTAAAACTCAGGACTGAAACTATAAGCATTACGGAATATCAAAGAGGAATACAAGTTATCTCTAGAGGTCTGACTTTTGTTTTCTTGTAGGATTAAGCTTTCGTCTAGATAATTCCTGTTCTAAACAAGTTAAAAAAAAACCGGGGTTTCTGTGATAGCAGGAAGCTTGCACAGTTCCTTGCCTTGCACTAGTAACAAAACGCACATGACTCTACAATATCTCTTAATTTGGGGCATATTTGGTTAAATATCTTTAATTTTGGGCCAAATTTGGTTAATATCTCTAATTTTGGGCCATATTTGGCTAATATCTTTAATTTTGGGCCGTATTTGGTTAACCCTCTCTAAATTTGGACCATATTTGGTTAACTATATCTAATTTTGGGCCGTATTTGGTTAACCCTCTCTAAATTTGGACCATAATTGGTTAACTATTTCTAAAGGAATTGAGTCTTTGCCACAAACTCTAATTTTCTAATCACTATAATCTTTGGAACCAAATGTTGCAGACCTTAGATATTTCAAACTATGAATTCTGTTAGATCAAATAATCTGAGTTTGAAATATCAAAGGTTTACAACATCCAGTTCTGAAAATATTGAGGTTTAAATATTTGATTTTGTTCCAAAGACGCAATTCCTTTGGTCGGTGATGGAAGGGCTTGTAATGTCTGAAACAGGCGAACACATCCAATGTCAATTTCAAATACAGGGCTACAAGACGAAGAAAGGATAAAGGAAATGGAGGAAATAAATTCCTCTGAGAGCCATGGAAAGGAAATAGAATTTTCCTGACAGCGTGAACACTTGAGATCAATGTAACCAGCTCATCAACATTATCTCTCCTTCCACCAGGCAGTATTCCTTTCTTCCCACAGGTTTCAATGGAATTAAAATCATCGCTCTTATCGGAGTAGTTATTCTCCCAGCCATTAGATGTGGAGAATGAGACACCTGTAGGAACACAATCAGGAGAAACGACAGCAACTCTAGCTCATGTAATATTAACATGTAATAAGATGTAATAAGATGTAATAAGTTGTAATAAGATGTAATAACATGTAATAAGATGTAATAAGATGTAATAAGTTGGTCAATCAGACAACTAGAGACACCTGTAGGAACACATTCAGGAGAAACGACAACAACTCTAGTTCATGTAATAACATGTAATAAGATGTAATAACATGTAATAAGTTGGTCAATCAGACAACTAGAGACAATCTCTCATAGTTTTCTTTCCTTCTCTTTTTATCAATTAGGACAATATTAAAAGTTTATGTGTTGTACCTCATTATATCATCTAAAAAGTAATTACGTAAAAATGTAGTCAATAAGGAATCAGTAAATACAATTAGTACATGAAGTTAGAAGGTGTAAGTGCATAAT